AAATTAACTTTTAAGAAGGCACACCTGTTAATTGAAATGAATTCCAGGTGACTACCTCAAGAAGCTGGTTGAGAGAATGCCAAGACTGTGCAAAGCTGTCATCAAGGCAAAGGGTGGCGATTTGTTTAACACTTTTTTGGTTACTACATGATTCCATATGTGTTATTTCATAGTTTTGATGTCTTCATTATTATTCTACAATGTAGAAAATAGTAAAAATAAAGAAAAACCCTTGAATGAGTAGGTGTGTCCAAACTTTTGACTGTTGCTGTATACATATAGGTACAGTGAGGGAAAAAAGTATTTGATCCCCTACTGATTTTGTACGTTTGCCCACTGACAAAGAAATGATCAGTCTATAATTTTAATGGTAGGTTTATTTGAACAGTGAGAGACAGAATAACAACAACATAATCCAGAAAGACGCATGTCAAAAATGTTTGGGGATGGTACCATGTTTACGGATAATCCTGAGTGAATCGTGAATAATGAAGATTGAGAAAGTTACAGATGCACAAGACACCTCTCACCATTACAATAACAGGGAAGGTTAGCATTTTGGGGGGGTATGATATTTGTGCGAATGTAAGTTATCCACAAGTGTATGCAACTGTGTGTACCTGTGTGCACCTGTGTTGGTCATAATGATGCCTTGATATTCATATTATAACAAGTCTGAAGTAAATTTCTATATGTCCTTCATTGCCAATCACTTTGTGCCAATAAAGAGCACTGCAGTCACACTACTTTAAATGAATGAATTACCCTTTTCATTCACTGTAAGTAAATTCTGATTTTGAACCACAATTCTATAGAACTGGAAGAGGGTGAATGATTTCCCCTGTCTTATGAGCAGCCAATAACCCAGAAAACAGAGCATACATTTACAGTGGGGAGAACAAGTATTTGATACACTGCCGATTTTGCAGGTTTTCCCACTTACAAAGCAGAAATCCAGAAAATCACATTGTATGATTTTTAAGTAATTAATTTGCATTTTATTGCATGACATAAGTATTTGATCACCTACCAACCAGTAAGAATTCCGGCTCTCACAGACCTGTTTGTTTTTCTTTAAGAAGCCCTCCTGTTCTCCACTCATTACCTGTATTAACTGCACCTGTTTGAACTCGTTACCTGTATAAAAGACACCTGTCCACACACTCAATCAAACAGACTCCAACCTCTCCACAATGGCCAAGACCAGAGAGCTGTGTAAGGACATCAGGGAAAAATTGTAGACCTGCACAAGGCTGGGATGGGCTACAGGACAATAGGCAAGCAGCTTGTTGAGAAGGCAACAACTGTTGGTGCAATTATTAGAAAATGGAAGAAGATCAAGATGACGGTCAATCACCCTCGGTCTGCGGCTCAATGCAAGATCTCACCTCGTGGGGCATCAATGATCATGAGGAAGGTGAGGGATCAGCCCAGAACTACACAGCAGGACCTGGTCAATGACCTGAAGAGAGCTGGGACAACAGTCTCAAAGAAAACCATTAGTAACACACTACGCCGTCATGGATTAAAATCCTGCAGCGCACACAAGGTATCCCCTGCTCAAGCCAGCGCATGTCCAGGCCCGTCTGAAGTTTGCCAATGACCATCTGGATGATCCAGAGGAGGAATGGGAGAAGGTCATGTGGTCTGATGAGACAAAAATAGAGCTTTTTGGTCTAAACTCCACTCGCCGTGTTTGGAGGAAGAAGAAGGATGAGTACAACCTCAAGAACACCATCCCAACCGTGAAGCATGGAGGTGGAAACATCATTCTTTGGGGATGCTTTTCTGCAAAGGGGACAGGACGACTGCACCGTATTGAGGGGAGGATGGATGGGGCCATGTATCGCGAGATCTTGGCCAACAACCTCCTTCCCTCAGTAAGAGCATTGAAGATGGGTCGTGGCTGGGTCTTCCAGCATGACAACGACCCGAAACACACAGCCAAGGCAATTAAGGAGTGGCTCCGTAAGAAGCATCTCAAGGTCCTGGAGTGGCCTAGCCAGTCTCCAGACATGAACCCAATAGAAAATCTTTGGAGGGAGCTGAAAGTCTGTATTGCCCAGCGACAGCCCCGAAACCTGAAGGATCTGGAGAAGGTCTGTATGGAGGAGTGGGCCAAAATCCCTGCTGCAGTGTGTGCAAACCTGGTCAAGACCTACAGGAAACGTATGATCTCTGTAATTGCAAACAAAGGTTTCTGTACCAAATATTAAGTTCTGCTTTTCTGATGTATCAAATACTTATGTCATGCAATAAAATGCAAATGAATTACTTAAAAATCATACAATGTGATTTTCTGGATTTTTGTTTTAGATTCCGTCTCTCACAGTTGAAGTGTACATATGATAAAAATTACAGACCTCTACATGCTTTGTAAGTAGGAAAACCTGCAAAATCGGCAGTGTATCAAATACTTGTTCTCCCCACTGTATATACACAGTCTATTAACACAAAACACTTAAATTAAAACAAACATTTTGTGTCATTATCTGACACGTGTTTTCCCTGGTGGTTAAGACGGGGAAAGGAAAGCCACCATTTTCGTAGAATGACCCATGTGCCCATCCTCAGAATGTAAATGCAGGAAATGATTCATTGTATTATGGTCCTGTCTTCGTTTATATGGCAACAGTGACAGTGAGTCACTCAGTGTATGCACTAATCCTCAGAATTTTGGTTCCAACTGCCATGTCTTTGTGAGACGTAAAGTAGATGAACGGATGATCTCTGCATGTGTGGTTCCCACCGTGAAGCACGGAGGAGGAGGTGTGATGGTGTGGAGGTGCTTTGCTGGTGACACTGTCTGTGATTTATTTAGAATTCAAGGCACACTTAACCAGCATGGCTACCACAGCATTCTGCAGCGATACGCCATCCCATCTGGTTTGCGCTTAGTGGGACTATAATTTGTTTTTCAACAGGACAATGACCCAACACACCTCCAGGATGTGTAAGGGCTATTTGACCAAGAAGGAGAGTGATGGAGTGCTGCATTAGATGACCTGGCCTCCACAATCACCTGACCTCAACCCAATTGAGATGGTTTGGGATGAGTTGGAACGCAGAGTGAAGGAAAAGCAGCCAACAAGTGCTTAGCATATGTGGGAACTCCTTCAAGACTGTTGGAAAAGCGTTCCAGGTGAAGCTGGTTGAGAGAATGCCAAGAGTGTGCAAAGCTGTCATCAAGGCAAAGGGTGGCTACTTTGAAGAATCTAAAATATATTTAGATTAGTTTAACACTTTTTTGGTAACTACATTTACATTTGACATTTTAGTCATTTAGCAGATGCTCTTATCCAGAGCGACTTACCGGTAGTGAGTACATTATTCCATATGTGTTATTTCATAGTTTTGATGTCTTCACTATTATTCTACAATGTAGAAAATAGTAAAAATAAAGAAAAACCCTTGAATGAGTAGGTGTGTCCAAACTTTTGACTGGTACTGTATATTTATAGTACAACATGCTCATTACCATGAAATTGGCTTGTCCCACACCCTAGGGTCATGAATGAGTCGTGGTTTAGTGACATATTTTGAGTAAACATATATATTTTTCTCTGACTTTAAATGTAATAATACAAAATAAAGTATTTAGTGGAATACTTAAACTAAAATATCAACTATATATTATAATTTACAGGGAATAGCTGTCCCTCAATTTCATGTCACTTGTGTTACCCCATTATAAAGACCACACATCTTTGCCAACTTCTTCCTGGGTCAAAGGTTCATTGGAGGCAGGGCTGTTTTGAAAAGAACATGATGGGTCTGCACTCTCTCTTCATATGTCAGCAATTTGAAGATTAAGATTTAGCATGAAATTACCAAATTAAAGACATGCTCTGGAACTTTGGCAACTAGTACATTTTTATTTTATTTTTTTAAACCTCCCGCTTTGGGCTGGATGTGCCAATGTGTAGTTCATACATGAATAATCTATGAGCAGAATTACGGTTTTACCTAGATTAGCCACAAAATCCCTAGTTTGAAAGCGACTGTTTCTGGAAGCTGTGCAATGACATTTCCCCCCATGCAATTAGAGTTTCAGACAATGAGCTTCAGCCCCTCTCCATTTGAGTAACAGCTAGCAAGATGCACACAGCACAGCGAGAGAGAGAGCAATGACAAACCGGGGACCACTTTTGGCTCGTGAGCGCTACTTTCAGAACTACTGGCTAGAAAGTAGACAAATAAGTACCGGAGAATGTCTTTAAGATGTGTCACTAGTGTTACACAGTTTATAGTAAAGGGAAAGGAAAGTTCAGTAAAACAATTTACAAACACAGCTGTAGCTCGGCCACCTTCCACAGCAGATGCGGAAGGACGACATTGGCGGATGCGGCGGATTGAGACGCAGCCCATGCAAAAAGCCAGATATCTCGAGTTTAAATTAACAGATATTAAGGATTACGGGATTTATTTAAGTGTGGTTTGAGCTACTGTGGCTGACATCTTAGCTATGCCATCTTGCCTGCAAATTTGTCACTGGTGTTATTGTAGAAAAATGCATATTGCTTAAAGTAAATTATTACAAATCATCTTAATATTATCATTAATCTTTTCTGTCCTTGATATATATGCAAATTAAATAGTCAAATTACATGGTGCAAAGCCTGAATTGTCATTAAAATATAGGTAACACTAGTGACAAAAAGGGAACACAATATATTTTTAAATATAATGTAGTAACAAATATTAAAATGCATTAAGCTGTCATTTCTGGTGATTTACAATGTTAAGGGGTGTTAATTATTATCTGACTAAGTTTTGGTAAAAAAAGGTCAAAAAGCCACCATTTTCATGGAATGACCACTAAGTGGCTCACTGTTGCCATATAAACAAAGACAGGACCATAAAACCATTTTGTCATACTGGCCCTGAAAGACAAACATGGCCCTGACATACAGGTAGGTACCCATCTACTCAGACAGAGCAATAAACAAAGCAAGTGTGTCGTGACCCCACCCCCACAACGGCACACAGACACATTCACAGGAGTCTTACACAACTCATTTTATTTACAGGAGCCACGTATGCAAATGCATTGTTGTTTTTTTTCATATCATTTCAGACACCGGTAATACACAATTCTCTTTGCCTTTTTCACATGAAGAGTGGACTAACCAGAGACATTGAAGCCATTCTCAATCTAAAGGCCAGACACTTGGATGACGAGTCATAATTGATATTTAATTCCAAATCCCTTAGAAAAATATAACAAATAAATTAGAATGTTCTATGACTCTCTCCCCTCTTTCAGGATGTTGGTTGAAGTAAACGGTGGATACACTTGCAGTAGAGAATTGTGGAAAAGAGAAAGGTGAGGACAGAGTGGGAAAATCTATTAAACACCTCCTACCAGAATATATAGGTAGAGTGCTAGCAAGAAAGAGATCAAACAAAATGGCATAACAAAAATATTTTTACTACAACATAACATTTACAGATGTATTTTTCATAGAAAAGCAGTACAGAAGCCACAAAAGCCTGTGAGGATCTCAGCAATGAAGTGACGATGATATTGTTTCGTGCCTCGTTGTTTCATGTCAGAATTGGGTGTGCATTTCCCCCCATCCCCACCCCAAAAGTAATACTTCTCAGTATCAATACGGAGCAAACTTGTTTGAACAGTCATGTTCTGGGCTTGGTTAAGTACGTGCTTTTAATGAAGTATCATTGGAGAAAGAGAGACATTTGACAAAATCGACATTAAAAGAAAATGAAAAGAACACCTTTCTCCACAGAAGGACGTCGTAACCGACACCCCCACCTCCCTAAACTGAGCTTCCGCCAAGGGCTTGCAAACACAGGGCTTCCGAACCCACCACGTTAACGGTCTGAGGGAAACAAAGGTTACGCTAAATTCAACAAGGGGCTAGGCGGCATAACCTCAAGTGGACATTTCTCAAATGGGTGGGTACCTGGTTGCTGTGTCACCAACTCCCCCAGTTTACTGCCCTTTGACTAAACTGACCCGTTCTATGACTGTGGGTCCAGGGCGATTTCCTGTGTTTGCAACCCCTCGGTGGTGGGCCGAGACTTGTCGTTCACCCCCCCAGTGGAGAAACAGAAAGCTGTGGTTGGGCATCAGCCTCTGTCCATGCATTCGAGCGGTGAGCAGGGACAAAGACAAAACACATTGCTATGTGTCATAAAATCACCAGAGGTCTGCAGTAGTCTCGTTTTCTTTTAAATATATTCTTTACTGTTTTTTTTGCTTGCTTTTATCTTGTTTTTTGTCTAAGACTGTGTCCTTTAAATGCAAATAAAGGAGATCATCTTGGTTGTGTTTACATCCAGCGCCCGTCTGCTTTCTTCTATACCTCAATGCTGTTTCCCGCGTAAAGCCTGGTCCATGTCCGAGCTGCAATGTGCACAGAGAGGGGGTTCATTAACTACCGGTATTAGCATTCTTCTTGAAGGAATGTCTTGCCATCTCTGAATTGATTTGACCTGCAGTGGCACTTTAGGAGGCTGAAGTGAAGAACACTACAAGAGCAGTAAGTCATTGGTTCCTTCTCACACTCACTGCCTTTGTTTAAAACTAGGCTTTGTTCACATTCAGAGATGGGTACTCTTGATCAGAGGATGCAATAGAATTTAAATGCCAAGGGGTGAGACAATTTAAACTGGGTTCACGTCAAACATGAACATGACACACACGAGCCATCTCTCACCTGTCTCAATGGCTTGGGCTTCGTTTGATTTCCACTGCTCTGCAACATCGTTTGCAAGTGGGTCATCAGGGTTAGGAGCGCTTAATAATGCTTGGATTGATAGCAGCACTGTGCGGATCTGCAAGGCTGGGGACCACTTATCTGTGAGAGAAAAGGAAAATGGTGGAGGAAGGAGTCATACTTTGAGTCAGGACATGACTGTGACAGTGATGATAATTGTGAATCTGGATAACTCACCTTTCAAGATGTCTAGGCATATCCTACCCAGCTTGTCCACATTGGGATGGTAGATTTTGGTCATGAATCGCACTTTGGGAGCTGCCATGGGATATTCTTCTGGCAGAAAGAGTTCAAGTTTAAAGGTGCCTCCTTCGAAAGGGGAGTCCTGGGGCCCTGAAATCACCACATGGAAGTAGCGTGCATTCGCCTCATCAGGCTCTGCCTTTATTCCAGGAACGGGTTCGGCCAGCAAACGCTGAGTCTCCTGAACACGGACAGAGATACAGATAGAGACATGCAGGTAGATAGACAGACAAACACATGCAAACAGAAACGGGAAGACAAGAAAAATGTGACACACATGCAGCGAGACAGGTAAGCACAAACAACCAGATGTCAGGTCATTTACATTTTAGTCATTTAGCAGACACTCTTATCCAGAGCGATATACAGTTAGTGAGTGCATACATTTTATTTATTTTTTCATACTGGCCCCCCATGGGAATCGAAACCACAACCCTGGCGTTGCAAGCACCATGCTCTACCAACTGAGCTACAGGTCAGGGTCGATAGTAACCAAGGTTTTGGACAACTATGTTTTGATGCAAGGACAGCCATCCACAAATTCAAGCTCAGGTTTGACATTTTGTTTCAGAACTTTTTAGGGCCAATGTACAATCACTCTGTCTCTTTCAAGAGCAAGTAATGGTGACTCACCCAGTGTTTTAGATCCTCAGCTAAGAGCTCATATGATACATGCCTGGAGGTGAACTAGCTGCAAAGTCTATTTTTTGTGAAATATGTCTGAGGCCTAGTCATAACGTCCGGTGAGAACCAACATGTAACATCTTCATGGTATGACGGTAATTTTGATGGAAATAAATATATTATCAAATAGAACTCATTGATAGGTCTATGTCCACTATAACACCCATTGTAACTGTTTGTCTTGTCAAAGTAAGTTAGGCTAGTTGAGTAGGCTGATAATTGAATGTTTCTGCCAAACATTTGTTTTTGCAGCCACCTGGTATGTGTATGACAAACTATTGCCCCATGTCGCCTCATTCATTTCTGACACAGAACTCTGCAAGACCAACAACATCTCGCTCATTGGGCCTGGACAGTTTGAGAGAAATACCTGCACTACCACCGGCTTCTCTACTATTGCCAAGTTAGCTTTGCTACCCAAAGCACTTTCAAACACAGTAAACCAAGCAAGTAAATGTGAGAGTTTATAATACATACTCTGGAGTCCAGGGGTAAATTCCATCAATATTATTATAACTAGCTAAATTAGCTAGCTGTATGTATGTAGCCAACGTTAGCTAGCTAGCAGTGCCAGCCGAGTGTCACTGTGTTCAGATCGCTAACTTGAGAGACCATAGCAAGGTTATTTCAATACATGTACACTAAGAAAATTATTAATTTCAACAAATAGGCAATTAAGCAGAATCGGGCCATATTTAGCGGGAAGAGTAATACATTTGACCCAACGTTCCTCTGATTTGGGGCTGAGCCTGAAACATACAGTACCTAGCTAACGGAAGTAGTTAGCTAGCAAATACATGGCAATCCACGTGCCGAGTCCTAGTTTTTCTTCTGAACTCAACGGGGACCGAACTACGGCTTGTGAGCTATTTATCGCATGGGGTTTTTTGAATTACCTTTATAATCCTGCGGGGTAGTCCTGCCATCTTGTTTTACTGTATACAGTATTTATGTATGTTCACTCCTTCGCCGTCGACGCACACGCCTTCCTGTGAATGGTGTTGGCCTCTAACGGGATTGTGAATGCTGGGAAATGTATTTTGGTCAACGATTAAGCGTTAACATATTTCAATTTAACGAACTACATGTCCCAAGAGTGGGTGCTTTCTAAATCTGAGAGAAAAGACTAGAAATATGAACGTACTCTTTGTCATTTATTTGAATCCCATACATTTGAAAGACATGGACTGAATTGAAATGATCGTAAAAATTGACAGTTATCATTATCAAAATCAATATAATATTGTTCTGCACCGTATGAGCCAAAGTTCGAGTCCCAGTTGCAGCTTTTTCTTTCTCCCGCTACACTGGTGGCAGCAGTGGGATCACTTCTGTGGTCTGGTGGCATTGGGGGACCTGTGCTCTGTACACGTTTTGAAGCTTGGTGCTCGGCTCTGCACCCTAGGAGCCACGGTTGAGTCCCGATTGCAGCGCTCTCCTTCTTCCTCCACAATAACATGCAGATATCCTAACCATGTCCCAGAATTTCATGAAATAAAAGGTATTCAGCAAATAGGGAAAATATATGTTTCACTTACAGCTTTGGTAATCTGCTTCAAAACATAAGTGCGCAACTTCAGATTAGTTAATTTTATTTTACAGCACAAACAATTGCACAAAAAAACATAGTTTGGGATTTGGGGGGTGAGCCAAGCAAAGAATTCTGTAAGGTATCAATGATTTTGAAAGGAAGACACTCCTTAACAACTATCGGTCTTTTGGGGGATCTCTCTTTCTGCGTCGAGTATGGTACCTAAGAAAAAAATTGAACAAAAGTTACCATTTTCAATATATAAAAAAGACTGAGTGAGGATTGTACCCAACTTTATGCAAGTTTCTCACTCAATACATTAGCATTACATTAAATTACAAATTAGCAACATAAGGTACATTTTGGATACTTAAAAGGCACAATGTATTGGGGCGGCAGGTAGTTTAGTGGTTCAGAGCGTTGTGCCAGTAACCGAAAGGTTGCTGGTTCTAATCCCCGAGCCGACTATGTCAAAAATCTGTCGATGTGCCCTTGAGCAAGGCACTTAACCCTAATTGCTCCTGTAAGTCGCCCTGGATAAGAGCGTCTGCTAAATGACTAAAATGTAAAATGTTATCTCAATATCAAATCATTTCTGGGTAACAATTAAGTACCTTACTGGGATTCTTTTCAATCAAAATGGTTTTAGCAAGAGCAATTTCTCAAGCAATAATTTTGCTAGGACTGTCGGAGTGGGGAGGGGAAAACTGAAGCATAGCTGTTACTGGCAGAGCCGTTTGGAACTCTTTCATATTGGTCTATTAACTAATTCACTGCCTGGTGATGTCACCAAGCAGGCCAAAACTCCACACCACCAAAACAGGCTGAAATTTCAGACAACCTTTTCAAACAGCTCTCTTACACTAAAAGGGCATTATCATTTTCACAGCATTCTTCCAACCTCAGCATGGAAATATATAACTGCCTTTGATACTGTGAACCATCAGATGCTCCTCTCCACCCTCTCCGAGTTGGGCATCTCCGGCACTGCTCACTCTTGGATTGCATCCTACCTGACAGGTCGCTCCTACCAGGTGGCGTGGCGAGAATCTGTCTCCGCACCACGTGCTCTCACCACTGGTGTCCCCCAGGGCTCAGTTCTAGGCCCTCTCCTATTCTCTCTATACACCAAGTCACTTGGCTCTGTCATATCCTCACATGGTCTCTCCTATCATTGGTACGCAGATTACACACAATTAATTTTCTCCTTTCCCCCTTCTGATAACCAGGTGGCGAATCGCATCTCTGGCGGACATATCAGTGTGGATGTCGGATAACCACCTCAAGCTGAACCTCGGCAAGACGGAGCTGCTCTTCCTCCCGGGGAAGGACTGCCCGCTCCATGATCTCGCCATCACGGTTGACAACTCCATTGTGTCCTCCTCCCAGAGTGCAAGGAACCTTGGCGTGACCCTGGACAACACCCTGTCGTTCTCCACTAACATCAAAGTAGTGACCCAATCCTGCAGGTTCATGCTCTACAACATTCGCAGAGTACGACCCTACCTTACACAGAAAGCGGCACAGGTCCTAATCCAGGCACTTGTCATCTCCCGTCTGGATTACTGCAACTCGCTGTTGGCTGGGATCCCTGCCTGTGCCATTAACCCCTACAACTTATCCAGAACGCTGCAGCCCGTCTGGTGTTCAACCTTCTCAGTTTCTCTCATGTCCCCCCGCTCTCCGCACACTCCACTGGCTTCCAGTTGAAGCTTGCATCTACTACAAACCATGGTGCTTGCCTACCGAGCTGTGAGGGGAACGGCACCTCCTTACCTTCAGGCTCTGATCAGACCCTACACCCAAACGAGGGCACTACGTCATCCACCTCTGGCCTGCTAGTCCCCTACCTCTACGAAGCACAGTTCCCGCTCAGCCCAGTCAAAGTTATTCGCTGCTCTGGCACCCCAATTGTGGAACAAGCTCCCCCACGACAGCGGAGTCACTGACAACCTTCGGGAGACACTTGAAACCCTACCTCTTTAAGGAATACCTGGAATAGTATAACAGTAATCCTTCTACCCCCCCCCCCATAAAAAAAAAAGTGGTTGTCCCACTGGCTATCCTAAATTGAATGCACCAATTTGTAAGTTGCTCTGGATAAGAGCGTCTGCTAAATGACTTCAATGTCAAATAAAACACAGGAAAATCACATTTTGACTGTACTGGGCCTTTACTACTAAGGAAGTGCCACTGAGTTCAGTACCAATATTTAATATGGAACGGGTGTGGCTTCTATCTATTGCCCTGCTTTGGTGCCCAGTTAGTACTGACTATCACTAAAGTGATTCAATCATAGAAGGTGTACTTACTGTCCCACTGGGTACCAGCGGTGCTTGGTGGTGTGAAACATTTTGCTGAGCTCCTCGATGGTGGGGGCCTGTTTGTTCTGCAGCACCTCCCTGCCGAGGTGGGCCTTCAGCACCTGGTCGTGCGTCTCTGCCGGATTGGTCAGGGGGTCTGGCCGTGGAATAGGCTACAGTGTCACAAATACATAAGAAAGCCATAACAATCAAAAACCATTTATGCTGTTTTTCTACCTAAATCGCAGGTCTTATTTTGCCATTTAATAGCCGGCATGGTGAGAAAAGGGGTATATTGCTGGCAGGTAAATCTCAGCCTTCCACAGACATCACTGGAATGCTAGATGTGCAAGAGATTATGTGCAAATAGAGATACTGGGGTGCAAAAGAGCAAAATAAATAACAATATAGGGATGAGGTAGTTGGGTGGGCTAATTTCAGATGGGCTGTGTACAGGTGCAGTGATCGGTAAGGTGCTCTGACAACTGATGCTTAAAGTTATTGAGGGAGATAAGAGTCTCCAGCTTCAGAGATTTTTGCAATTCGTTCCAGTCATTGGCAGCAGAGAACTGGAAGGAATGGCGGCCAAAGGAGGTGTTGGCTTTGGGAATGACCAGTGAGATATACCTGCTGGAGCGCAGACTACGGGTGGGTACTGCTATGGTGACCAATGAGCTAAGATAAGGCGGGGATTTGCCTAGCAGTGATTTATAGATGGCCTGGAGCCAGTGGGTTTGACGACGGACCTGTAGTGAGGACCAGCCAACAAGAGCGTACAGGTCACAGTGGTGGGTAGTGTATGGGGCTTTGGAGACAAAACGGATGGCACTGGAGATCAATCTCTGCAGGGCTAATTGTGTTTGCAAATGCAGTATTTACTGTATTAAAGGGGTTCCTTTTCCTCATCAGCTCTGTTACAGTCAGTATCAGCAAATCCAAGTTCTAACTTCTTACCTGGGTAAGTTCATAAGGAACATCCTCAGCGGGATGGTAGCACACTATGGTCTTCCCATCAGATGTCACACCAATTTCCACCTTACTGCAATGAAGAAGGTGACGAGAAATTAACATCAAGTCATCGTAATACACACACTACAAATTATGATTTACTGTAACTAGCTACCTACTTACCAGTCATCATCAATACAAGGTCCACGGATAGTTGACTTGTGAAGGACAGGCACAACGCCTGTTGTGGATATATTCGTTGACATTAATCAAAAGGTACAGTATGATGTGATTAATAACAGCCAAGCTACAGTCACAAGATTGCTAGCCAGCTGGGTTCTCTGCCTCAAAAAGGCTTGCTAATAGATGTGCGCTAACGTTAACTAACTGACAAAACCTTTCAGCACTTGAGATTTTGTTCACAAAACGTGTTTCTTAATCTTGCAAGTTTTACAATAGAGGGCACTCACCTGTGCAGTGTTTAAGTTGAGTAACAGTTGAAAACCGTGTAAATAAACAACTCAACCTATTTAAATGACCTGTAGTAGCCATGCTCAACAAAAATGTTGTATTTGTGCTACATGGACATATTTCCGTGTGGATACGTAAACCCTAAACGTTTGTTCCGCTGTGCAAACGTTTATGAACAACTCCTTTTTCTTTAGCAAAGCCAAAGTAAAAATGCAAAAATAAAACAACTGGGACAGTTTAACTGTAAAATGTATGTGGGAAAAAGTATTTATCACATTTGTAGAAATGTATTATGACATCATAAATATCCTTTTAGAATTGGAACTGAGGAATAATGGGATTTTAACATTTTACTCATTCGTTAACATGAAACTCAAGTTGCAGCATTGCTCTTAACCTCCATATAATGGCAACTGAACATCACGAAGGTTACCGATGTGACCTCATACTGGAATCCTCTCAGTACTCCACAGTTCCACCGCCAGTGGAGGAGGGGAAGGCAAAGGTATCAGTGAAACTTCAGCCAGAGGTTTTTAACCCATTCACCCTGTCTCCTCTGCCAGAACAGACGATCCGTGATGTTCTTGTTGACTGGGTGCGAAACAAACCGCTCCTTTCACCCGCTGCAGCCAGAGGAATGGTCATCACTGGTGTAACCCATGAGGTTGCATACTGCTACAAACTGGAAACATTTACAGAGCACAGGTCTGTGTGCTTAAGATTTGAACCGCACTGCAAAGCTTCCAAAGCACCAGTGTCTCCAAAACCAGCAGGGGAAGTGCAGGAGCCACGACCCTGGAAGGTGCCTATGACCCCGGCCAAGATGTTCCACAACCAGGTGTTAAATTACAGGCTGATTCACACAGACCGAGTGACCGGGTGCTCTTACTGCCAGGAGCAGAAGTGGGTTATGTGCAAGGCATGCTGTGCTTCTACAAGGGTGCGCTGCCCTGTGTGTCACGGGCGAGGCAGGGGCAGCAAAAAGCCCTGCAGAGAGTGCAAGGGTGAGAAGATGGTGCCCTGCATGTCCTGCATGTCCCTGGGCCGGGTTTGCTGCGAGATGTGCGTGGGAAAGGGCCAGCTGTGCTACTTCAAAGAGCTGCGGGTGGACTACCGTTGTCATGTCGACAGGTACCTGCTAGGTGTCCCAGGCGGCATCCCAGAGGAGAGGATATCCCATGCCATAGGGGAGATCCTCCACACTGGCTTGGGCCAAAAGGTGTGCCCCATTAGCACCTTCTCTGTGGAAGAGGTCAACGCAACCTCTAGGCGGATGGTGCGGGCGTCCCACTCCAGCTGGCCCCAGTGCCGCATCATTCAACAGAGACATCTGCTGAGGGCAGTGCAAGTGACTCGGGTCCAGTATCGCTGGAGGGACACTTCTGGGAGTGTGTTTATTTATGGAGTAGACCACTCCATCTACTGGCCAGACTACCCCGAGAGGTGGATACGCCTCTGGTGCCCCTGTTTATAGAACTGGTAATGCTCAATTCCCTGATAAAAGCTTCCTCGACCAAATGAGTATGATAAAAAAGATTGTCGTTTTTTCCTTCCTCTTCAAATATCAGTTACTATATTTTCACAAGTTGGTCAAATCCTTATTTATTTCCCATTGTTTCCCTGATAGGCCTTTCAGTAAATGTTTGACCAGGTATTTATGATTTCACACATTTCTCTTTGAACCAATGCAGGAATGTCACGGACATAATACATAGTTTATTCTGGGGTGAAAAAATTCTACTTCTCAGGATCTCAGGCCAAGATTACCAAATTGCTACACAAATAATCATTGATAACACTAAACCAGATACCTGTGCCTTCAAAATCACATTTCAATAGTTATTCCATTGATTGTTAGTCAAAAACAAATTGAATCTATTGAATTGTTTAGATATATATATATATATATATATATCTATTCAGATTGATATTGACCTTCCTTGTTGCAAAGACATTTCAGCACACAAAACTAATATTTATGTGGTGCTTAATTATTAAGGGATCTGTTTGAGAAGAAAAGTATGAAGAGAGAAAGTCCATCCACAGTTCTGGCGATGTTCTTGAGGTGCCTTCTTGGCCCGTTGACAGAACGTCTTTGGCTATGTGGATCTCTCTGTGTGAGTCCAAGGTGCCGCTCTATGTTGATTGGAAGTTGGTCCAGAGTGGTTCACTAGGAAAGCTCCATATCTGCTGTGGAGGAGGTGCTGCTGGATGCCTCAGGCACTGTGGTCACCACCAACCGCTCCCGATTGCCAAACACCTCAGCAACTGGAGACACATACATGGATGAGACACAAACACCCCATGTTGATAACCATCAGCCACTTCATACTGATCTAACACCTCAGTGACCAGGCGGACACACAGATATACAAACCCATTACTCTCTACTACCAAGCAGGAGAGATGATACTTACATAAACTTAACAGTCAAAGCCCATAATAAATAAATGTTCAATACAGAGGGAGAGAAATACTGCTTAAGAAAGTGTCAAGGCTAGTTGCCATATTCTAAATAAACGTTTTTTTTCTGGATCAAAAAGAAAATACATGATAGGCTAGCTAGATAGACTTGGCACCCTGTCAGACCTAGAGTAGAAGGTAAGGACATTGACACTGTACCTGCTGCCACATCACTTATGTCCCAAACCCGCAGGCCATCCCTCTGTCCTCCAAAGGCATATACAAAGGGCATGTCAGGACAGCACGCTGCACAGAACAGCACCCCCTAGCAACAGAAAGAGAGCATCTTACCACAACATCCACATATACAGCACATATCCAAACATTCACTGTTAGGAAGACAGAAACGTGATGGATCTTATTGCAATGACATGGCAATGATTACAGCGACAGAGAAACCATCTTTACCATTTTCATGTCCCGGGTGTGAACCAGATTGGGCTTGTTCCCCAAGATGTCCCAAATCTTAACGTGTTTGTCTGCTGACGAGGTGACCAAGCATCCCCGGATCTGGCTGCTAAGGTCCAAGCCTACAGGGCAAGAGACAACTGACTTCAATTCTGTTTCCCTGACCTTGACTGCCATGTTTGTGTACCAGTACTCATCCAGTATTTTAAAGTCTGTGAATATGAAGGGGTAGGGGCTAGAGGAAGTAGGGGCAGAAATTGGCCTGTAACCACACCCACCTGACACCTCTCCATCATGTGCCCTTAGCGTAAACACTGGCTTGTCCGAGCGTGCGTCCAGACAGTAAACAAAGCCGTCCTCCGTGCTCGCCTAAAACACAGCCAAACATCAGTGAGAGTGGAAACAGGAAAGTCCACCAAGCATTTTCCATGTGAAAGTTAGCCAATATGCTATGCTAGGTGAGAGATGGCAAGAGGGCAGCTTACCAAGAAGTTGCAGGGTGAGAAGTGGTTCCAGGCGACCCTTTCTACCTGCCCACTAAACCTCCAGGTGCGATGGCTGCTGTCGGGACTGCGGCAGTCATACAGGATTGCCGACCTGGCCAGAAAAAGACGATGCAGGTTAAGACTTGTTAGTTTTGTACATTCACAATCCCGACCTCCTATATACAGGAGATGAGAATTTATTTGACAATTTCTGAAGTTGTAACAGATTGAGATTGGACATACTTATCATATGATCCTGATATCAGGGTCTGAGCTTCAAAGGGGTGGAACATCAATGTCTGAACCTAAAAGAGACTTGCCTTTAATGTTTGAGATCAACATTTAAGCAGGCGAGGCTACATCCAAAATCTATTTCACGTCAGATTTTTTATTTAGAGTAAATCTATCAGGCCCATTGTGGGACGTTAAGCAGGTTGTGATCGCTGGATACACGTACCTTGTCAGTGTGTCTGCACAGTGTTGTGGCCGGCTTGCCATGTGTCAGATCCCACAGGATCACGGTTTCGTCGGCTGACCCACTGGCCAAGACGTTGCTGTGGAAAAGAGAAGCAACACACACAAAAACTCAGAATAAAGGTGCAGGGTAGGTTTGTGACAACATTAGTGACATTGTGATCGTGTGGTTACACTGACATGAGTGGAAAGGTCTGGGGCTAGGGGTGAGAGGTAACGGATACAACTCACCGGACCAGTTTGTTCCAGGATAAGTCCAGTACAGCGTCTGTATGACCTTCCACTGGCTCTGCTGCAGCCTAAAAATTCAAATTGCATGTTAGGATTCGGGTCATAGTGAGGAGACACCAACACCATAAACATAACAGTTAAACTATCACATCCAAGTCCTTGTGGGAAAACAACCTTTTTGCTCTTCTTCTTCTTCTTGGAGGCCTTCTTGCTCCCCAGGGTGAAGGCAGGCTCCAGGCAGTCCACCACATCCAAGTCCCACACGTCGATCTGCGATGTCATGTTGCCTACAGCCGCATAATTGCCTGTACAAAATGTATGGGGTTAATGTGAAGTCAAAAATGACATGTTATACACTGAGAAAACACTGAATTTAATGTCCATTTTGCGGAGTCAGGTTGAGATAAACTGCTGTTTGAGCTTAACTCAAATTAAATCTGAGAATCCATTCAACACTATAAAAAGTGAATGCACTCACCTGTGCCTTCTGGACTAGGGTCAAAGTTGAGCCACTCCACACACAGTGGATAGGCTGGCAGCAGTATGTCATGATGAACATAGAGGGATTCTTCTTCGGCATTGTATACTGTGCAGAGGGAAATAAATATAAATACATTAATTAAAACAACCTTTGTTTTTATACTGAAATGTACACAGAGTATACCAAACATTAAGAACACCTTCCTAATACTGAGTTGTAACCCCCCATTAATATGGGATCATAGCTTTCACCTGGTCAGTCTATGTCATGGAAAGAGCAGGTGTTCCTAATGTTTTGTCCACTTACTGTACGTCTATGCTATTTGATGCTGTGAAGCAAGAGTTTGTTCAAGTCTAAGCTGAGAGTCAAAGTGCCAGTTAGAACAACAGTCCCTGCAACTCACCGTGAATCTCCAGGTTGCAGCAGTCCTTCTCTGCTCTGCCTGAAATGATGAGGTTATCGTTGGGCTTGATTTGAAAGTCCTCTCGCTCATACTGGTCCTAAAGACCCAAAGAAAAGACGACAACAACTGTAAGTCTGAATGACACAGAATTACCAGAAATGAACAGCTGGGACGATAAACCGAAAATTATCGCAGGCATTTTGTTGATATCGTTCATTGCGATAACTCCCCTATACTAGAGAAATGTGAAGTTTGAAATGAAATAAGTTTGCTAATATGGGTGATTGTTAATGGGACAACTGATGGCTACAACCATCAAACTAATAGTAGTAGTTTAAAGGATAATAAAAAATACTGTTGTGCACATTGTTATAAACGTATCGTTTCTATTTATCAGTATCACATCAATTAGGCAATTTATCACGATATGGACTTTTTAGGCGGCAGGTAGCCTAGCGGTTAGAGGGTTGGGCCGGTAACCAAAAGGCTGCTGGATCAAATACCTGAGCCGAAATGGTGAAAAATCTATTGATGGCCCTTAAGCAAGGCACATACCCTAATTTGCTTCAGGGGCGCCATACTACTATGGCTGACCCTGTAAAACAAAATTTCACTGCACCTTTCCAGTGTATGTGACAATAAAACATATTTCATGTGATATGTTTGGCACTACTAGTTGGTACCAAACCAGACTGGTGAGATGTTTCATCACTCTGAACAAGCACACAGCCCTGGACTCACTGTGTCTTTGATGGTAATGTAAGGATCCTCCTCATTGGTGCTGAACACTGTGAGGCCGGCAAGGCTGTCACCAAGGTTGGCAGTCACTGTGCCAGAAAAAAAGAAGAACAGTAAGTGTTCTTTGGGAATAAAAACATTGATTAACACATTTCTCTTGGCATATTAACAGACAGAGATAACCCATGAATTTAAGATCATACATAATCGGAGAGCAGATGCAGCAACTATATTTACCCGAGTCGTCCTCATCATATCTATCCAAGCCATACTCTGCTAGTTCATCGGCTTCCTCCCTTCCTGCTTCGTTTTCATCCTGCTCTGGCTCCTGTCCCTGAACAGCTTCTGCCTCGTCAATCTGTTCCTGCCCGCTGGCCATGCCTTCATCATCCTCCTCCTCCTCACCTACGCGTTCACTGAGCAAACACAAATACATTGACACAAAAACATTATTGTTAATCCTGAACAAGAGCTCAAAGAAATCACCATTTATAATGTTGAGGTCAATTCCATTTCGAATTAGTTTGATTTGGAGTCACTTCGCTGGTCCAGAAATAATGAGTATTTCAAACATTTAGTTACACATTTCAATTCATTTCCTGGATTGACTGAGTTGGAATAGCAGTTTCAGTCTCACAGTCCCACTCAGGTCAGTGTTGTTATTTTCTGAAGCCCTCCAAACAAACAAAAAAAGTAAAATGTCAAGTAAGTAATCCAAAAACTCAACCAACCCTAATTGTTCTTTTGCCTCTGCTATGATGCGTTGCAATTCTTCTTTGCTCAACTCCACCTGTAACAAAATGTGGCAGCAGGTTAAAACAGAAATTACCTACTTGGTGCCATTAATTTTATTTTCCATATTCATGTTGTTGATAAAAAAATATATGGACAGGAATTATGCTGTTTATAAACTCTAAATGCTGTAATTCCAATGGAATATATTAGCTAGCTTGCAAGCTGGGGTGTATTCATTAGTCGGACTCCGTTGCAAAAGCGTTTGCTCCAAATATAAAACGTTTTGCAACGAAAACGAGTTTCTACTGGACAAATTCAGGTAGGTCCCTCCCCGTTTCGTTCCGTTTGATCCCGTTAGGTTCATAGAGTAAACGGTAAACGGTTTCCGTTTTGCAACGGAATCCGACTAATGAATACATCCCAGATGTATTTTCTGGCTTGTTGACATGTTGGCTATTTAGCTAGCTAGCTACTTACCTTATCTGGTGTTTCCTTCGAAACGCCTCGCTTTACCCATCCAACACAAGTAATTTGAGAACTCATTATTGACAAAGTATTAGTTTACTATTAATTCTCACGAAATTCAATGTAATGTACAACTCTAAAGTGTACAAAAACCCTTTGAAAAGAACCAGAAGCTACATACAAATTGCACGCATTGACATGTGAGTTGAGGTCCTACACTGTCTAGACAGGCAGTGCCGCAGAGTGATGACGTATGTGTGGGAAGGGAGGGAGGGGGGGGGGGGGGGGGGGGGGTTCTTCTTCGTCTTCTTCTTCTTCTTCCTTGAGTTCATATTGGCAGATCGCAATCAACTAACAGGTGCATACACCGCCACTTACTGTACTGGAGTGTGACGGCCGGTCACGACCTGTCTATACCACTATATTATCTAAATAACTAACACTGAACTTCGAACAAAAACAAAAAACTGTACTCTTTCAGTTAGATTTAAATGTTTATTCATTGCCCAGACAGTCTTGTGACTCGTTTGGGAACCTCTTCATTCAGTATTCCCTGTACCATTTCTGCTGTAAAGTCCTGGAGATCCAGGAAATATATTTGCTGCCTTCACATAGACGTCTAACTTCTTAGATGTTTTATTCATTTGACTAGTGCAATTTATCACTTGCGCTATAAACGCAACAAAGTCCACCTTCTTCACTTCTTCAATGTGTCGGGATCCTTCTCCTGCATGGCATTCACTACAGACTGTGGGACATCCACTACCATCTCATCTCTACTCACTCCTTCACACCGCTGTGTTCAATAATTTGCGCAGAACAAAAGACTGTTGATTACTAGCAGAGAGGAAGAAGCGAAGCGAGAGGTTTTACTCCACACAAAATCTGTCCACGAAAATAAGCCCACGAAGTGAGGAATATTTGTATGGAGGTCAATGAGTGTCGAATTTGGTCAACAAAAAATTTAATTGCTAATTTGCTACGTGAGGCTTATTTGATCTAATAGAAGTGTCGTAATGGTTAGGTTGTTACAAATGCGATGATATAAGTGGACTAACGTGGCATTTCGGCAACTTTGGAAAAAAAAGACTTTATATCGGAGTTGTGCCTGTTGTCATAGCGATAGATAGAGGACTCATCATGGATATAACTTGGTGGGGATTCCTATGAAATCAGCCAAAGAAGAAGAAGAAAACTAACTTCTTTAAAATGCAGTCACCGACGCTATATTAGGCACAGATACAAAGATGAGTCCTCCATCTACAGTTGAAGTCGGAAGTTTACATACACTTAGGTTGGAGTCATTAAAACTCGTTTTTCAACCACTCCACATATTTCTTGTTAAAAAACTATAGTTTTGGCAAGTCGGTTAAGACATCTACTTTGTGCATGACACAAGTCATTTTTCCAACAATTGTTTACAGACAGATTAATTAACTTATAATTCACTGTATCACAATTCAAGTGGGTCAGAAGTTGACTGTGCCTTTAAAAAGCTTGGGAAATTCCAGAAAATGATGTAATGGCTCTAGAAGCTTCTGATAGGCTAATTGACATCATTTGAGTCAATTGGAGGTGTACCTGTGGATGTATTTCAAGGCCTACCTTCAAACTCAGTGCCTCTTTGCTTGACATCATGGGAAAATGGAAAAAGAAATCAGCCAAGACCTCCACAAGTCTGGTTCATCCTTTGGAGCAATTTCCAAACGCCTGAAGGTACCACGTTCATCTATACAAACAATAGTACGCAAGTATAAACACCATGGGACCACGCAGCCGCCATACCGCAAGGAGGCCTACAAACCTGACTCAGTTACACCAGCTCTGTCAGAAGGAATGGGCCAAAATTCACTCAACTTATGTGGGAAGCTTGTTGAAGGCTACCCGAAACGTTTGACCCAAGTTAAACAATTTAAAGGCAATGCTACCAAATACTAATTGAGTGTATGTAAACTTCTGACCCACTGGGAATGTGATAAAAGAAAGAAAATATGAAATAAATAATTCTCTCTACTATTATTCTGACATTTCACATTCTTAAAATAAAGTGGTGATCCTAACGGGCCTAAGACAGGGAATTCTTACTGGGATTAAATGTCAGGAATTGTGAAAAACTGAGTTTAAATGTATTTGGCTAAGGTGTATGTAAACTTCCGACTTCAACTGTATCTCTATGGCCTGTCGTTCACAGCGTATCTGGTTCCAACCGATCTCGTCTCCTCCCGTCTGCCTTTCATATTTGAGGACATGTATTTCCATTATTAAAGCGATCACTTTACTATCTTGTCAAAATGATATACAATCTTTCTCACTAGATAACATTTGAGTCCTAAAGCAAACAAACATCAGTCACAAGATTGTCTGGGCAATGGCAGGCACAAAACAGGTTTTCAAGTATGAGAACATGTGCAGTTTATTTGGAAGATGAGCTGTATCTGGCCTGAACTTTGAAATGATGACCAACATAATCACAGTTTTATATAAAGTGCAAATCATTTTATTTTATTTGGCATAACATACAAATTACAATATACTTGACAAAATACTTGAAATACAAATGTTGTACACAGGGGCAGATTGTTAGTTCATATATTTCATAATTCGTAAACAAAAAGTGGTTGTTTTAGTTAAAGTTGTGTAACACACATGTATTGTAAATCATATATAACATTTTTATATATGTAAGTACATTTGGTTTAAAAAAATCACAATATAATCCAGCAACATATATTGATTTAAGAGGTTAGTCTATGGAGATAGATTGGTATCAAAATGTTTCAAATCGAATACATATGTCAAAAATGTTAAATACTTGAGGTGCCCATGAGTATGGAAGTTAGTTTCCGACCCCAAAAAATAAAATCTGACTACGAGTTATGAGATAGTAAGTCATAATTATATGATAGTAAGTAATTATTATGAGATACGTTTAGGTGATCTGTATCACATGAATCCAATGTGCACTTTGCATCAGGCCCTCCTCAACTTTCGAGGATAACCTTATGTATATCCTATAGTCAATCACACATTGTGTGTGTGTGAGAGAGAAAGAGAGAGAGAGAGCGAGAGAGATTGTGGTGAGATTTTTTGACTTTATGTTTTTTTACCCCATATGTAACTCTGTGTTGTTGTTTATATCGCACTGCTTTGCTTTATCTTGGCCAGGTCGCAGTTGTAAATGAGAACTTGTTCTCAACTGGCTTACCTGGTTAAATAAAGGTGAAAACAACAAAAAGAGATTGTTCCATATTAACGGATTGGAGAGTTTTGTTGATGTTAGTTGGTGCCTGTTTGTCTGGTTGGCATCAGATTTAAATAATATACACTAAGTGTACAAAACATTAGGATCACCTTCCTAATATTGAGTTGCACCCCCCTTTGCCCTCAGAACAGCCTCAATTCGTCAGGGCATGGACTCTACAAGGTGTCAAAAGCATTCCACAGGGATGCTGGCCCATGATGACTCCAATGCTTCCCACAGTTGTGTCAAGTTGGCTGGATGTCCTTTGGGTGGTGGACCATTCTTGATACACACGGAAAACTGTTGAGCGTGAAAAACCCAGCAGCGTTGCAGTTCTTGACACACTCAAACTGGTGCACCTGGCACCTACTACCTACCATACCCTGTTCAAAGACACTTAAATATTTTGTCATGCACATTCACCCTCTGAATGGCACACATACAAAATCCATGTCTCAATTGTCTCAAAGCTTAAAAATCCTTCTTTAACCTGTCTCCTCCCATTCATATACACTGATTGAAGTGGGTTTAACAAGTGACATCAATAAGGAATCAAAGCTTTCACCTGGTCAGTCTACTTCATGGAAATATGTTTTTTACACTCAGTGTATAGCCACTGATTCTTGAAGAATCTAACTTAGAAATGCCTCATGAGCAACGGTCTTAACCAATCAGAACCCAAAATATAAACTTGGCTTACTGTATTGTTTGTAAACAATGTCATTGGAAACAAGCACTGTATAGCTTCAAAACATGGTTAAAACTATCATTTTGATCTCATGGATGGTCAGTCCTTGCATCCATATGTGAGCCCTTGTGTCTATGTATTTGAGATTGGTTACATTTCTCCTGCCCCAATCCTCAGCTGTGGTGGGAAAACCTTTGTTACTGTTTGAATCCCAGAATGCCCCTTTAAAAGGGGTCGACCTGCAGGATTATTCAATGTCCATCATCCAGACTTTCTAAATCATAATTATGACTTTCTATCTCATCATTATACCTTACTATCTCATAATCAGATATTTTTTTGGGGGTGGTGGGAACAGGCTTCCATACTTGATGGCTTGCCTGGTTAATGCAATTTGAGCTTTTGGAATTATTCCTGACTAAATCAAGCACACCTTGAGTATTACAAATGTTTGACATATTTAACCAAGGTATCGTCACATATCCTTAGCTAAATCATTTGAATAGGCCTAGGCCACAAATTGTATTCAAATCTGTATGTTTTGTTTAAAGAATACAAGTATTGTTGTCATGTCATTCAAACCCCCCATAATCTTCCATATTTACTGTACAGTCAAACATATGGCCTTGAATCCTAATTTTAACATTACAAGACACATTAAATGTAACAGTGTACACATGTATGGAAAACCCAGGCACTGTGGTGTTCCTCCAGAAGTGTCTAAGACCTCAAAACAACGTCATCATTGTAACAATACAAGCCACATTAAATGTAACAGTGTACACGTAACAATCAGTGACATAAAAGTGCTAAATATGCAATATGTCCAGAGATCGGAGCAACAGAGCTGAGCTTCATGGCTGGTTTGGTTGGTCGCAGTCCCCACCAAGCTATTAAGCTACTAATAATATGAATTCATATTAATTCAAGCTATTAAAGCATGTATTGAATACATCTTTAGCTGCTCATAATACTGGCACATATTGTAGGTCCTGACAAAGGCAAGTCTCGCTCTTCAGACGACTGCCAAAGTTTCGGAGATTAAAAACAAAGGTCCATCATCTCCTCCTCCTCTTTGACCTCATTGTGTTTAAGTATCGTATCAGCGACAGGCTTCAAGCGTTTGGTCACCAGTTTGAGGTTGGTCTCGTGAAGGATGACCTGGCTCAAGTACTTTTCTCGTTTGATCTGTTCCCTCACTGCGTAAGGCACGTCCGGGATCACGTAGGACAGGACGAACTTGGTCAGGTATACAATGTGCTGAGGGGACAAGGGGAAAGGGGTCAGAAGGAGGGAAAACATTTGTAGGATTTCTTGAAAGGCTAGAAAATGTCCATCTGCCATTAGACAACACAGTAGAAAGAAAAATCAGGTCAAAGCAACGTATCGTATAAATTTTTACTCACCTCTACAACTATTATGAAAGCCATCTTGGCAGCGATCACATGCCAGTAGTAGATACTGTATTCATATTGTCTGTGGTGTCCCGGTGGATATCTGAAATCTCGATATCTAAAGTATGACAGAGAGACTGCATGAACTATTTCAATGTCTAACACAATTTAATTGAAACCCATCTCATATACATTCACATTACCTGCAGGTGGTGCTGTTATTGAACCAGTAAGGTGTTTGCGAGGGCCGGCTCTCGTTGGAGAAGTGCTGGATGTCGAACACGGAGAGCGTGTTGTTGATGTAGCCCTGCATGGTGGGACTGGAATGGTCTCCGTAGGGATACACAGAGAAAGACCAGTAGTAGACCAACCGTGGGATCATGTCTGATGTAAAGGCAATGATCATGGCCTGGCAGAGAGACAAGGAAGTGGAGGAGACAGTGCACATTAAACTGGTGCTCATCATAATAGATGAATTATAATCTAAGAATGTCACTACACCAGCATGGTAACAATCAAATTATATGAATAACATCCAGTGATGGGATTATGCAATGGAGAATAAACCAAGATTTTAAAAAATAAGTAAAAAAATATAGTACTTCATAATCCAATGGAGGAGCCATCACTCACATTTGATGCCACAGCCAAGATGGCGACACCTTGGAGAATGGGTTGCCACGCCCCGATGTCTTGGGCCTTCTCTGGCACCATGCGGCGGAACTGGGTGGTGATCTTCCAGGCGTCCACCCGGATCTCAAAGAGGTTATTGACCAGAGCCAGGACAGGAGCCAGGGGGAAGGAGGCCACAAACAGAGTCACAAAACCAAACTGGATCACTGTAGGAAAAAAGCCACGCAGACACAAAGCCAAATTTGATCATTAAACAAAAATATAAACGCAACATGCAACAATTTCAAAGATTTTTACCGAGTTACAGTTCATGAAAGAAAATCAGTCAATTTAAATAAATAAATTAGGCCCTAATCTATGGATTTCACATGACTGGGCAGGGGTGCAGCCGTGGGTGGGCCTGGGAGGGCATAGGCCTACCCCCTTTGGAGCCAGGCCCACCCACTGGAGAGCAAGGCCCAGCCAATCAGAATGAGTTTTTCCCCACAAAAGGGCTTTATTACAGAAATACTCCTCAGCACCACCCTCTCCCCTCTCAGATGATCCCGCAGGCGAAGAAGCCAGATGTGGAGGTCCTGGTCTGGCGTGGTTACACGTGGTCTGCGGTTGTGGACATACTGCCAAATTCTCTAAAACAACGTTGGAGGCTGCTTATTGTGTTGTGTGACAAAACTGCACATTTTAGAGTGGCCTTTTATTGTCCCCAGCACAAGGTGCACCTGTGTAATGATCATGCTGTTTAATCAGCTTCTTGATATGCCACACCTGTCAGGTGGATAGATTATCTTGGCAAAGGAAAAGTGCTCATTAGCAGGGATGTAAAGAAATTTGTGCACAACATTTGAGAGAATAAGCTTTTTGTGCTTATGGAAGATTTCTGGGATATTTTATTTCAGCTCATGAAACATGGGACCAACACTTTACATGTTGCGTTTATATTTTTGTTCAGTGTAGATCTGGGAACCTGATACTATGATAGTTAGTACTTCATAGGCTAGCTAGGGGGGAACCTGATACTATTATAGTAGCTGATAGGCTAGCTAGGGGGGAACCTGATACTATTATAGTAGCTGATAGGCTAGCTAGGGGGGAACCTGATACTATTATAGTAGCTGATAGGCTAGCTAGGGGGGAACCTGATACTATTATAGTAGCTGATAGGCTAGCTAGGGGGGAACCTGATACTATTATAGTAGCTGATAGGCTAGCTAGGGGGAACCTGATACTATTATAGTAGCTGATAGGCTAGCTAGGGGGGAACCTGATACTATTATAGTAGCTGATAGGCTAGCTAGGGGGGAACCTGATACTATGACAGTAGTTGATAGGCTAGCTAGCGGCGATTTGCACCATATTGCTTATGTCCATCCAACCCTTCTAGTTTAAGAAAGTGCCTTAGGGATAGGGGCTAGGGGTGGTTTCTGGACCGAGCCCAAAGTAATAGCGGGATTCAACTCACAAGAATACACCTAAAGCTACCACCATACTGTCTACACACCTATCCAATCCTCTCAGATCTACCCAGGTGCCCGGGGATAGGGGCTAAGGGTTGATTTGGGTGTCAGGGAGAGAGTTCGCCTCATTCTTCATATCTTACCCATCTCCAGGTATTCATAGAAGAGGCCCAGCTTCCCAATGGGCTGCAGCTGGTAGTCCTGCTCCCAGCGCGGAATTACCTTTTCAGACCCCACACGTGTGCAGCAGCGGAATATCAAATTCTTCACCCACCTGATGAGGAGAAACATGTCAATCGCAGAATCATGATGCTAATAACAAGGTAATAGAGCTTGCCAGCTTGTAGTCCTCAAAAACAGAAATGAGTTAGCATTTTCTACCTCTGGTTTGTTCAGCCATTCCTATGGGGGAAATTAATGGGGAAAGAATGGGGTTTTGGGATAAACTTTGAAAATAAGGTCTGAGGTTAACACAGGCTAAGGATATCTTATATGTTTTGTTCTATGAGATAATATCAGTCAGTTAACATGACCTTTGTGAATTATGAAACCCTTATCTGCTGTATGTGCTTGTTTTGATTACGGATATGCTTAAAAATTCACAAAAAGTGACGTTAGCTGATGAAGATTATCTCATAAAACAAAATGTATAAGACCTCCTAACCCTGTGTTTCTGGCATTTATCCAAAAACCCAACAAAACCCCCATTAATTTCCCCACTGGCTTTGGTCAATGAGCCATGGCATAGTTAAGTCTCCGTTAGTGCCTACAAAAAGACGCCTTTACGATTGCTCTCTGAATCAGATAATTATTATGTCTGGATACAGATACACTTGAAGATAAGGGGGAATTCCATTTTGAGTTGGGATGGAATAAACCATTGAACCAACCCTGATCCAATGTAACTGAAAAACTTTACAGTTGCTGGGCTCCTAGAGAGCTGATGTGGTTGGCCATTTTATGTTCTTCCATTGAACCAAAAACTTACGGCAGCAACACCTCCTGAATGTTATTCCAGATGGCTTTACCGCCCATGATGACAGTGAGCTGGGTTGTCAACTCAATCAGGCATCCTCCTGGATCACACTGGTAAGGATAAGACACAAATACTGTATCAATCAATGTCGGCCATCTTGTAGTATTACATGAAAAAGCACCTCCATTCAAACAACTTGTATTTAGTGGAAGATGTCCTCATCTAGGTTCATTCATTTGAAATATGAAGGTCTCTTTTAGTCAAACACAAATGCCACAGAATGCAACATCTAATCATTTGGCAACATAGTAGTTAGAACACAAGCAAAGGGGAAAAGCAAAACACTGTCATGCTGTGTTATCACATGTTCTGCCCCAATCACCAAGCTCCAATCACTAAGCTCCAATCAACTGAGCCTCCAATCAACTGATCTTTCAATCAACTGATCTTTCAATCAACTGATAGACATAAGTACCTCCTCGTTCCTGTACTTGCCCAGCAGGTAAACAGGCTGCCCAGGGTAACCAACCACTTTCCCTTTGGCAAAGGCAATGTAGAAGCAGGAGGAGTAGTAGTTGACAAACTGGAACAGGAACATCTTCAAAGTTAGACTGTTCTCATAATCCGTCTTGGTCCTTGGTAGCTCTTTAAAATTAAACAAGTAAGACATCTTCTCAATCTCGTCAAAAAAACATCAGGCTTAAATCAGGCTTTTTCTCTGTCCAGATTCTGCAAGTGACTCTGAAAAAGGACATCAGCTAAGGGCTATTGTGGTGGTGTGAATTTCCGACAGTATAAATATGTTGGGATACATATATTTGGATTACTTAGACCTATTGGCATGCAATATTTACTCATACCATGGTATAATTGCAGAATGTTTGGGGCACTGTAAAAAAATATAAGGCCGACTCCCTTCACAGGAAGATACTTTTGTTTTTACAATAACCAAAGATACTGTATAAACCTTGCTAAGGAACGTTTGAGTTAATATTAGCCCTTGTCTGAAAGCAGTTTGAGAAACATCATAGTTCATCATAAACCACATATTTATTGTTATTTGACACTGGGGCATCTCACCGAAGTCGGTGATCCAGATAGCAACCTTCTCATACAGGATGTTGAGCACCATGATGACTACGAAGCTGATGATGGAAGCAGTGACAGAGGTGGCCATTTGTGCGGTCACATACTCCTTAAACGGTTCGAGCTCCTTTAGGTCAGACTGGAGTCTCGTCGAAAATGAGAAGAACACTGCCAGTCGGTATACGATGATGGCCACCACTGACGCCAGGATCAACACAATCTGAACACAAGCACAAACACAAGAATTGGAGGGGTCAGACTTGAGACAAAGGTTAGGGTTATAGAAAACAAATATTGCTGTTGGAGTGCATGTGAATTGGCCTTTTCAGAACAAGATAACAGTAGAGAAGTCCAAAAGTGTTTACCCAGAATAAGACGGTCCCGATTCCTAAGGACACCCTTATACACCGTCCACAGGCTGTATAAGGCACGTTCTCTTTTACCTAAATGAAGAACAACATGTTTTACAATGAAGTAATGATACAGGTAATACTGTCCTTTTAAAACAAGTATATAACATCATCGGATGTGGAGTGTTCTTCTAGCCTCCTGAGGCTGACGCTATGGAATCACCATAGCGACTGTGTGACGAACGCATCTCCCTTACCCGTGTGACAGGGTTGATTCTCTCGTGGTTACACTTGGCCTCATACTCGGGACGAGGTTGCTCCTCCTGCTCCAGGAACTCCACGGTGTCCCAATCATACTCCAGCTCTGCCTGGTAGCGCTTCCAGAACTCCAGGAACACGGTCACTAGAACCAGGATCGGAACAAGAGTAAAGCTTTATTTTATTTGCCTGTAGCATGTGCTGAGGAAAACTCTTATATCATTATCATGCAACATCTAATTGCTAATAAGTTAAGATAGACAAAACAAAGCTCAGCTGGTAGAGCACGGCGCTTGTAACGCCAAGGTAGTGGGTTCGATCCCCGGGACCACCCATACACAAAAAAAATTATGCACGCATGACTGTAAGTCGCTTTGGATAAAAGCGTCTGCTAAATGGCATATTATATTATTATTATATTATTATTATATTATTATTATATATTAACACACTCAAATAGTACAGTTTCTGAAACCTCTACATTTGTAAATATGGTACGTTTAATGAATGAAATGACTCACCCCAAATGGCCATAAAGACAGCAAACACCAGCGTCCCATAGTTATCAAATATGCACAGTTTCTGAGGAAGACAAGGTCACATGAAATACTTTTCACATCATTTTCCTCTCCATCCATGACTCTTTGTAAATATATACGGAAACAAACCCTGTTCAAAAAGGTTTAATATGACTTGTAGCATGTCTCATGGGCCAAGGAGTCTGAGAAAATGGTCTGACATAACAAGCATTGGCAAATATAATTTTAAAGGACACTATCCATATAAGTCACTTTAATAATCATAATCACTCTGAATTGACCATGTGAGTGAATGAGAATTGTTTAGTGATGGGCTGGAGTATAAACCTGTACTGCCATGGATCGGAATTAGTGAACCCTAATGTATTACTTACTTTAGAAGATTCACAGGTGCTGTTGAGCCTCCAGTATGTGCACTCCTTGTCACACTGCGGACACATCACAATAGTTCCTCCAATCAAAGGGTCGCACACCTCTTTGCTATCCAATAAATGAACAGAGCAGATGGGTCAAACAACAAAATGCAACAAAGTTGTTAATCATTGGGTTTTCACACAGTTAGAGTGTCAGGGTACAGCATAGAAGGAACATCAAGCAAACTTAACTTTATGTGTCCTATCCTGCACTAATTGATCTTCATTTGATATACAGTACACTAGATTTAGCATCTTGTCACATATTTCTATGGTGTTGTGGGTTTCTGAAGTACTTTCTTTGAGTTTTAAACATACCTCCAGGTGCTTGTTTCTTGAGTCGTGTACCCATAAATGAAACAGCCAAGTCCAACAATGGCAGCGAGGGCTAGCATGGCTGTATAGAAGCCCAGCCAAGCAAAGTAAATGCCAATCTTCTCCCCATAATATTTTCTGTGAGAAAATTAAAGAAAATATTATTATTTCCATCCCTTATTTGCCATAATTACAATGATTAGGCCTTTAAGCACATTCTGTTTGTAAGAATAACTCTCAACACCTTATTACACTAAAGCAGCGATGTGCATGCAATGTGCATTTTTGTGACAGTAGATTAAAGCATGAATTACCTTATGAGATCAAGTGGCTGCATCTTATAGAAACTTTTAGGGTGAGCCCACTCGTTATACAGGAGGTATCTCTCATTGGGGCACTCATCTTCTTTCGACCTGACGTTGAATCTGCACTACAGTAAGTTCACAGACAACAAAACTAAAAAGTTCATAAAAACACCCCTCAGTGTTTTCACAGATCGATTGGTGTTTAATGTACGATGTTGTCAGTTACTAGTGCCACCCCACTCTTTACCCCCACTCACATCATGTAGGGGATAAGCAGCCTTGTACACCCCTCCATCGAGCAGCTTGGTGACACCAAACTTCTTGATGTTCCCTCGCACCTCATAGGGGGCTCGGCTGAGGATGTAGTAGGCCTGAGGAGGAAGACCAACCATTCTGTTATCATTCAAGTGTTAAGAAAAGAGTGTTAACACTATGGTTTAATTATAGGTACATTGATATTTTCATAGTACAAGGGCTGAATAACCAATCTAAGTGGTGTGATGGAATTTTTTATGTTTGTGCTTTTCTAATAACTAATTTCTGTGTACTGTTTGTGCTTTTCTATAAACCAATTTCTGATTGAACGAATCCTCACTATCAGTATCTGCAATTTGGCAGTACGCCCAGAACCTTGTTTAGAGAAAGGGATAGCTCAGTTTCAAGGTCTCAGAGAAGAAGCCTCGTGAGGTATTGGTCTGTCACATGCATGACCCAGTATTGGTCGTCACATAAATGAAGAGAACATTAATTATGAATGATGAATAAGCTAAATCATGCAAATATAGCTTGTCAGTATACAGTGGGGAAAAAAAGTATTTAGTCAGCCACCAATTGTGCAAGTTCTCCCACTTAAAAAGATGAGAGAGGCCTGTAATTTTCATCATAGGTACACGTCAACTATGACAGACAAATTGAGAAAAAAAATCCAGAAAATCACATTTTAGGATTTTTAATGAATTTATTTGCAAATTATGGTGGAAAATAAGTATTTGGTCACCTACAAACAAGCACGATTTCTGGCTCTCACAGACCTGTAACTTCTTCTTTAAGAGGCTCCTCTGTCCTCCACTCGTTACCTGTATTAATGGCACCTGTTTGAACTTGTTATCAGTATAAAAGACACCTGTCCACAACCTCAAACAGTCACACTCCAAACTCCACTATGGCCAAGACCAAAGAGCTGTCAAAGGACACCAGAAACAAAATTGTAGACCTGCACCAGGCTGGGAAGACTGAATCTGCAATAGGTAAGCAGCTTGGTTTGAAGAAATCAACTGTGGGAGCAATTATTAGGAAATGGAAGACATACAAGACCACTGATAATTTCCCTCGATCTGGGGCTCCACGCAAGATCTCACCCCGTGGGGTCAAAATGATCACAAGAACGGTGAGCAAAAATCCCAGAACCACACGGGGAGCTGGGACCAAAGTAACAAAGCCTACCATCAGTAACACACTACACCGCCAGGGACTCAAATCCTGCAGTGCCAGACGTGTCCCCCTGCTTAAGCCAGTACATGTCCAGGCCCGTCTGAAGTTTGCTAGAGTGCATTTGGATGATCCAGAAGAGGATTGGGAGAATGTCATATGGTCAGATGAAACCAAAATATAACTTTTTGGTAAAAACTCAACTCGTCGTGTTTGGAGGACAAAGAATGCTGAGTTGCATCCAAAGAACACCATACCTACTGTGAAGCATGGGGGTGGAAACATCATGCTTTGGGCTGTTTTTCTGCAAAGGGACCAAGACGACTGATCCGTGTAAAGGAAAGAATGAATGGGGCCATGTATCGTGAGATTTTGAGTGAAAACCTCCTTCCATCAGCAAGGGCATTGAAGATGAAACGTGGCTGGGTCTTTCAGCATGACAATGATCCCAAACACACCGCCCGGGCAACGAAGGAGTGGCTTCGTAAGAAGCATTTCAAGGTCCTGGAGTGGCCTAGCCAGTCTCCAGATCTCAACCCCATAGAAAATCTTTGGAGGGAGTTGAAAGTCCGTGTTGCCCAGCGACAGCCCCAAAACATCACTGCTCTAGAGGAGATCTGCATGGAGGAATGGGCCAAAATACCAGCAACAGTGTGTGAAAACCTTGTGAAGACTTACAGAAAACGTTTGACCTGTGTCATTGCCAACAAAGGGTATATAACAAAGTATTGAGAAACTTTTGTTATTGACCAAATACTTATTTTCCACCATAATTTGCAAATAAATTCATTAAAAATCCTACAATGTGATTTTCTGGATATTTTTTTCTCATTTTGTCTGTCATAGTTGACGTGTACCTATGATGAAAATTACAGGCCTCTCTCATCTTTTTAAGTGGGAGAACTTGCACAATTGGTGGCTGACTAAATACTTTTTTCCCCCACTGTATAAGGAAACTAACGGGACTGCCCCGTTAGAGCTCACTTCAGACCGTTACTTTCTGCATCTAAGTTTGACTGTGACCTCTCCAGCTTGCTGACAATAAAGAGTGATTCATATAAGATTGACTTCGAGTGTCCCTGTGTAAGAATGTCCACAACAGTGGTCTACAGACAAAATATCTTTAAATACCATTTAGCAGCATCAGAAACCTGAGATGCTTAAACTACCGTAAGAAGGTCAATGAGGTGACTTCTTTTTAGTTCTTTATTTTTAATCTCTATCAAAATCTAGTGTGCCGCTGCATATTTGACCTCTCTGACTTTAGGGTTTATGTCCCATGATGAGGTAAAGAAAGCAGTGCACTTGCCATTCTACTCCTCATGGACGGCGTGAAGAAGAGGTCCCGGTCCTTCACGTAGAAGTACTCCAGCCTGTCCTTCTCGAACGGGGCGGTGAAGTACTCCGTCTCCTTGGCTATGAGGTCCTCGCTGGGGTAGAAGTGTTTGGTGATGCAGCTGAGGAAGTTGAAGGGCGAGGACGTGGTGGACAGGTCATTGGGCTGAATGGGCAGCTTGATGTGGAGGACCTCGGCGTAGGTACACAGCACGTCCCAGGGCATGTGCACCTTGACGAACAACAGCTTCTCATCCACCACCTTGTCGGAATGACGAAGATAAAACAACAAGATAAGGCAGCCTTTTTCATTTCAACTAAATGTATTACCACTTCAGTAATCCCCTAAGAGGCAACTAAGAAGACATTGCCATGATCACAAATGACATCCTCCACATAATACAAGTACTAAAACATCACATTAATCTAATGCAATGCTTTATTATCTACAAAATCAGAAGTTGGCTCTGTGTTTATCAATGTTAACTCATTGATCCTGTTCCATGAAATACCACCAAAGTTTGCCAATAATTGGGAAACTAGACTCAAATAATGGAATTGGTGCCATAGTTTTCCACTGCAATTCAATCTCAACCCTTCCTGAGGAAATAGTTGGTTGTTTAAAAGGATGACTTTGTAAAACAACTGTGTCTGCCATCTAAAATGCAGCCAAAAACAAGCTCCACAAGGTCACTTAAATAAGCAGTATGATAATAAAACTATGTAACAAAAACAAACATTAAGTGTTTCTCTACCATGCAATACCAAACTAATGTAAGATATTAAATATTGTTTCCACCCAATCCTCCCTGAAGATCTACACACTAGACCTCACTCTGCAAGCTAACAGCTGAGTAAATACATCAAGTCAGTCCTTGTAAAATGTATTTGGTGGCCACTCACAGATCTGGCAGCCTCTAGTTCCATCCCCATCTTCATCAAGCTGGCCTCAAAGTACTCTCTGCGTTGCTAGGGAAGAGAACACAGGATGTTAAATCAATGGATCCCGTGCTTGTAACACTACCCCTTCTGTTTCCCTATTGGATCATGTCCAATCTGTTTGTCTTATTACTCTTGTAATGAAAAGTGCTTTACAAATGCCATATCTAATACATTATTATCCCATCTTAACTGTGGTTGTGTATAATAAATAATGAATGAAAAGTGTAATTATATTGACATTACATTGACTGATTTCCCCTCAATGGATAGCAATGCACTGACTGATTTCAACCATGTATGAAACTGACTACATCTATATGTGAATTGTGTGTACGATACAAGACACCTTCTGATAAAACCATGTCAAATAAATAAAAATTGCATGCACAAAGCGCAGTGCAGGCAGCTCAGTGGTCAATCAAAATACATTTCTACTACGTCCGTCTGTATGCTTCTGTTTAGTGCATCCACAACACTTGTAAAGAATTGTAAATACAGTAGATATAACTGGGTTGGGAATGACTAAAGGGTCAGTTTCTAGGGAAGTGGAATTTTGACTTATTTTCCCTCTCAGTCTGTGAAAGTGCATTAAAACCTGTAATGATGTCATGTCATAGTATTGTGTGGACTAGGGAAGAGTTAGGGGATAATTGACTTGGTTCCTTATGTCAAAGGAGATTACTGATGTTTAGGATAGCATGATGGATGGACAGGATACTGACTTGGGGCAAAGGTTAATAACAACAGAGAAAGGGAGTGCCTATGATGGTTGCAAGATGTATGTGAAAGGAAGGATAACCAAGAGTATAAAGGAGGTGAGATTTGTGTGTAGGGGCAGTTCAATTGACAAAGGGCAGAGCTATGTCCGTTTGTTAGATGAACCCACGAGCTCGTGATCAAATAAATACTTGGTAAAATCTCCACAGAATGTCTAAGTAAATTCTTGCATCCTCACTTCTCAATACTAGAAACTCATCATAACAGATTGGCGTCACGAAAAGGATGCAGTTCCCAGCCAGACTAACAGGTAAGCTGACCTTCACTTTTTTGATTATGTCAAATTCTGCTTATCTGTGGTAAGGCTTAGCTGTAACGGACCTTTAAAATTCAATATTTTTAAAGGGGGACGATGAGTGGTCTTGAATTATGTAAAAGGATGTAAGGAGGAATATCAAATTAGACAATGACATGGTGCTATGATTCAAAATAGGGTGTGTTCGAAGTAAGGAGTAAAAGCAACAGAGTAGAGAGAGATTAGGCGCAATGCACCTTTAATGATGTTATTCATTATAAAGAGAGATTAGGCGCAGTGCACCTTTTAATTATGTTATTAATTATAAAGAGAGATTAGGCGTAGTACACCTTTAATGATAATTCATTATAAAGAAAGAGAAATAGGTTATGGATCTATGATGTGTTGTTGTGAAGCTCTGATGTGTTGGACCATCATGGGAGTTATAATGCTATGATGTGTTGTATCATCATGGGAGCAAATTGGTAAAGAGAGAAATAGCTTAGGTTATACATTCTTACATTTTAGTCATTTAGCAGACGCTCTTATCCAGAGCGACTTACAGTTAGCACATACATTATTTTATCGAACCCACAACCCTGGTGTTGCAAACGCCATGCTCTACCAACTGAGCTACATCCCCTGCCGGCCATTCCCTCCCCTACCCTGGACCAATTGTGCGCCGCCCCATGGGTCTCCCGGTCGCGGCCGGCTACAACAGAGTCTGGATTCGAACCAGGATCTCTAGTGGCACAGCTAGCACTGCGATGCAGTGCCTTAGACCACTGCGCCACTCGGGAGGTAATGAAGCTCTGATGTGTTGGACCATCATAGGAGTTATAATGCTCTGATGTGTTGTATCATCATAGGAGCAAATTGGTGAAGCTCTGATGTTGTATCATCATGGGAGTAACTTGGTAGAAATAGGTTATGAAGCTCTGATGTGTTGTATCATCATAGGAGTAATATAGATGAAGCTCTGATGTGTTGTATCATCATAGGAGTAAAATAGATGAAGCTCTGATGTGTTGTATCATCATAGGAGTAAATTAGATGAAGCTCTGATGTGTTGTATCATCATAGGAGTAAATCGGTAAAGAGAGAAATAGGTTACGGACCTTTTAGATGTGGGAGGACATCATAAAATGAAATAGATGGTGAAATACTCAAAACGGCCAGGAGAGGGAGCCGATTAAATGTAACATATTGAATCATAGCACCAAAATGACATTTAAAGGAAAACTAAATTTTAATACATATCAGGATGGAGATTTTAATATAAGTATTTAATTACTAATAATTGCATGTACTAATAACAGTAATGAATGGCCAGCTTAGTACACCGGTATATATACCCCAACCAGAAGCCATGGATTACAGGAAACATCCGCACTGAGCTAAAGGGTAGAGCTGCCGCTTTCAAGGAACGGGACTCTAACCCGGACGCTTATAAGAAATCCCGCTATGACCTCCGACGAACCATCAAACAGGCAAAGAGTCAATACAGGTCTAAGATTGAATCATACTACACTGGCTCTGACGCTCGTCGGATGTGGCAGGGCTTGAAAACTATTACAGACTACAAAGGGAAGCACAGCCGCGAGCTGCCCAGTGACACAAGCCTACCAGACGAGCTAAACCACTTCTATGCTCGCTTCGAGGCAAGCAACACTGAAGCATGCATGAGAGCACCAGCTGTTCCGGACGACTATGTGATCACGCTCTCCGTAGCCGATGTGAGTAAGACTTTTAAGCAGGTCAACATTCACAAGGCCGCAGGGCCAGACGGATTACCAGGACGTGTACTCCGAGCATGTGCTGACCAACTGGCAAGTGTCTTCACTGACATTTTCAACATGTCCCTGACTGAGTCTGTAATACCAACATGTTTCAAGCAGACCACCATAGTCCCCGTGCCCAAGAACTCTAAGATAACCTGCCTAAATGACTACCGACCCGTGGCACTGACGTCTGTAGCCATGAAGTGCTTTGAAAGACTGGTCATGGCTCACATCAACAGCATAATCCCAGAAACCCTAGACCCACTCCAATTTGCATACCGCCCCAACAGATCCACAGATGATGCAATCTCTATCGCACTCCACACTGCCCTTTCCCACCTGGACAAGAGGAACACCTACGTGAGAATGCTATTCATTGACTACAGCTCAGCATTCAACACCATAGTGCCCTCAAAGCTCATCACTAAGCTAAGGATCCTGGGACTAAACACCTCCCTCTGCAACTGGATCCTGGACTTCCTGACGGGCCGCCCCCAGGTGGTAAGGGTAGGTAACAACACATCTGCCACACTGATCCTCAACACGGGGGCCCCTCAGGGGTGCGTGCTCAGTCCCCTCCTGTACTCTCTGTTCACCCATGACTGCATGGCCAGGCACGACTCCAACACCATCATTAAGTTTGCCGACGACACAACAGTGGTAGGCCTGATCACCGACAACGATGAGACAGCCTATAGGGAGGAGGTCAGAGATCTGGCCGTGTGGTGCCAGGACAACAACCTCTCCCTCAACGTGACCAAGACAAAGGAGATGATTGTGGACTACAGGAAAAAAAAGAGGACTGAGCACGCCCCCATTCTCATCGACGGGGCTGTAGTGGAACAGGTTGAGAGCTTCAAGTTCCTTGGTGTCCACATCACCAACGAACTATCATGGTCCAAACACACCAAGACAGTCGTGAAGAGGGCACGACAAAGCCTATTCCCCCTCAGGAGACTAAAAAGATTTGGCATGGGTCCTCAGATCCTCAAAAAATTCTACAGCTGCACCATCGAGAGCATCCTGACTGGTTGCATCACCGCCTGGTATGGCAACTGCTTGGCCTCTGACCGCAAGGCACTACAGAGGGTAGTGCGTACGGCCCAGTACATCACAGGGGCAAAGCTCCCTGCCATCCAGGACCTCTATACCAGGCGGTGTCAGAGGAAGGCCCTCAAAATTGTCAAAGACTCCAGTCACCCTAGTCATAGACTGTTCTCTCTGCTACCGCACGGCAAGCGGTACCGGAGTGCCAAGTCTAGGTCCAAAAGACTTCTCAACAGCTTCTACCCCCAAGCCATAAGACTCCTGAACAGCTAATCATGGCTACCCGGACTACTTGCACTGCCCCCCCACCCCATACTTTTTACGCTGCTGCTACTCTGTTAAGTATTTATGCATAGTCACTTTAACTCTACCCACATGTACATATTACCTCAACTACCTCAACTAGCCGGTGCCCCCGCACATTGACTATGCAACGGTACCCCCCTGTATATATAGCCTCCCTACTGTCACTTTATTCTATTGTATATATAGCCTCCCTACTGTCACTTTATTTTTACTTCTGCTCTTTTTTTCTCAACACTTTTTTTGTTGTTGTTTTATTCTTACTTTTTTTGTTTAAAATAAATGCACTGTTGGTTAAGGGCTGTAAGTAAGCATTTCACTGTAATGTCTGCACCTGTTGTATTCGGCGCATGTGACCAATAAAATTTGATTTGATTTGATTTGATATATGTATATATATTTTTTAAAGTCACCATTAAGAGTAAAGCAGAGCTACATTTAACTCAAAGAGAGAGACAGGAAGTGACGAAATTATTACAGGCAAATCCGCAGTTAGAATAAGTATTTTGTCAAAGTAATGTAAAATTAAGAAATTGAATGGGATAAAATTGGCTATCTTATAAGCAAAGAGCAGAAGATAATTTAAATCTGAAGGGTGCAAAATAAGATCTAAAAATGGGTATAATAATTTGATATAAGTTTGGATAAGAAGTTACGATATATAACATAATAAGGTCATAGAATATCAAGGAGTGGTAAATAGAGCTTGATGTTATTTTAGAGAGTAGTGGAAAGTCTGTGTTTTCTGGGACAGGAATGGCAGTGTCCTTGGAAATTACAGTCTGTTTTTTGGTTCCGCTGGGAGAATGATTGAGAGGCTGATTTGGGTTGAGTGAGGATTGTTAAACTAACAAAGGGATTCTTTGATGTGAGTATCTAGAAGTTTCTAACGGTCTATATGGAGTTTGTGACAAATGTGAAAATATGATCCATTTTACGTATGGGTAGGTGATTATTAGAGATTTCATAAAATAATAATTGGAATAATAATTATATATTGGCCTGCTCACCCACAACGTAGACGTACGTCGTGGGTGGAAAAGTAATTAATATGGTGTTTCTAAGTTTGTACCGTAGTTGGATAATGTGATCGAGATAAGATTTAAGGAATAAACTGACCGTGAGTAAAGTGGTTAAAGACGTAAGTTATAATATTGTACAAAGCCAATTTAGGGTTTCCATCAAAATAAAATACTCCTGAGTGGCGCAGTGGTCTAAGGCACTGCATCACAGTGCTAACTGTGCCACTAGAGATCCTGGTTCGAATCCAGGCTCTGTCGCAGCCGGCCGCGAGCGGGAGACTCATGGGCGGCGCACAATTGGCCCAGGGTAGGGGAGGGAATGGCCGGCAGGGATGTAGCTCAGTTGATAGAGCATGGTGTTTGCAACGCCAGGGTTGTGGGTTCGATTCCCACGGGGGGCCAGTATAAAAAAATAATAATGTGTTCACTAACTGTAAGTTGCTCTGGATAAGAGCGTCTGCTAAATGACGTAAATAAAACTAATTATGGAGTGATTATGATGTAATAAAGGAATTTCATTATGTCGCAAGGGAAACATAATAAGTTTTATTAAAATCGCCAGATCTATTTCCAAATCAATAAATGTGGATTTGACTCATTGACTGCTAATTCATTCATTTTGAGCACGTGAGAGCTTTGCAAAGAAACACTTGAAAGATTTTTTAAAGGCTATTTTCTTGTAATTGTGTCGTTATTATGTACCAGAGGTTAAGACTACATGTACCAGAGTGTCACAGATTCAGCCGAGGCTGCCCCTCCTCCTTGCTCGGGCAGGCTTCGGCGTTCGTCGTCACCGGAGTACTAGCTACTACCGATCCATGTATCTATGTTCAACTTGTTTTGTCTTCATTGGTCACACCTGTTTCCCATCGTAGTTATGTCTTCCCTATTTAACCCTCTGTCTCACACTGTGTGTTGTGCGTGTTTGTTCATGTTTTGGTTGTCGTTAGTGTGTGGGTTTATTCCCTCCCTGCGTGGAGGTTTTGTTCATACTTTTACCTATGAGTAAAGTATGTTTTTTGATTAGCTCTGTGTCCTGTGCCTGACTTCGCCTACCGCATTACACTGACACCTTGACAGAAACACGCACCATAACATGGAGTCAGCAGGTACAGCAATGCCAGCCGGATCGATGGAGGAACGCGTCCAACAACAAGCGGCCATGATCCAGGCTCTCGGCACCGCTATGGAACGGGTGGTTAATACCATGGAACGATGGGAGAGAGACGGTATCCCTATACCTCCTCCAATTACACCACCACCACCAACACCGCTGTCCACCTCTTCACCATCAGGGTCCAGTGGGATTCGGCTCTCGCTCCCGAGGGCATATGACGGTACAGCTGCTGGGTGTCAGGGTTTTCTGCTCCAGGTAGAGCTCTACCTGGCAACCATCCACCCGGCTCCCTCGGGATACGAGAGCGTGTCCGCCCTCATCTCCTGTCTGTCCGGTAAAGCGCTTAAGTGGGCCAACGCCGAGTGGGGGGGAATAGACGCCGCAAATGTAAGCTATGCAGAGTTTACCCGCCGCTTTAGGGCGGTATTCGATCATCCACCAGAGGGGAGAGCGGCGGGTGAGTGTCTATTCCACCTCAGACAGGGGAGGAGGAGTGTGCAGGAGTTTGCACTGGACTTTCGGACTCTGGCTGCCAGCGCAGGATGGAATGAGAGGGCCCTCATCGACCACTATCGTTGCAGCTTAAGGGAGGACGTTCGTCAGGAACTGGCCTGCAGGGACACCAACCTAAACCTGGACCAACTGGTGGATATGTCAATCAGGCTGGATAACCTGTTGGCCACCCGCGGACGTCCGGATCAGGGGCCGTCCATTCCATCCCCAAGCACCTCCGACCCTACCCCTATGGAGCTCGGAGGTGCTGCTATGAGGGAGACCGGTAGAGGGGCCATCCCCTGCACCAACTGTGGCCGCAGAGGACACACTGCTGGTCGGTGCTGGGGAGGGTCTTCTAGGAGTCGAGGCAGTAGGCAGACCACTGGTGGATCGTTTCAGGTGAGTAGGCACCCAACTCACCCAGAGCTCCCTGTTGCGCATATGTGTATAGATTTTGTATTTCCTGAGTTTTCTTCTCATTCCCAGCATAAGGTGCTAGTAGATTCAGGCGCAGCTGGGAACTTTATTGATCGTCAGTTTACCCGTAGGTTAGGGATTCATTTTGTGCCAGTTGATGTGCCCTTCCCTATACATGCCCTAGATAGTCGCCCTTTAGGGTCAGGTCTGATTAGGGAGGTCACAGCGCCACTCTGGATGAAGACGCAGGAGGGGCATGAGGAAACAATTAGTCTATATCTGATTGATTCTCCTGCATTTCCAGTGGTGTTGGGGCTTCCCTGGTTAACCTCTCATGACCCCACTATTTCATGGCAACAGAGGGCTCTCAAGGGATGGTCAAATCAGTGCTCGGGGAGGTGTGTAGGTGTTTCCGTAGGGGCAACTACGGTGGAAAGTCCAAACCAGGTTCCCACCATGCACATTCTGCCTGAATATGCCGATTTGGCTCTCGCCTTCTGTAAAAAGAAGGCGACTCAATTACCACCCCATCGACAGGGGGATTGTGCGATAAACCTCCAGGTAGGCGCTGCGCTTCGCCGGAGTCACGTGTATCCTCTGTCACAGGAAGAGAAGGCGGCTATGGAAACATATGTCACCGAATCTCTGAGGCAAGGATACATTCGGCCTTCCACTTCCCCTGTGTCATCTAGTTTCTTTTTTTTTTCTACGGGGTACCTGAGGATATTGTGTCAGATCGGGGTCCCCAGTTCACCTCAAGGGTTAACCTCGATCAGCCTTACCTCAGGTTTTCACCCCGAGAGTAATGGGCAGGTGGAGAGAGTTAACCAGGATGTGGGTAGGTTTCTGCGGTCCTATTGCCAGGACCGGCAGGGGGAGTGGTCGGGTTTTATCCCCTGGGCAGAGATGGCCCAAAATTCACTCCGCCACTCCTCTACTAACCTTACTCCTTTCCAGTGTGTGTTATGTTATCAGCCGGTCCTGGCATCAGAGCCAGATCGAGGCTCCTGCGGTGGATGAGTGGTTTCGGCACTCGGAAGAGACCTGGAACGCTGCTCATGAACACCTGCAGCGGACCATCAGGCGACAAAAGGCGAGCGCCGATCGCCACCGCAGTGAGGCCCCGGTGTATGCACCGGGGGACCGGGTCTGGCTCTCGACCCAAAACCTGCCCCTTCGCCTGCCCTGCCGGAAGCTGGGTTGGCGGTTTGTGGGGCCATTTAAAGTCCTGAGGAGATTGATTGGTATGTTATAGGTTACAGCTTCCTCTTAATTACCGTATTAACCCCTCGTTCCATGTGTCTCTCCTCAGGCCGGTAGTAGCTGGTCCACTCCAGGAGTCTGAGGTACGGGAGGTTCCTCCGCCCCCACTGGACATCGAGGGGGCACCGGCGTACTCGGTCCGTTCCATCCTGGATTTGAGGCATCGGGTGGGGGGCCTGCAGTATCTCGTGGAGTGGGAGGGGTACGGTCCGGAGGAACGGTGCTGGGTCCCTAGGAGGGACATCCTCCATCCCTCCATGTTGAGGGATTTCCACCGTAGTCATCCGACTCGCCCTGCTCCGCGTCCTCCTGGCCGTCCCCGAGGCCGGGGTCGGCGCACGGCTGGAGCCGCGCGTCAAGGGGGGGGTACTGTCACGGATTCAGCCGAGGCTGCCCCTCCTCCTTGCTCTGGCAGGCTTCGGCGTTCGTCGTCAACGGAGTACTAGCTACTACCGATCCATGTATCTATGTTCGACTTGTTTTGTCTTCATTGATCACACCTGTTTCCAATCATGTAGTTATGTCTTCCCTATTTAACCCTCTGTCTCACACTGTGTGTTGTGCGTGTTTGTTCATGTTTTGGTTGTCGTTAGTGTGCGGGTTTATTCCCTCCCTGCGGAGGTTTTGTTCATACTTTTACCTACGAGTAAAGTATGTTTTTTGATTAGCTCTGTGTCCTGCGCCTGACTTCGCCTACCGCATTACACTGACACCTTGACACAGAGGTTAAGACTACCAACCATTGTAGTTGGGCTATTTGTGGGACATATTGTCTTTTCAAAAGGCATCGGTTCCATGGTACTGACTAAAATCTGGGTTTTGGAGTGTAATTCATATGATGGTATGTGGCTTGAATGGATACTACAAAGTATTTGGTTTGGTGATGTTGAATGGAAGATTTGTAGCGTGGTGCGTGGTTTAAATAGAAAGACTCACTTATTTAACAGGAATAGCGAGACGATTGTGTGTTAGTCATTTTTTTGTGCTTGCCTAAGGGTTTGCTAGATAAGCGATTGAGAATGGTGGCGTAATGTTTATAAATAAATTGGATATTGATTATATGGATATGCATTCAATATATGATGGTAAACTACAGCAAGTGTTTGGTCTTACTTGTAGCCTACGTAGAAAGGATAGTTACCTACATCTGCTATATTCTGATAATGGAGGAGTGTTGTTTTCAGATGAGCTGTGATTATAACCTTAGTTGATTGCAGGGGAAATAGGATATAGTTTACGACGCATGGAGAAGTGAATGTCTTATATTCATGAAAAGTGAAGCAAGGGAACTTAGAGAATAATAGGAATATTAAACAAACACTAGGGATAATGTAGCTTTGTTAGAAGTATTATGGACATACTATCGTAATAGATAAACTGAACCAAACATGACGTTACTACGGCAATTTGGGATGGTTAATGTTGTTACGTTCGTTTTTAAACCCTACGATAGAGGTAAATGTAGAACGCTGTTTGAAGATGTGTTATTTGGTATACTAGTAAGAAGGGGTTTCCATATTTTGTCTGCGGGTGTTAGCAACTGGGTCTCGCTGAGACGTGAGAGTACTGTAAGGGACATAATGGGTTAAATTAGGAGTACAAGGATCAGTGGTTGCTGTAGAGAAGGAAGTCATAGGGGGTTGAATGTTATCAGTGTGAAATGGCTAGCTAGTTAGCAGTGAGAGCTAGTGGGGTTCCATGTGGTGACGTAACTTGCTCTGTGAAATGGAAGTAGTTGCTTTGCAAGGATCGCAGATTTTGTGGAGTAACGGGTAATGGTGTTTCGATGGTAAATGTTGTCGATATGTGTAGAGGGTCCCTGGTTCAAGCCCAGGAAGGAACAGAAAGCAAATATTTTACATTGATGCTATTGACCTAGATTACTAGATGAATTGATAACATTACGTGAAAGGAATTGTCTTACCAACACATAGAGAATAGTATAACATAGTAATTAAAGTTGCATATCGTGAATATATGTTTTATTTGTTTTGACTATAACTTTACAGTAATTTGTCATTTGTTGAGGTAACGTTATATGGAAAGTTAGCGATAGAGAATAATAGATATTGTAGAGGGTTTACAGAGTAAGAAAGTTAATTGGGTGATGTGACATGTTGAATTAATGTTAAATTGAATTGTTTGAAGAAGGTTAAGTAGGTTTATTGGGAGATGTGAAAGGTTGAATTGGATTGTTTAAGTAGCTTGGTATTAAAATAATTATTTCTAGCAAGGTCTATGAAAATATGTTATTAGGTAGTAGTGGTTTGTGGATACAATTTACTAATGACATTATTTCATAAGAGGGTGACAGGAAGTAGTGATAGTTGGGTTATATTGACATATGTAGGAAGCATTGGGATGATATGAAGAACATGTCTAGATAGTTGAATATGGAACGTTATTTGATCATTGGTAATTATTATTATTAAATTATATAGTTTGTGTAAACAACACTGAGTTATGCAGACAGTTCATTAATTCTAAAAAGGATCATCTGTTTATGGTACGTTGAACAATGGGATATAGAGCTATGGGATCATAACACCACCACAGCAGCGCTTCAGTATAATGGAGTGTCTAACAGAACCTCCCTTAGTCTGGGCATGTCATAATAGTCCTACTGGGGCATGACATCAAGAGCTTGGCAACATGAGCGACCACAGCTGCATACGAGGCGTGTACACTCCTGCTGCTTTCAATGTTCCCTGCTCCCAAACCACTCATTGTAAAACATTATTTCAACATATTGTTGGTGAATCACAGATGCTACCTCTATCAACGGTGCATTTACTTATTATTTCAGCCATTATGATGTGCCAGAATCTGACATTTGGATAATTATATTTTGACATTTGTAAGGATAGTGTATAGTGTATGTTAGTGTGTTACATTTCTGTCACCTTGTTGTGATGGATATTGTGCAACGTGGTAGGACAGGGATTTTACTCATATTAATCATAGGGATACCTTAGATCTGACACACTGTGACTGAAGCAAAGAAAAACTCCCTGTACAAATATTCAGAGTCAATATTCCGGGTGTACAATGAGAAAGCCTTAGTGTCACGCTCTGGCTCCGGGACTGTGTAGTTTGAGCCAGGGTGTATTCATTTGGTTGTGTTGGGTATAGGGTGTGTTCATTTGGTTGTGTTTGGTTTTGGTTGTAGTGTCTTGTCTCGTCATGTGACTCCCAATCGGAGGTAACGAGTGTCAGCTGTCGGCTCGTTATCTCTGATTGGGAGCCATATTTAAACTGTCAGTGTTCACCTTAGGGTTGTGGGTTTTTGTTCCATGTTTCAGTCTGTGTACTGAGGACTTCACTATCCGTCATTGTTTATTGTTTTCTCGTTCGTGCACTTTAACTTTAATAAAGTCATGTTCGCTACAAACGCTGCGCTTTGGTCCACTCCTTCCGTAGACGGCCGTGACAGAAAAACCCACCAAAAAAGGACCAAGCAGCGTGTCCAGGAGCAAGGAGACTGGACATGGGAGGAGGCGCCGGGTAAGGAGATCGAGAGGCTGGCGATGGCCCAGGTGGGCAAATCGTGGTCCTGGGAGGACATGCTCGGGGGCAAGGGACCTTGGGGGAGGATCAAGGCCCTGGCGAGAGAGGAGCAACGGCGTCAGCAGGGCCATCGTCGGAAGGACGAGAGGCAACCCCAAAAAGTTTTTTTGGGGGGGCACATGGCTTGGGCGGCTGGGCAGCAGGAGGCTGCCACAGGGAGACGTGGAGAGAAGGCTACCGGGTTACGGGAGCCATTGGCGAGTAGAGGGAGGGAAGTAGTGGAGGCACGGCGTGAGAGACTGAGGTGTGTTACCAGTCCGGTCCGGCCCGTTCCTGATCCCCGGTTAAGGCCAGTGGTGTGTGTTCCCAGTATGGACCGGCCTGTTCCTACTCCACGCACCAAGTCCACGGTGTGCGTCGCCAGCCCAGCCCGGCCTGTTCCTGCTCCACGCACAAAGCCTACGGTGTGCGTCGACAGCCCTGTCCGGCCTGTTCCTGCTCCACGTACCAGACCTACGGTGTGCGTCGCCAGCCCAGCCCGGCCTGTTCCTGCTCCACGCACAAAGCCTACGGTGTGCGTCGACAGCCCTGTCCGGCCTGTTCCTGCTCCACGTACCAGACCTACGGTGTGCGTCGCCAGCCCAGCCCGGCCTGTTCCTGCTCCACGCACTAAACCTACGGTGTGCGTCGCCAGCCCAGCCCGGCCTGTTCCTGCTCCACGCACTAAACCTACGGTGTGCGTCGCCAGCCCAGCCCGGCCTGTTCCTGCTCCACGCACTAAACCTACGGTGTGCGTCGCCAGCCCAGCCCGGCCTGTTCCTGCTCCACGCACTAAACCTACGGTGTGCGTCGCCAGCCCAGCCGGCCTGTTCCTGCCACCCGCACCAAGTCTACGGTGCGCGTCGCCAGCCCGACCCGGCCTGTTCCTGCCACTCGCACCAAACCTACGGTGCGCGTCGCCAGCCCGGTCCGGCCTGTTCCTGCCACCCGCACCAAGTGTACGGTGTGCGTCGCCAGCCCGACCCGGCCTGTTCCTGCCACTCGCACCAAACCTACGGTGCGCGTCGCCAGCCCGGTCCGGCCTGTTCCTGCCACCCGCACCAAGTCTACGGTGCGCGTCGCCAGCCCGACCCGGCCTGTTCCTGCCACTCGCACCAAACTTACGGTGCGCGTCGCCAGCCCGGTCCGGCCTGTTCCTGCCACTCGCACCAAGCCAAGGGTGCGAGTCGTCAGCCTGGTCCAGCCCGTTCCTGCTACTCACACCAAGCCAGGGGTACGAGTCGTCGGCCTGGTCCAGCCCGTTCCTGCTACTCGCACCAAGCCAAGGGTGCGAGTCGTCAGCCTGGTTCAGCTCATCCCTGCTACTCGCACCAAGCCAAGGGTGCGAGCCGTCAGCCTGATCCAGCCCATTCCTGCTACTCGCACCAAGCCAGGGATGCGAGTCTTCAGCCTGGTGAGGCCTGTTCCGGCTCCACGCACCAGGCAAAGGGTGCGTATCGTCTGCCAGTTCCGGTCCATTCCTACCTCACGCGCCAAGCCAGGGGTGCGCGTCGGAGGTCCTGATCCAGCAAGCTGGGTCAGATCGGACCGGGGGCACTACGGGGGGAGTGAAGTGGGGTGGTGGTCAAGCCCGGAGCCGGAGCCGCCTCCGAGGAACAACACCCACCCAGCCCTCCCCTATTTTGGGGTGTAGGCGCGGTCGGAGTCCGCGCCTTTAGGGGGGGATACTGTCACGCTCTGGCTCCGGGACTGTGTAGTTTGAGCCAGGGTGTATTCATTTGGTTGTGTTGGGTATAGGGTGTGTTCATTTGGTTGTGTTTGGTTTTGGTTGTAGTGTCTTGTCTCGTCATGTGACTCCCAATCGGAGGTAACGAGTGTCAGCTGTCGGCTCGTTATCTCTGATTGGGAGCCATATTTAAACTGTCAGTGTTCACCTTAGGGTTGTGGGTTTTTGTTCCATGTTTCAGTCTGTGTACTGAGGACTTCACTATCCGTCATTGTTTATTGTTTTCTCGTTCGTGCACTTTAACTTTAATAAAGTCATGTTCGCTACAAACGCTGCGCTTTGGTCCACTCCTTCCGTAGACGGCCGTGACACTTAGGTCCTGGCATAATACAACACCAGCTTCTATGACGGAACATAACACTGATTCCTACAAGTTACACCTTTGACGGAATGCGGCTTTAGTAACTTGTTTCATAGATAATACAGTACTCCTCTTAAGCTATAAGAAAACACATTTGGATTCACATATTCCTCAAAACTATGCTTACAGTGTGAAACTCAACTGCATTTAATTTCAAACATGCTTTTTCACAGCACAGTAGGAATACTGTTTTTAACTTCTGTCAGACAGAAACCTGCTGACCATGTTGAAAGTGAATAAGGACACTTAGACTCACAATCTGCCACCAGAAATGCACTTACTTTCCGTTTCTGGAACGTTCGATTTTTGTCAATCTCCTTCATGTCCTCATCTTCATAGACTAAGACAAAGTCGATCCGTCTAACCCCATCATTGAAGAACAGAGAGTCAGATTTGCCGTTGAACTCAACCTGTGGGCAAAAACAACAGGCAATATCTGGTAGCGCCACAGCGATATCTGGTAGCTCCACAGCCTCAAACCCTTCTTCCATGATATCATACATGTCCTTTAACGAGAGAGAGACCAACAGACTGTGCTTGTACGAGACCCTACTAGACAACGTCTTTCTCAACTGACATCAGACTTAGATAGGGAGAGGGAGGGAAGAGTCTACAACGAAAGTGACACACCCTTTTTTGTTCCATGAACAATAACAGTCCACATTTGGATTGGGATCAAACATAGACCTCTCTTGTAATTACAGATATTTGGCACATTGACTCATAAATTTTCTGCATATGAAAATACAATAGCGAATCAATTCATGTCCCTCTTGGTGAAATAAATGCAAGAACAAGCCATGTTATACAAATATGGTATTAATTGTAAAGGTATTCTTTGGCAGCTCAAACTAATACTACAACTACTATTAAAACTATGAGTACTAATCATTTTCATAATGCATAAATATTACGCATTTTAAAGGGATGGGACTCACCTTCTCCACTTTGGTCACTGATGCCCCCTCTGGTATAGTCTCATAGGTTGGCAAAAACTCCTGAGAATAAACTGAAGAAAAAAAATAATATATGCATTAAAGACATGAGAGACATGCATGACAAGATCTTAAACTTGATAGAGAGATTTGAGTCTTCTTAACCACCATCTTTTGTAAGACTCTGAGAAGGCCCAGCAGATACACATCAAATCAAATCAAATTTTATTTGCCACATGCCCCAGATACAACAGGTGCAGGTAGACCATACGGTGAAATGCTTACTTACAAGCCCTTAAGCAACAATGCAGTTTTAAGAAAAATAAGTGTCAAGAAAGTATTTACTAAAATCAACTGAAGTAAAAAATAGATAAGTAAAAAAATTAAACAAAACAAAAATATGACTAGGGTGGCTGGAGTCTTTGGCAATTTTTAGGGCCTTCCTCTGACACCGCCTGGTATAGAGGTCCTGGATGGCAGGAAGCTTGGCCCCAGTGATGTGCTGGGCCGTACGCTCTACCCTCTGTAGTGCCTTGCGGTCGGAGGCCGAGCAGTTGCCATACCAGGCGGTGATGCAGCCAGTCAGGATGCTCTCGATGGTGCAGCTGTAGAACCTTTTGAGGATCTGAGGACCCATGCCAAATCTTTTCAGTCTCCTGAGGGGGAATAGGTTTTGTCGTGCCCTCTTCACGATTGTCTTGGTGTGTTTGGACCATGATAGTTTGTTGGTGATGTGGACACTAAGGAACTTGAAGCTCTCAACTTGCTCCACTACAGCCCTGTCGATGAGAATGGGGGCGTACTCAGTCCTCCTTTTCCTGTAGTCCACAATCATCTCCTTTGTCTTGATCACGTTGAGGGAGAGATGTTATCCTGGCACCACACGGCCAGGTCTCTGACCTCCTCCCTATAGGCTGTCTCATCATTGTCGGTGATCAGGCCTACCACTGTTGTGTCGTAGGCAAACTTAATGATGGTGTTGGAGTTGTGCTTGGCCATGCAGTCATGGGTGAACAGGGAATACAGGAGGGGACTGAGCACGCACCCCTTGAGGATCAGTGTGGCAAATGTGTTGTTACCTACCCTTACCACCTGGGGGCAGCCCGTCAGGAAGACCAGGATCCAGTTGCAGAGGGAGGTGTTTAGTCCCAGGGTCCTTCGCTTAGTGATGAGCTTTGAGGGCACTATGGTGTTGAACGCTGAGCTGTAGTCAATGAATAGCATTCTCACGTAGGTGTTCCTTTTGTCCAGGTGGGAAAGGGCAGTGTGGAGTACAATAGAGATTGCATAATCTGTGGATCTGTTGGGGCGTTATGCAAATTGGAGTGGGTCTAGGGTTTCTGCGATAATGGTGTTGATGTGAGCCATGACCAGCCTTTCAAAGCACTTCATGGCTACAGATGTGAGTGCTACGGGTCGGTAGTCATTTAGGCAGGTTACCTTAGTGTTCTTGGGCACAGGGACTATGGTGGTCTGCTTGAAACATGTTGGTATTACAGAGTCTGTCAGGGACAGGTTGAAAATGTCAGTGAAGACACTTGCCAGTTGGTCAGCGCATGCTCGGAGTACATGTCCTGATAATCCGTTTGGCCCTGCGGCATTGTGAATGTTGACCTGTTTAAAGGTCTTACTCACATCGGCTACGGAGAGCGTGATCACACAGTTGTCCGGAACAGCTGTTGCTCTCATGCACGCTTCAGTGTTGCTTGCCTCGAAGCGAGTATAGAAGTAAATTAGCTCGTCTGGTAGGTTCGTGTCACTGAGCAGCTCGCGGCTGTGCTTCCCTTTGTAGTCCGTAATAGTTTGCTAGCCCTGCCACATCCAGCGAGCGACAGAGCCGGTGAAGTACGATTCAATCTTAGTCCTGTATTGACGCTTTGCCTGTTTGATGGTTCGTCGGAGGGCATAGCAGGATTTCTTATAAGCGTCTGGGTTAGAGTCCTGCTCCTTGAAAGCTCTACCCTTTAGCTCAGTGCAGATGTTGCCTGTAATCCATGGCTTCTGGATGGGATACACTACCGTTCCAAAGTTTGGGGTCACTTAGAAATGTCCTTTAAAATAACATCAAATTGATCAGAAATACAGTGTAGACATTGTTAATGTTGTAAATGGCTATTGTAGCTGGAAACGGCTGATTCTTTATGGAATATTTACATAGGCGTACAGAGGCCCATTATCAGCAACCATTCAGTCCTGTGTTCCAATGGCATGTTGTGTTTGCTAATCCAAGTTTATCATTTTAAAAGGCTAATTGATCATTAGAAAACCCTTTTGAAATTATGTTAGCACAGCTGAAAACTGTTGTGCTGATTAAAGAAGCAATAAAACTGGCCTTCTTGAGACTAGTTGAGTATCTGGAGCATCAGCAATTGTGGGTTCGATTACAGGCTCAAAATGTCCAGAAACAAATAACTTTCTTCTGAAACTCGTCAGTCTATTCTTGTTCTGAGAAATTAAGGCTATTCCATGCGAGAAATTGCCAAGAAACTGAAGATCTCGTACAACACTGTGTACTAGCAAACACAACGTGCCATTGGAACACAGGACTGATGGTTGCTGATAATGGGCCTCTGTAAGCCTATGTAAATATTCCATAAAAAATCAGCCGTTTCCAGCTACAATAGCCATTTACAACATTATCAATGTCTACACTGTATTTCTGATCGATTTGATGTTATTTTAATGGACAAAGAAATTGCTTTTCTTTCGAAAACAAGGACATTTCTAAGTGACCCCAAACTTTTGAACGGTAGTGTACGGTCACTGTAGGAATGACGTCATCGATGCACTTATTGATGAAGCCAGTGACTGATGTGGTGTACTCCTCAATGCAATCGGAAGAATCCCGGAACATATTCCAGTCTGTGCTAGCAAAACAGTCCTGATCAGATTTACTGAGCATATGCACCAATGCAAAGTACTCACATTTATTTCAGATGGGAATATAATACCAAAGTAAAGCACATTCAACAACCCACATTAAATTGTGTTAATTCAGTTAAATTTGATATTTTATTGTGTCTGGTACTACATTCATACTTTACACAACAGATTCCATCGGGAAAACTTCTAAACATCCCATGGTAGGAAGTACTATGGGAACCTATTGTAACTGGAATCAGATGGTGTTTGGAAAACATTACCCTTAGTAACGCCCTGGAAAAGACTCTAAATGTTCAAACTCAGATACTCCATGATGGAATAGTTTAAGTCTCTTAGGCAACTACCTCCATTCGACAAGTTGATTGCAACTGTGCTAAAAAACTGTGGTAATAACATAATTTTAAAATCTTTCAATGTTATTGAATTGAAGCATGCCTGATGTACTTCACTTGACTTACTTGTATGCAATATTTCTCACTTGTTTGGCATGTAGAACCTTTGAAGTTATCAGAAATACTTAAATACTTGCATACTGCATGCCATGTGTCATGCATTTCTCCAAGTTTGACTTTGAAGATATGAGACACAATATAATCTGTACCTTCAGCAAAACCATCCACCTAGCTATGTGATTTATACAGGCAACCCTCTTCCCCCTGTAGAGTGCTTCCCTAGGAACAGACATGCTACGCTGAGCCTGCTTGTCCTGATGCTAGACCAGGTCAAAGGCTATGTTTACTAGCTCATGGCAGAAAGACAGACTGATGAAGCAGCAGCACTTGTTGGAAGCACTTTCAAAGTACTTCGTTAAATGGAGAGAGTATAAAACACACTAAATGGATGTTGATTTTTTTCAGGCCCTTCCCTCAGTGCATATATAACCTGAAACTACAATTATTATCAAGTAATTATCTAGTCATGAACATCCTGCCCGAAGATCCCAAAGATTGAAGATCCCTGATATTTGATACAGTGTAGGAGAGTGGGAGTCTACATTGGGCCAATAATAGGTTCATTTCTTGTGAATTTAGACTGGGGTAGGGGCAAGCTGTGCAGTCAGCCATAGGCTATGACTGAAATCTTGCATCTGTGAATGTAATCAGCGCAGTTGTTAGGCCTATGTCTATCTATTGCTATGTCCTCCAGTGTGATCAAGGAATACTTATGTATTCCAGTGACCTTAGTACAAAAACTAGCGACTTATTCAATCAAGTAAGTCGGACCTCTTGGTGTAATGGCTAAGGCGTTAGCCTGACAACCTAGAGTCCTGAGACACTCCCAAAATTCGCTGCACTGGTGTCAGAAGTGGGATGGGGCATCCTTCATGGTAAACACTGAGACCATCAAAGGTGTGCCTGTGCATAAGGGACTTGAAAGATATTTGGAAACATTGGCGCTTACTTTCCGAAGGAAGGATTGACCAGTCGCAGAGACTGGGTTTGATTCCCAGTTAGAATACCCTCTAATTCACTACAGTATTATAGACACTGTGGTAGATGATAATGAAGTTTATGATAATGTATAGTGTAGGGTAGAGCAGAACCCTCTCATTACAGGGGGCAATGGTGGTGCCAAAAGTCAGTATTGTTATTGCATACTTTTTTTATGTATTAAATTACAAAGGAGAAAATATATAAGGTGTACAACAGAATAACATTTGTGAAGGAAAAAAATGTGCACATACAATGACATTTTGAATAGTGTAGCGTAGCATATGGTTCATGATAGGTGGAAACAAAAGGCTACAAAGGAAGCCTACATTCTTCCGCCCTTTTCTCTTGCGAGAAATTCTCTCGTATTGCGAAAGATAATGAAATCCACGTGAACTTACCGACGTCCTCTATCATATGCATCTCTATCTCCGTGTCGCCCTCTAATTCTGTTTCGGACACATAATCCATTTCAAGAATGTCGTTGTCCCCACCCTCACTCATTTTTATACATCTTTCACATATCACAAGTCATCAATGGTTAAAAGTAGAGAGTTGTCTGGAAAATGTTACAACGCGAATTATCGCATCATCATATCGCATACTGCCAATAAGCTGCATGTGTTCCAAAAGTTCCCACTTTTTTTGTCAACATTGTTTCAAAATAAAAAAAAACGCTGCATGCTTTTCAGAACAAGTTCTAATTTGAAAGAATGGGTGGGGTAGTCCTATACGGACTATGGGTACTTTACGAGGAGGGTTTTTGAGTGGTCTCTCTAGACAGACCGGTTACCTCCCTCTAGCCTAGTTTTTGAGCGATTTGGCAGCTTTGTTACGCCCACATAAACTGTCTGAATAGCATTCGTTAGGCCCGTAGTGTAGTTCTCGTTTTCCGATTTCCATATGCAGTTAATGATTCTCATTGGGAAATGTTATTATTGCATTTGCTGGTTATTATTAACAGGTCAGTGATTCTCAACCAGGGGGCCCGTGTGGGGCCTCAAAGAGCTTTGGGGTCCTGAAAAGGCAAGGGATAAAGCGAACAATTTCAACATAACAGTATGGCCAAAATATCTCACATTTAATTGAAAGATTGTTTGACATCCATTAATATATTGTGCAATTTCATATCTTGACAATAAATATAGAGCAGATATTTTCTCTAAAAATGAGACCCCTTTTTATATGGTCTGTTCCCAACCATATTCCCTGTCAGATACTGTTCCTTATACAGTTCCATATTAGATAGACCTACTGTTCCCCCACCATACTGTTTCCCATTAGATAAGTTCCATATCACAGTGTTCCCAGATACTTTTGTTTCCCATCTTTGCTCCCTATCAGATACTGATACCCCATCAAATAACTTTGGATCAACTGTTCCTTATACTGTTCCCTATGAAATAGATACTGTTCCCCATCATAATTGTTCCCTGTCAAATACTGTTCCAACCTTTCTTATCAGAATACAGAGTAGCCATGATGACAAATTGAAATGTCACTACAGAAGACGCCTTCGTCCAATGACTCTTATGTGTAATGTACTGGAACTGAGAGTCATGACCAAGGTCTGTGAATGTGTCATATGCGGCACATGGATTGTGCACATTCTCAACAGGTTCTCTACGCAAATAAGATAGAAACCATTAAAACAGATCGAAGTAAGACACGGACCATTCATACACGACGGACATGGTTCCGTCAATAACAACAATACGTCTGCTTCAGGTTTTTTTGTTGTTGCTCAAGGCGTTATGTCAACTGTTTGACATACATACATAGCTAGCTATTTACTTAGTTGTATAACTACAACCTGTATTTTCGTTGGTGGACCGGACCCATACAATAAGGGTGCTATATGGTGTGAAAAACTGACTTTATTTTAGATTAATTCGTAGCTATGTTTGATAGCTAATCTGGCTAGCAAACTAAACTAACATTAGCAAATCGACGCGCCTCAGTCTCAACGGTCCCAGGTACTTCTGCAGACGGCTCACCCACTACATAGCTAGCTAACGTAGCTATGAATAGTGTTTTAATATGTCTGGAAACTAGCTAGATAACGCTAGTAAGTAAATATACTGTAGCTAAGTTAAGCACGCTAGCTAACGACCATGATCCTAACTACACTGCAGGGCCAGGGTAAATTTACTTAGCTAAATCTATAGGTAAAGGACATTGTCATAGGACATGTCTATCTTTCAGCCACTAACTAAGCTATGCATTAGCAACGTCAATTGGTGTCAGTGCGTAGGCATTTAGTCTGGTGTCAAGATGCCATCTCCTCTCAATTCAGCTGAAAAGAGCAAAGCACGAGTAGCTAGCAACAGCCTAGCTTCGATACAACCAAAATATAGTTTTTTTTTACAGACTCTAGTCCAGCACAATGTAAAAACTATTGGTTGCATCGAAGCTAGGCTGTAGTTAGCTACTCGTGCTTTGCTCTTTAAAGCTGAGTTGAGAGGAGGTGGCATCTTGACACCAGACTAAATGTTTCCTCCTTCTGTCACCTCTGCAGAACTCGCACAGTGCTGAACCAGAGATTAAGATGTTCTCAGTCTCCCACAAGACGACCATCGTGGTCGACCACTGCCCTTACATGGCAGAGTCCAGTTAGCAGCAGGCGGAGTGTGACATGCTGACCAAGAGCCGTGGCCAGGGCGTGATCCCGCTGGCCCCAGTGGCCAAATCCCTGTGGACCTGCACTGTGGAGTACTGCTGCATCCTCTATGACGTTTACCCCCCTCAAGAAGATAGTGAGTCCCTCCCTCCATCCCTTAGCCTGGTGGTCCAGTCTGTTTTAGCCCAGGTCAGAACAGAGTCTAGTCTGTTTGTGCTTTGGCCAACTTCTCTCTGTGTTCATTCATATTCCAAGTTGGCCACAGGACAATACAATGCTTCAGTGGTTATGTTTCAGGTCAACTACATTCTGAGTGTTTCAGAGTTCCACATTCTGAACAGCTGGAGGCAAGAGGACCAAAGCACTCATAAGGTAATGTATTTCCCAGTTCGAGAGACAGATACTTATTTATCAACAGGGCAACAATTGACCCTTCGCTAAACCCTGCCCCCCTTGGTAACTGTTACTAACTCAGGCAAGTTTAGCCTTTTATCTTCCAGAGAACATGGAGAAATGCATTGTAATAACACTAAGATAAACTGACTAAGTACCTCTTTGGTGAGTTGAGACAACCATCACTTATATCAGATAGGAGTAGATAAAAGGGCCTTCAATATGCTTTTGTCGGTTATATTCACTAAATAAAAATAACGCAGGAGCGCAACACAACAAGCAGGAGGACTGGGATAGAAGCAAAAGCCAACCGGGCCCAGTGTAAGAGGGAGAAACCCCACCAGCTGACCATCGAGGCAGAGGCAGATTAAATAAAGGAGCAACATTGTTCATGTACTGCACAGTAGGTCTCACAATCATTAAAAAATCTAACGCATACTACATTGTGTACAATATCAGCTGTAGCTAGCGGTTATGCTGACGTAAACAACCAACGACTTCGCCCCAACAAACATACTGTTCTATGCTAGCTCCACTGGTTACTGCTCACATGTTGTCGGGCTGATCCACACCCTGGACCTCTGGAGAGCCCAAGATGAAATGTCCACCACAAGCTTGCCACAACAGTGGCATAAGCCAAGAGGCAAGAAGATTGATGCCAAGCCTATTACAGCGGTCGTGGTGGAAAAGGAAAATGTGAGTTGGAAGAGAAGACCAGTCTAGTGCAGTTACAACTTTGACAGGTGAGCTACACGTGAATGCATTATTGACATCTAATGCATGTAATAACCAATTCAACCACAAGAGGCTATAACAACACAGAAGCAAGTCCATTATACAGTGGGGGAAAAAAGTATTTAGTCAGCCACCAATTGTGCAAGTTCTCCAACTTAAAAAGATGAGAGGCCTGTAATTTTCATCATAGGTACACGTCAACTATGACAGACAAAATGAGAAAAAAAATCCAGAAAATCACATTGTAGGATTTTTAATGAATTTATTTGCAAATTATGGTGGAAAATAAGTATTTGGTCAATAACAAAAGTTTCTCAATACTTTGTTATATACCCTTTGTTGGCAATGACACAGGTCAAACGTTTTCTGTAAGTCTTCACAAGGTTTTCACACACTGTTGCTGGTATTTTGGCCCATTCCTCCATGCAGATCTCCTCTAGAGCAGTGATGTTTTGGGGCTGTCGCTGGGCAACACAGACTTTCAACTCCCTCCAAAGATTTTCTATGGGGTTGAGATTTGGAGACTGGCTAGGCCACTCCAGGACCTTGAAATGCTTCTTACGAAGCCACTCCTTCGTTGCCCGGGCGGTGTGTTTGGGATCATTGTCATGCTGAAAGACCCAGCCACGTTTCATCTTCAATGCCCTTGCTGATGGAAGGAGGTTTTCACTCAAAATCTCACGATACATGGCCCCATTCATTCTTTCCTTTACACGGATCAGTCGTCCTGGTCCCTTTGCAGAAAAACAGCCCCAAAGCATGATGTTTCCACCCCCACGGTTCACAGTAGGTATGGTGTTCTTTGGATGCAACTCAGCATTCTTTGTCCTCCAAACACGACGAGTTGAGTTTTTACCAAAAAGTTATATTTTGGTTTCATCTGACCATATGACATTCTCCCAATCCTCTTCTGGATCATCCAAATGCACTCTAGCAAACTTCAGACGGGCCTGGACATGTACTGGCTTAAGCAGGGGGACACGTCTGGCACTGCAGGATTTGAGTCCCTGGCGGCGTAGTGTGTTACTGATGGTAGGCTTTGTTACTTTGGTCCCAGCTCTCTGCAGGTCATTCACTAGGTCCCCCCGTGTGGTTCTGGGATTTTTGCTCACCGTTCTTGTGATCATTTTGACCCCACGGGGTGAGATCTTGCGTGGAGCCCCAGATCGAGGGAGATTATCAGTGGTCTTGTATGTCTTCCATTTCCTAATAATTGCTCCCACAGTTGATTTCTTCAAACCAAGCTGCTTACCTATTGCAGATTCAGTCTTCCCAGCCTGGTGCAGGTCTACAATTTTTGTTTCTGGTGTCCTTTGACAGCTCTTTGGTCTTGGCCATAGTGGAGTTTGGAGTGTGACTGTTTGAGGTTGTGGACAGGTGTCTTTTATACTGATAACAAGTTCAAACAGGTGCCATTAATACAGGTAACGAGTGGAGGACAGAGGAGCCTCTTAAAGAAGAAGTTACAGGTCTGTGAGAGACAGAAATCTTGCTTGTTTGTAGGTGACCAAATACTTATTATCCACCATAATTTGCAAATAAATTCATTAAAAATCCTAGAATGTGATTTTCTGGATTTTTTTCCCTCAATTTGTCTGTCATAGTTGACGTGTACCTATGATGAAAATTACAGGCCTCTCTCATCTTTTTAAGTGGGAGAACTTGCACAATTGGTGGCTGACTAAATACTTTTTTCCCCCACTGTATCTACAACTGTTACATGTCATAGAAACCCATGTTTTAGACATGGGCAGGTACTTACTGTACAGGCACAAATCTATTGTTAGCAGCAGCAGTAGGTTATGCAGAAACATATTTCAGTTTCCACCTCCATGTTCTCAGGACAGTGTCAGAAGTAACAGATGGAAGATTTACATTGACTGAAAAATGTCAGGCACACCTATGAGCTACATTGCTAACAGGCCCCCATTAAAAGTAACAGTAGGTGAGGAGGAGTACCTGATAGGCAGTGGCTTGAGCTACAAGGTAAAGCAATTCAGAAAACTTTTTAGATCAATAATATTGTTTTTTAATAAATACAATTAATAGGAAACAAGCATAGTCACTGATAACAATACTAATGCATTGGATTACAAAGAAGAGTTGCCCTTTCCACATGCACCCTATGCTTCACTATTTTCTTTGTCATCTCGACATCTGGTTCATTTGTAGGTTGGACTTTGCAAAGGGAGGAATGTTCAAATCTAAGACCAATTTCCTCCACATCTTTCTCAATGAGAAACTCCTTGTCTGCCATGAGCCCATCATCTCTCTTAAGGTAGCCACATTGAAGCAGACTTTGCAGTAACTCTGTGATGTTACTGTAGAAATATTTCTCTGTCAGAAATGGATCCTGTGTAGAGAGAGGGTGGATGCAAATATAACTGAGCCACGTAGATTACATATTATCAGAGACTTCAGTGTGTTGCTAGACTTGTAGTTGGAATAAGTTTGGCTTTGCAGTAGCAGTGAGCTCGGTTTCTCCATCTTTAACTCTGTGCAATCTAGTATTGCAAAGATTATTGGAAAATCTCTCGTAGTTATCTGGCATGTTTTCTGTGATTTTATGTCAAAAGTGTCTGTTTCATCAGCACTAGCCGAAACTGCTGACGCAGGGGCATCTGTTGAATCTGCCCATCTACTCTCTTGTATGTCAAGGGGATAGTTGTGTGGGGCTGTGTTACGGTATCGGAAGTAGTTGGAGACACTGCTGTTATTTACTGACTCTGGCGTTAACGGGTCTGGGGTTTGAGTTTCCTGAAGAGCATGGATTTTTTCTTCCTTTTGGGCGAGTTGAATCTTGAACCTCTCCCCTTCCTCATTTTTCTTTTTCCAACTGGGGATGCTCCTCTATACACTCTGGAAACACAAAATACGCCAAATTATTACAATAAGAATTCCTACAGTACATGATTTAAACAAGATGTTGGTATTTTGTAATAACTGTTCTTTACACTGTTCTTTTGCAGCTCCCACTATTGGAGAACACAGAGCCACCACCATCCTCCTCGAACCCAACTGGTGAGTTCCCAACATTTCCTCTGCCGCCACAACCAAACTGTTTCTCTACAGTTCTGAATGAAAATGAGATATATTACAACAGTGATATGATGATCTCCCAGTCTGAAGCAGAGGCACTGGAAAAAGAGAAGACAGTAGAGCGACAACAACACCTGGCATGGCGTCTGCAATTCTGTGCTTCCAACTTTGTAGCAACAGTTTGGGGAAGGCCCTTTCCTGTTTTAGCATGACAATGCCCCCGTGCACAAAGTGAGGTCCATACAGAAACGGTTTGTCGAGATCGGTGTGTAAGAACTTTGACTGGCCTGCACAGAGCCCTGACCTCAACCCCATCGAACACATTTGGGATTAATTGGAACGCCGACTGCGAGCCAGGCCTATTCGCCCAACATCAGTGCCCAACCTCACTAATGCTCTTGTGGCTGAATGGAAGCAAGTCCCCGCAGCAATGTTCCAACATCTAGTGGAAAGCCTTCCCAGAAGAGTGGAGGCAGTTATAGTAGCAAAGGGGGGACCAACCATATTAATGCCCATGATTTGGGAATGAGATGTTCAAAGACCATGTAGTGTATGTTGCCTATGTTGTACTTGTGATTGCACTAAGTTGTGTAGTTATGTATGAGTTATGTAAGTTGTGTATAACTTATGTACAAACCCTCCATATAAAGGATAAACGTCTGAAATGTGCCCTTGAGTGTCTGTCAACATTTTGGTAATGTAGGCTAGGTTTGGTTAACCCTCATATTACAGTACCTTTTTTTTGGGGAGGTGGCCTGCCTGACTGCATCTCCTCCAGCAGCTGGATTTGGGTACTGAAGACTTGCCTTCCCATCAACAAAGTGCTAAAATAATGATGTATTTTAGCAAATAGCCAGCTAAAGATTTGTGATACATGTAACCTAACAAAGTTGCGTTAGCTGGCATTGTTAACCTTGACGTTAGCTAGCAAAGTTTAGCTTAGTTGTATAATGTTAACGTTGTTGCTAACTTTGTCTAGACAGTTTCTTTTTAATCATAGTAATATATTGAGATATCACATTATGCAAAATGTTAACTTAGTTTCTTACCTTGGAGCAAACATGTGTCCATAGCTATCTTGCTTTCAACTGTGAATGAAGTCGTCCACAAAGCTTTATCCACAACCTACACTTTTCCTTTAGATTTTGTTAAGGGTAGAAAAAAGACTAGCCTCTACAGGCTACTATTCTACCGTTTTACCATTTTCTGTTCTATATCGTGGAGCTCCGCCCCATAGGGGAGCTCTGCTCCTATTGGTTTACCCACTGCCCTAAGGCAGCATCAGCCTGAGACAAAATTATGCACACACGTGCAGCCAATAGGAGTACAGGTGTCCCTATAAGAGGGGACGCTTCCCCTCAATCAGCCTCCCTTTATCTTCAGTGACTGGACTAGACTGAAGAAGCCAAGAAGAGACGAAGAAAAAGACTCAGGACGAAGAAAACGCCGTCGAATTCCAGTCATCGACATCGTCCAACAATGAGCACACCAGGAGATTTTCCACCCCCAAAAGCTCTTTTCAGAGCTCAATGCAGATGCTCCTCCATGGCGGCCGGCGACTCCCACGACTTATGTTTCGTGTGTTTAGGGTCCCAGCTTGCCAAAGAGGGCGTCTGCAGTCCCCCTAACTGCGCCTCCTGCGCCCTCCTTTCTATGAAGGAGAGGAAGCAGCGCTGGGCGTTTTTTAGGGAGGATATCCCTCTAGAGGACCTGCTGTCAATACTAGCCTCTGCTTCAGAGGCATCATCTGACGGCGCAGACTCAGGAGATGATGGGGACTATAAGGAGGAGGCAGGCATTCCTATGGAACAGTCAGACCCCGTCCCTCATACATTCAAGCCCCCCTTTCCTTTGGTTAGCGAGAGGGCTTGTAGTTCCTATGGCGATGACGACACGGGCTCTGAGAAATCAGAAGCCCTGTCCTTCGCCGCAGTGTCTCTGAGAACGGACTTTCCCGGACTCATTGAGAGGGCTGCCAGACGGTTGGAAATACCGCTGCCCCCTATTCCCTCTGCACCGGAGGTTGATTTAATGGAGGGCGGCCCTTATTCCAGGCCAAGAAGAGCGGCAGAGCCACTAGCTCCAGCCATGCCTTCGTTGGCTAAATACGTAGAGGGCTCATGGGAGGCACCTTTAGCGGCGCGTTCGCCGGCTAAATCGAACCTCCCATTCACTAGAGTGGAGGGAAGGTTCCAGAGCCAAGCTAGGGGAATCCCCAGGTTAGAGAGCGCCATGGCGGCGTATCTCGTACCGGGTTCGAGTCCCTGGCCCTCTTCCAAGAAGGCCACCTTGCCATCTCAGAAGGACCGTCTCACAGCACAGCTGTTAGAGAAGTCCTTCAATTTGGGAGCCCAGGCTTTAGCAGCAGCCAATAACATTGCCTTCTTGGCAGCCGCTCTGTCCCGTTTAACCACGGGCAAGACAGAGCTGGAGCCAGAGGAGGTGGAGGAGGCGTCTAGGATCTCTGGCGCCATCCTGCACCTAACACAGGCATCGGCCGTCTGCTCGGGGAGGTCCATGGCCACTTCGGTGGTCGCGGAGCGACACCTCTGGTTGTCCCTGACAACCATGAAAGAGGCAGACAGGACGTCCCTTTTGAACGCCCCCCTCTCTGACGACGGGCTCTTCGGAGTCGCCGTCAAAGAGGCGACTGAGAGGTTCTCAAAATTGGATGAGGAGAAGAAGCAGCTGACCAGACACCTGCCACTGGCAGGGAGGTTAGGCCCTGCACCTCCGCAAAGACCCTCCACTTCCGCCCCCCAGAGTAGACAGGGTTCTACAGCGAGGCGGCGTATCCGGCGCCAGTCGGCGGCCACAGGAAGCAGGAGAGCGGGCCCAACCCCCCCCAGCAGCCCCGGTGGCCCCATTGTAGCCGGCGAGGGAAGTGGTGAGAGCGCCAACCTGGGCCCCTAAGGGAGGCCACAAGAGGAGGCGCACATGACGGGACGCGGGGGAGCGGATGGAGGACACGTCGGTTTTGAACGTGGCCACTGTTCCCCCCATCCTTCGGTTGAAGGGATGGGTGATGATGTTAATGTCTTGACTGATGTGTTTAATAAAGAGTTGGCTCCACCTGACTTTGTCAAAAAAGAGCCCCTTTTCCATAATACGTCTGAGAGCGTTCAAATCTCACCCTCTCTTTCCTACCACTCTAAGCGCCGTTCAGCCCACCAGGGGTGCGTTGCTGAACAGGCATTCAGAGTAGGTACACATAACACTTCAAGTATAAGAAGTGCTTCACATAGCAGGCAGCAGTCTCTGTCAGACTCTGACATGATGACGCAGCCGCTATTTGGGGATGGCGCACTAAGGTCTCTGTTAGTGCGATTCAGACCCATGCTGCGTTCACGGAGGGCCCGATTACCACGGTCACGAAAGTCTCTAACGTATCGGCGCCCCCACCTCTTTCTGAACGCGCCAATGCTCACCACACTGAGCGTAATTCAGCCCACCAGAGGTGCAGAGTTGAACACGCACAGGAGGTGAAAGGGGAAAAGATACCAAGACGCCGTCTTGGTTTATCTCAAAGAGACCTCACATTACAGACTCCAAGGAGTACTGTAGTGAGTGCCTCTCATAGCAGGTTGCAGTCTCAGTCAGGAGACATGATGACGCAGCCGCTATTTGGGGACGGCGCACTATCGCAGACTAAGGTCTCTGTTAGTGCGATTCAGACCCATGCTGCGTTCACGGAGGGCCTGATTACTACGGTTACGGGTATAACCAATGTATCGGCGCCCCCCACCTCTCACAGAACACGCTGATGCTCACCACACTGAGTGTGGCTCAACCCACCAGAGGTGCAGAGTTGAACACACACAGAAGGTGAAGGTTAAGAAGGTATCAAGGCGCCGCCTTGTGTTACCTCATAGAGACCTCATATTACAGACTCCTAGGAGTATTATAGTGAGGGGCTCTAATAGCGAATTGCAGTCATCTGGGATGATGACGCAATCGCTTGCTGGGGATGGTGCCCTGTCGCATGCTGTGGCCTCGGTCAGTGCAATTCAGACCTGCGCTGCGTTCACGGAGGGCAGGAATACGACGGTTACGGGTTTAACTGACGTCTCTGCCCCTCCTCCTCTTTCAGAGCGCACTAATGTTTCCTCTCTCTTTCATGGGAGGCCCGCCTTGGGCTGTTCCACCACCTCAGTGTTGGAGAACAGCGGCGGCAAGGGCCATAGAGGAATACAGGTCCTTCCTACTGAATGTACCACAGCTTCGCGCTCGGCCGCTTTCTCTGCATTGCTGGCAGTGGCAGCGAAGCTGCACCCTCTCATGCTGGCTAGAACAGACGTTGCAGAAGGGTTATGCTCTCCAATTCCATCGGACCCCCACCCCCATTCAGGGGAGTGGTGGAGACGGTGATGAAAACGCCCGAAAAAGTGGCCGCTCTGGTTTCAGAGATTACGGAACTTTTGGCGAAGGAGGTGGTCACAGTAGTTCCCCAGGAGCAAAGGAACAAGGGGCTATATTCGCCCTACTTGCTGGTGCCCAAAAAGACGGGGGGAATGAGGCCGATATTGGATTTACGCATTCTCAACGAGAGCGTAACCAAACGGCCCTTTCGAATGCTAACGACAAAATGTCTGCTGGAATGTGTCCAGAAAGGAGACTTATGTACGAGCATAGACCTAAAGGACGCGTACTTTCATGTGCCAATACAGCCGCGTCACAGGAAGTTTCTGCGATTCGCCTTTCAAGGCGTGGCGTACGAATACACGAGGATGCCATTTGGGTACGCCCTGGCACTCGCACGTTTTCCAAGTGTGTGGAGGCGGCATTGGAACCGTTGCGTCGTCAGGGAATACGGCTACTAGCCTACCTAGACGACCTACTGGTTCTCGCCCCGTCAGCAGAGCTGGCGATCACTCACACGACACAGACAGTGATTCATCTCACACGTCTGGGGTTCGCTGTGAATTGGAAAAAGAGCGCGCCCTGGCCCAGTCATCAGATTGTCTACCTGGGGATACAGCTAGACACTGTAATGATGAGGGCTCGAATTTCGGACCCCCGAAGGGTAGCCTTGTTGCTAGCCCTGAGGAAGTGTCGTCCGAATCACACGGTGACGGCGCTGTCTATCATGTCACTTTTGGGTCTCATGTCGTCAGCCCACTCTGTGGTTCCGCTTGGGACTCCTGCACATGCGCAGGATGCAGCGATGGTTCGCCCAACTAAGACTAGACCCATTGCGTCAACGTCATCGGTTGGTGGTGGTTCCCACTCACTCAGGGCAGATCTGAACTATTGGAGATACCCGCACATTCTCACGCACGGAGTCCCGATAGGCAAAGTGTCCTCTTACATCCCAGTGTTCACAGATGCGTCTCTGACTGGATGGGGAGGGTCAGACCCAAGCGATAGGAGGTGTGTGGCCTCTTTCGAGTCGCCACATCAACCTCTTGGAGTTGGAAACGGTTCGACTGGTTTTGACCCACTTCGCGTCTACCCTTCGGGGTCGCGATGTACTGGTCTGGTCAGACAACCGGACCACAGTAGCCCACATAAATCGCCAGGGAGGAGTCAGGTCTCCTGCTCTCCATCGGGCGGCAGAGGAATTGTGGCTGTGGGCTCACGAGCACCTTCGCTCATTGAGAGCAGCACACATTCCGGGCTACTTGAACGTAGGAGCAGACCTCATGTCAAGAGGGGGTCCTCGAGACGACGAGTGGTGTCTGCATCCGGACATTGTTCTCCAAAGTTGGGAACAGTTCGGGAGAGCCGAGGTGGATCTATTCGCGTCACACATTAACGTGCAATGTCCTCTATGGTTCTCTCTGCGGGAACAGGACGAACCGCCACTGGGAAGAGACGCTTTTGCACACCACCCGTGGCCGAGAGTTCTTCTGTATGCATTCCCTCCGCTGTCCTGCATTCTCAAACTGTTAGCCAGGGTGAGGTCAGGAGGGCTGTCAGTGATATTGATAGCCCCCGATCGCCCAGGGGCTCCTTGGTTTGCGGAGATGAGTCAGATGTTGATTGCGCCACCTTGGCCAATTCCACATCGACGGGACGCGTTGTCTCAGGCGGAGGGCACGATAAGGCAGTTGCCCATATCGGCCAACCACTGAAGGCCTGGCTGCTGAGAGGGACAGGCTAGAGCGCCGTGGGTTATCTGATGCAGTGATCAGGACCATACAGGGTTCACGTGCCAGTTCCACTTCCAGGATGTATGCCAGTAGATGGAACGTGTTTTCACGATGGTGTGTCACACAAGGTGTAGACCCCATGAGCTGTCAGGTTGAGAGTATTCTCTCTTTCCTACAGCTTATGTTTGATAAGCAGCGATCGCCCACCACCATTAAGGTGTTTGCAGCGGCGATTTCAGCTTGTCACAAGGGGTTTGGCAGAGACAATGTCTTTAGCCACCCTCTAGTGAAACGTTTCCTATTAGGAACGCGGCGGCTTAGGCCAACACCTAGAGCCACGCTTCCTCAGTGGGATTTGGCTTTGGTACTCGAAGCGCTATGTAAGTTGCCGTTCGAGCCATTGAATCAAATACCCCTCAAGATGCTGTCTATGAAGACGGCACTGTTGCTCGCTTTGACTACTGCTAAGCGTGTCAGTGATTTGTGTGCTCTTTCGACGAGACCCGACTGCCTGGCCATTAATGGCGATCTGAGCAGAGCGGTGTTACGTCCTAACCCGGCATTTGTGCCGAAGGTTATTAGGAGTTCATATAGATCACAGACCGTGGAGCTGTGGGCTTTTTCTCCCCCTCCTCATAGGGAGAGGAGTGAGGAAAGGCTCCATCGCCTGTGCCCAGTACGCGCCTTGGCGTGTTACGTTGAGCGCACAGCAGCGATTAGGTCATCGCCTCAGCTGTTTGTGTGTCACGGTGCGGCTGCACTAGGTAGACCACTTTCGAAACAGCGTCTGTCTCATTGGCTTTGTGAGGGCATTGAGACAGCTTATGAGGCAGCGGGGCGACAATTGCCTCAGGGTATCAGAGCTCACTCCACTCGTGGAGTAGCAGCTTCTACTGCCCTTTTCAGAGGAACAGGGGTAGAGGATATATGTAGAGCGGCGTCATGATCAACACCGTCTCCATTTATCCGTTTCTATCTCTTGGATATGTCTTCTAACTCTTTGGCTCAGTCTGTACTCAGCGTAGCTGAAGGGAGAACTAGAGCTAGGAGGAGAGGAATGCAGGACTGTGGAGACAGGGTCTCCATCAGGTCCGCTTCTGATAGAAGGACATATTTTTGGCATGACTCCTGACTGACAGGTTCAGTACAGTAGAGGGCATGTATTTATCTGCCCACCAGTGATTCACTGGAGTGAGGCGGAATGATGGGGGATAATAGTAGTAACTTAGTTACGATTTTTATTTGACGGAATGTGACGTCATCTATCTGCTTGTTCAGATTAGTATGAATCATGTTCTGGGATCTGCCCACTAATCTCTGGGGTTCCATTGATGGAGTGAGGCGGCCTACCGTGTACACAATGTAGAGTGACACTTTGTGTTATTCCATTAGTGGTCGGTAGTATTGTAACAGGATATTGAGGTACCATCTATCTGCTAGTACAGATTAGTAGGGCCTGTATTCTGGTGATCTGCCCACTAGTCATTGGTGTTGCCATTGGACTAGGTGGGGCGGGTTTTTAACCGATGACGCAGTATATTGTGACACTTGTATGGTTACAGTGGTTGCAGTACTGCGGGAATTGGTTGCAGCCATTGCTAGGCCTGACCTTTTCATTTTGATGGGAAGTGTTGGGCTCGGCAGGGAGTACATTTTGGAGCGCTACGCTCCGCCTTAAACCAATAGGAGCAGAGCTCCCCTATGGGGCGGAGCTCCACGATATAGAACGATTAGTTACCGGAGTGTAACTCCAGTTCTATGAGTGGAGCGGAGCCCCATAGGACTTAAGGCCTTGCCGACCCTCTAGTCTCGCTGAAGATAAATATCTCGGGAGGCTGAATGAGGGGAGGCATCCCCTCTTATAGGGACACCTGTACTCCTATTGGCTGCAGGTGTGTGCATAATTTTGTCTCAGGCTGATGCTGCCTTAGGGCAGTGGGTAAACCAATAGGAGCAGAGCTCCCCTATGGGGCTCCGCTCCACTCATAGAACTGGAGTTACACTCCGGTAAATAATCGTTCACTTGTAGCAGCGCAAGAAAAAGTATCTCTGACTCCCCGTAGCCCACAGACGCCATGAGGATTTTTTGCGAAATGTATCCGAGGCCCGAGTGGTTGGTTACGGTTGCTAAGCTGTGATTGGACAATCGCTCTTCGGGGGCGGAGTTTAGCGAATGGTCAATTGTATACAGCACTACAGCGCAGATGGTTTAGTTCTAAAAAAATATTTGACTACAGCTTTTTGCTATTGCATCACTCACTACACTACCATTCTCATTGTCTCATTTCGATAGACGTTAACCAGTCCTGTCTCGATAGAGAGTGAGGTCTTGTTGTAATGTCTGGTTGACTTGACCTGCTTCCATTTGTATTTCTGTGATAGCTCGTCTGCTCTGGCAGCTGTGGGTCCACCTAACGTCATGCACAGCCTGGTGGCAGCGGTGGAGTCACTGTGTAAGATCCCAGACAGGGTGGCCATCAGGTGGCGCATTATCTGCCTCACAAACGCCTCATAAACCTGTTTTTATTTATTATAATACCTTTTTTTAAGGGATGGATCAGCTATGAAATTAATAGATAGAATTGGAACTATAAAATAATTATACACTGAACAAAAATATAAACATTACATGTAAAGTGTTGGTCCCATGTTTCATGAGCTGAAATAAAAGATCCAAGAAATGTTCCATACGCACGAAAAGTGTATTTCTCTCAAATTCTGTGCAGAAAATTGTTTACATCCCTGTTAGTGAGCATTTCTCATTTGCCAAGATAATCCATCCACCGGACAGGTGTGGCATATCAAGACGCTGATTAAACAGCATGATCATTACACAGGTGCACCACTCTAAAATGTGCAGTTTTGTCACACAACACCATGCCACAGATGTCTCAAGTTTTGAGGGAGCGTGCAATTGGCATGCTGACTGCAGGAATGTCCACCAGAGCTGTTGCCAGATAATTTAATGTTCATTTCTTTACCATAAACCACCTCCAAGGTTATTTTAGAGAATTTGGCAGTACGTCCAACTGGCCTCACAACCGCAGACCATGTGTATTATGTTGTGTGGGCGAGCGGTTTGCTGAAGTCAACGTTGTGAACAGAGTTCCCCATGGTGGCGGTGGGGTTATGGTATAGGCAGGCATAAGCTACGGACAACGAACACAAATGCATTTTATCGGTGGCAATTTGAATGCACAGAGATGCCATGATGAGAACCTGAGGCCCATTGTCGTGCCATTCATCCGCCGCCATCACCATGTTAATGCACGCCCCATGTCGCAAGGATCTGTACACAATTCCTGGAAGCTGAAAATGTACCAGTTTTTCCATGGCCTGCATACTCACCAAACATGTCACCCATTGAGCATGTTTGGGGAGCATGTTTGGGATGCTCTTGATTGAAATGTACGACAGCATGTTCCAGTTCCCGCCAATATCCAGCAACTTCGCATAGCCAATGAAGAGGAGAGAGTGGGACAACATTCCACAGGCCACAATCAACAGCCTGATCAACTCTATGCGAAGATGTGTCACGCTACAAGAGGCAAATGGTTGTCACACCAGATACTGACTGGTTTTCTGATCCATGCCCCTGTCTTTTTTTTAAAGGTATCTGTGACCAACAGATGCATATCTATATTCCCAGTCATGTGACTGATTTCCTTAAATGAACTGTTACTCAGTAAAATCTTAGAAATTGTTGCATGTTGCATTTATATTTTTGTTCAGTGTATATGTGAACACAAACAAAACAAAAGTAAATGTTCATCCAAGATGGCGTAGCAGTGCAGTCGTGTACTCTGTAGTGTGTACGTGTAAATAGCCTGTTTTTTATGTCTCTTTCGTATATATTTCTCAATCACACTTTTCATCCTTAAACCAAATATACTTTCCTGCAACCCGCCTCACCCAATGTGGAACGGATTCTATTATTTATTTTACATTTTTATCCAGAACCTCCAGTTGAAACTAGCCAGCTAGCCCGCTAACTAGCTACTTGCTATTAGCCACCGTTAGCGGTTTTCACCATTGTCCGTGGCCTGCACTACCTACCAGCCAGCTCTAGCCTGGACTATTATCTGCCAGTCTGCACTGTCTGCACAGCGCGCTATCGACCAAGAACATATCGGATTTTCTGCCGGAATCACTGAATCACTGGACCTTAACACCGGATCATTGCAACTAGCTAGCTGCAACCGAATGGATGTTGTTGGCTAATCACCACCTCCCCCGAAGCAAGCACCAGTTAGCCTTGAGCTAGCCTCAAGCCAGGCCCATCTCCTGGCTATCTACCTCTCTGTCAACCGGACGGGACCTTCTAGTGTCGACACGGAGCCCCGCCGATCCATCACGACTGGTCTGCCGACATAATCGTCTGATGTGGTTTCAACAGGCTTCCCGTTGCGACGACCACGAAGATCCATCTACTAGCCCCGGCCCGCTAGCACACGCAATCAACAGCCGTGCTTCCTGCTCGCCTGTGCTGTAGCAGCCATTCGAACTGCTCGTCTCGTTCATCGTTACCCAACGCTTAGGTTTACCTCCACTGTACTCATATCCTTCCATATCCTTGTCTGTACATAATGACCTGAATCTATTCTACAACGCCCGGAAATCTGCCCCTTTTATTCTCTGTACCCAACGCACTAGAAGACCAGTTCTTAAAGCCTTTAGCCGTATCCTTATTCTACTCCTCCTCTGTTCCTCTGGTGATGTAGAGGTTAACCCAGGCGCTATAGCCCCTAGTATCACTCCTACTCCCCAGGCACTATCATTTGTTGACTTCTGTAACCGTAAAAGCCTTGTTTTTTTGCATGTTAACATCAGAAGCCTCCTCCCTAAGTTTTAGTTACTCACTGCGTTAGCACACTCCGCCAACCCTGATGTTCTAGCAGTGTCTGAATCCTGGCTTAGAAAGACCACCAAAAACTCTGAAATTTCCATCCCCAACTACAAAATTTTCCGTCTAGATAGAACTGCCAAAGGGGTCGGTGTTGCAATCTACTGTAGAGAGAGCCTGCAGAGCTCTATCATACTATCCAGGTCTGTGCCCAAACAGTTTGAGCTTCTACTTCTAAAAATCCACCTCTCCAGAAATAAGTCTATCACTCAGCCCCCAGCTGTGCCCTGGACACCATATGTGAATTGATTGCCCCCCATCTATCCTCAGAGTTCGTCCTGCTTGGTGACCTAAACTGGGATATGCTTAACACCCCATATGTTTTACAATCTAAACTGCCCTCAATCTCACACAAATTATCAAGGAACCTACCAGGTACAACTCTAAATCCGTAAACATGGGCACCCTCATAGATATCATCCTGACTAATTTACCGTATAAATACACCTCCGCTGTCTTCAACCAGGATCTCAGCAATCACTGCCTCATTGCCTGCGTCCGTAATGGGTCCGCGGTCAAACGACCACCCCTCATCACTGTCAAACGCTCCCTAAAACACTTTAGCGAGCAGGCCTTTCTAATTGACCTGGCCCGGGTATCCTGGATGGATATTGACCTCATTCCGTCAGTAGAGGATGCCTGGTTGTTCTTTAAAAGTGCTTTCCTATCCATCTTAAATAAGCATGCCCCATTCAAAAAATTCAGAACTAAGAACAGATATAGCCCCTGGTTCACCCCAGACTTGACTGCCCTTGACCAGCACAAAAACATCCTGTGGCGTACTGCATTAGCATCGAACAGCCCCCGCGATATGCAACTTTTCAGGGAAGTCAGGAACCAATATACACAATCAGTTAGGAAAGCAAAGGCTAGCTTTTTCAAACAGAAATTTGCATCCTGTAGCACTAACTCCAAAAAGTTTTGGGACACTGTAAAGTCCATGGAGAATAAGAGCACCTCCTCCCAGCTGCCCACTGCACTGAGGCTAGGAAACACTGTCACCACTGATAAATCTACGATAATCGAGAATTTCAACAAGCATTTTGCTACGGCTGGCCATGCTTACCACCTGGCTACCCCTACAAATCAAATAAGCAAAGAGAAATGACAGTCCATTATTACTTTAAGACATGAAGGTCAGTCAATCTGGAAAATTTCAAGAACTTTGAACATTTCTTCAAGTGCAGTCGCAAAAACCATCAAGCGCTATGATGAAACTGGCTCTCATGAGGACTGCCACAGGATAGGAAGATCCATAGTTACCTCTGCTGCAGAGGATAAGTTCATTAGAGTTACCAGCCTCAGATTGCAGCCCAAATAAATGCTTGACAGAGTTCAAGTAACAGACACATCTCAACATCAACTGTTCAGAGGAGACTGCGTGAATCAGGCCTTCATGGTCGATTGCTGCAAAGAAACCACTACTAAAGGACACCAATAACAAGAAGAGACTTGCTTGGGCCAAGAAACATGAGCAATGGACATTAGACCGGTGGAAATCTGTCCTTTGGTCTGATGAGTCCAAATTTGAGATTTTTGGTTCCAACCGCCGTGTCTTTGTGAGACGCAGAGTATGTGAACAGATGATCTCCGCATGTGTGGTTTCCACCGTGAAGCATGTAGGAGGAGGTGTGATGGTGTGGGAGTGCTTTGCTGGTGACACTGTCTGTGATTTATTAAGAATTAAAGGCACACTTAACCAGCATGGCTACCACAGCATTCTGGAGCAATACGCCATCCCATCTGGTTTGCGCTTAGTGGGACTATCATTTGTTTTTCAACAGGACAATGACCCCAAACACACCTCCAGGCTGTGTAAGGGCTATTTGACCACGAAGGAGAGTGATGGAGTGCTCTATCAGATGAACTGGCCTCCACAATCACCTGACCTCAACCCAATTGAGATGGTTTGGGATGAGTTGGACCGCAGAGTGAAGGAAAAGCAGCCAAAAAGTGCTCAGCATATGTGGAAACTCTTTCAAGACTGTTGGAAAAGCATTCCTCATGAAGCTGGTTGAGAGAATGCCAAGAGTATGCAAAGCTGTCATCAAGGCAAAGGGTGGCTACTTTGAAGAATCTAAAATCTCAAATATATTTTGATTTGTTTAACACTTTTTTGGTTACTACATGATTCCGTGTGTTATTTCATAGTACATATTACAATGTAGAAAATAGTAAAAAATAACTTGACTGGTACTGTGTGTGTGTGTGTTTGTGTGTGTTTTTAAAATTATTTGTATTATGCTACTACCCCCCTCTCCCCTAGTTGGAGAACATGGTGGAAAACATAACAATTATTTATCACCCATCTAGTACCGGGTCGGACCACCATTTCCCTCCAGAACAGCCTGAATTCTTCAGGGCATGGATTCTACAAGGTGTGGCGTTCAAACGTTGCTCAATTGATATCAAGGGACCTAACGTGTGCCAGGAAAACATTCCCCACACTACTACACCACCACCACCTGCCTGTACCGTTGACACCAGGCAGGATGGGGCCATGGACTCATGCTGCGTACACCAAATCCTGACTCTGCATCAGCATAACACAACAGGAACCAGGTTTCGTTGGACCAGGCGATGTGTTTCCACTCCCCAATTGGTGTTCGTGATCGCGTGCCCACTGGAGCAGCTTCTTCTTGTTTTTAGCTGATAGGAGTGGAACCCGGTGTGGTCGTCTGCTGCAATAGCCCATCCGTGGACCGACGAGTTGTGCGTTCTGAGATGCCGTTCTGCACACCACTGGTGTACTGTGGTGCTGTTATTTGCCTGTTTGTGTCTCTCTAAAAAATGGAAGGCCCCTCACCCTTCATTGTTGCCAATGCAAAAATATTGGTATTGTTCATAGAATTAAAAAGGTCTTACCGGATATTATTAATCACGATCAGACAGGATTCTTAAAAGGAAGATATGGTTGAGATAACATTAGACAATTATTTAAAATATTTGAAAACTATGAGGATGCAGGGAAACCAGGCATAATCTTCATAGCAGATTTTGAGAAAGCCTTTGATAAAGTATGGCTAGAATTGATTTATAAGTGCCTGGATTATTTCAATTTTGAATACAAGTTATGTATAAGACTTCTTTATGTAAAGTTATAAATAATGATTATTTCTGAGAATTTTGAATTGTCGAGGTGTAAAACAAGGTTGCCCTCTATCATCATACTTGTTTGTTATGGCCATTGAATTGTTAGCTATAAAAATCAGATCCAATTATACAATTAAGGGGTTAGAAATTAAGGGGTTAGAAACAAAGGTATAATATATGCCAATGTATTACGTTTTCTCTTCAACCCTGAAACTTAGCAAAATAGATAGGATCTAGAAACAGTGATGAATTCTCTAGTGATATTGCAGTTTATATATCTATTCATGGATCCACTGACTCCAGGATAATATTTTTTCAAGTCATGTGAGCAAAGAATATTTCCTTTTTATTTGGAATGGCAAACCAGATCAAGTTAAACGGGTATACAGTGAGGGAAAAAAGTATTTGATCCCCTGCTGATTTTGTAAGTTTGCCCACTGACAAAGAAATGATCAGTCTATAATTTTAATGGTAGGTTTATTTGAACAGTGAGAGAAAGAATAACAACAAAAAAATCCAGAAAAACGCATGTCAAAAATGTTTTAAATTGATTTGCATTTTAATGAGGGAAATAAGTATTTGACCCCTCTGCAAAACATGACTTAGTATTTGGTGGCAAAACCCTTGTTGGCAATCACAGAAGTCAGACGTTTCTTGTAGTTGGCCACCAGGTTTGCACACATCTCAGGAGGGATTTTGTCCCACTCCTCTTTGCAGATCTTCTCCAAGTCATTAAGATTTCGAGGCTGACGTTTGGCAACTCGAACCTTCAGCTCCCTCCACAGATTTTCTATGGGATTAAGGTCTGGAGACTGGCTAGGCCACTCCAGGACCTTAATGTGCTTCTTCTTGAGCCACTCCTTTGTTGCCTTGGCCGTTTGATTTGGGTCATTGTCATGCTGGAATATCCATCCACGACCCATTTTCAATGCCCTGGCTGAGGGAAGGAGGTTCTCACCCAAGATTTGACGGTACATGGCCCCGTCCATCGTCCATTTGATGCGGTGAAGTTGTCCTGTCCACTTAGCAGAAAAACACCCCCAAAGCATAATGTTTCCACCTCCATGTTTGACGGTGGGGATGGTGTTCTTGGGGTCATAGGCAGCATTCCTCCTCCTCCAAACACGGCGAGTTGAGTTGATGCCAAAGAGCTCCATTTTGGTCTAATCTGACCACAACACTTTCACCCAGTTCTCCTCTGAATCATTCAGATGTTCATTGGCAAACTTCAGACGGGCATGTATATGTGCTTTCTTGAGCAAGGGGACCTTGCGGGCGCTGCAGGATTTCAGTTCTTCACGGCGTAGTGTGTTACCAATTGTTTTCTTGGTGACTATGGTCCCAGCTGCCTTGAGATCATTGACAAGATCCTTCCGTGTAGTTCTGGGCTGATTCCTCACCGTTCTCATGATCATTGCAACTCCACGAGGTGAGATCTTGCATGGAGCCCCAGGCCGAGGGAGATTGACAGTTATTTTGTGTTTCTTCCATTTGCGAATAATCGCACCAACTGTTGTCACCTTCTCACCAAGCTGCTTGGCGATGGTCTTGTAGCCCATTCCAGTCTTGTGTAGGTCTACAATCTTGTCCCTGACATCCTTGGAGAGCTCTTTGGTCTTGGCCATGGTGGAGAGTTTGGAATCTGATTGATTGATTGCTTCTGTGGACAGGTGTCTTTTATACAGGTAACAAACTGAGATTAGGAGCACTCCCTTTAAGAGTGTGCTCCTAATCTCAGCTCGTTACCTGTATAAAAGACACCTGTTACCAAACCAATGTAGGTCTACCATTTCCGAGACTAGTTTTTGAGCGACTTGGTTGGCAGCTTTGTTACGCCCACATAAGTACGGTCTGAATCATTGACTGTATATACCACAACAGCATTCTTTAGGCCCGTATTGTAATATGAAACTGTTTTCCGGTTTCCATATGCATTGAATGATTCTCATTGGGAAATGTTATTATTGCATTTGCTGGTTATTAATAGGTCAGTGATTTTCAACCAGGGGGTCCCTGGGGTGCATCAAAAAGCATTGGGGTCCTGAAAAAGCAGTGATAAAACGAAAAAGTTGAACATAACATTGGGAAGGCCAAAATATCTCACATTTAATAGAACAATTGTTTGACATCCATTCATATATTGTGCAATTTCAAGCACATCTTTTACTTTTAAAATGTGACCCATTGTTATCTGTTCTGTTCCCAACCAAATTCCCTGTAAGATACTGTTCCCTATACTGTTCCATATTAGATAGACATACTGTTTCCTGTTCCATATTAGATAGACCTACTGTTCCCCACCATACTGTTCCCCATTAGATAAGTTCCATATCACAGTGTTCCCAGATACTTTTGTTCCCCATCTTTGCTTCCTATCAGAAACTGATACCCCATCAGATAGGTTTGGGTCAACTGTTCCTTATACTGTTCCCTATCAAATAGATACTGTTCCCCATCATAATTGTGCCCTGACAAATACTGTTTCAACCTTTCTTATCAGAATACAGAGTATAACCATGATGACAAATTGAAATGAAAGCAAATACATATTTGTCGAAATACATTATTTATATGAATTAAATGAAACATATTTAATAGTGAATGTGTCATATGCTGCACATGGATTGTGCACATTTTCAACAGCAGGGATCATCAACTAGATTCAGCCCGGGGCCAATTTTTTATTGAGCGAGTGGTCGGGGGGCGGAACAAAATAACAAATATATTTTAAGACTTCAAATTGACCTCAAGAAGCCTAAACAGATATAATATTTGACTAAAACATAATCATTTCAAACCTTGATTACATTTGGGAACACTGTCCTGCGTATGGTGCTGTCTTTCGGATGGGGCGTTAAAATGGGAGTCCTGACTCTCTGTGGTCATTCAAAGTCCCATGGCGCTTAATGTAGGAGTAGGGGTTTTCACCCCGGTGTCATATCATCCCCCTCATTCCTAATTGGCATTCATCACTCTCTTCATCTGATAGCTGATGTGTGGTGAGCGTTCTGACACAGAAATGGTCACCGTAAATCACTGAGGTGGGTGCTATACATTTCCATCTACTATGTAAAGCGCTTTGAGTAACTCAGTTGGTAGAAAAGTGCTATATAAATCCAATAAATAAATTTATATTTTTTATAAGATCACATAGATCACTTGGAGCTGATTTCCTGGTGTTTTACAGTCTTTTATGTACAACAATGAAAATTAAGAAAACTTGGGGGGCCAAATAAAAACCAAATTTGGTCCGCGGGCCGCCACTTGGGGAACCCTGCTAAATGTATCTAAGCAAAGAAGACAGGAACCATTAAAAGATATTGAAGTAAGACACGGACAATTCATACACAAGGGATATGGTTCCGGCAATAATAACTAGCTACGTCCGCCTGTGATGTTTTGTTCCAGGCATTATGTCGATGTATTTTTTTTTACCTACATAGCTAGCTATTAACTTCGTTGTAAAACTACAACCCATATTTTCGTTGGTGGAAAGGAATCATCCAATACGGGTGCTATATGGTGTGAAAAACGGACTTTATTTTAGACTAATATGTAAAGCTAGGTATGTTTGATAGCTGATCTGGCTAGCAAACTAAACTAACATTAGCTTAGGTTAACGTTAGCAAATCAACGCGCCTCAGTCTCATCGGTCCCAGGTACTTCTGCAGACGGCTCACCCACTACTTAGCTAGCTAGCTAGCTAGCTAACTTAACTATGAAGTGTTTTAATCGGTCCGGAGTAAGTAAATATAGCTAGCTAAGTTAAGCAAGCAAGCTAGCTAACGACCGTTATCCTAACGACATTGCAGGGGCCAGGGTAACTTTACTTAGCTAGCTAACGTTAGCTAGTTAGCTAATTCTATAGCTAAAGGACTAATGTTTTTCTTTCTGCCTAGTTAGCTACTGTATGTATTAGCAATGTCAATTGGTGTCAGTACGTAGACTGGAGCTAGTTACTGGTGCCTTGCTCTTTTCAGATAAATTGAGAAGAGATGGCATCTTAACACCAGACTAAATGTTTCCTCCTATCACCTCTGCTGAAACAGAGATGAAGATGTTCTCAGTCTCCCACAAGACGGCCTTCGTGGTCGACCACTGCCCTTACATGGCAGAGTCCAGTCGGCAGCAGGTGGAGTGTGACGTGCTGACCAAGAGTCGTGGCCAGGGCATGATCCCGCTGGCCCCAGTGACCAAATCCCTGTGGACCTGCGCTGTGGAGTGCTCCATGGAGTACTGCCGTATCCTCTACGACGTTTACCCCCTCAAGAAACTGGTGAGGCCATCCCTTAGCCTGGTGGTCTAGTCTGTTTTAGCCCAGGTCAGAATGGAGTATAGTCAGTTTGTGCGTTGGCCAACTCCTCTGTGTTTATTCATATTCCGAGTTGGCCACAGCACGTTATAATGCTTTAATGGTTATGTTTCAGGTCAACTACATTGTGAGTGATTCAGAGTTCCACATTCTGAACAGCTGGAGGCAAGAGGACCAAAGCACTCATGAGGTAATGTATTTTCAAGAGAAGGATGCTTATTTACAGTGCATTCGGAAAGTACTCAGACCTCTTCCCTTTTTCCACATGTTGTTACATTGCAGCCTTATTCTAAAATTGATTAAATAAAACATTTTCCTGATCAATCTACACACAATACCCCATAATGACAAAGCGGAAACAGGTTTTTAGAAATTTTTGCAAACTTATTTACATAAGTATTCAGACCCTTTGCTATGAGACTCGAAAAAAGAGCTCAGGTGCATCCTGTTTCTATTGATCATCCTTGAGATGTTTCTACAACTTGATTGGAGTCCCCATGTGGTAAATTCAATTGATTGGACATAATTTGGAAAGGCACACACCTGTCTATATAAGGTCCCACAGTTGACAGTGCATGTCAGAGCAAAAACCAAGCATAGAGGTCAAAGGAATTGTCCGTAGAGCTCCGAGACAGGATTGTGTCGAGGCACAGATCTGGGGAAGGGTACCAAAACATTTCTGCAGCATTGAAGATCCCCAAGAACACAGTGGCCTCCATTCTTAAATGGAAGAAGTTTGGAACCACTAAGACTCTTCCTAGAGCTGGCCGTCCGGCCAAACTAAGCAATCGGGGGAGAAGGGCCTTGGTCAGGGAGGTGACCAAGAACCCGATGGTCACTCTGACAGAGCTCCAGAGTTCCTCTGTGGAGATGGCAGAACCTTCCAGAAGGACAACCATCTTTGCAGCATTCCACCAATCAGGCCTTTATGGTAGAGTAGCCGGACGGAAGCCACTCCTCAGTAAAAGGCACATGACAGCCCGCTTGGAGTTTACCAAAAGGAACCTAAAGGACTCAGACCATGAGAAACAAGATTCTCTGGTCTGATGAAGCCAAGATTGAACTCTTTGGCCTGAATGCCAAGCATCACGTCTGGAGGAAACAAGGCACCATCCATACAGTGAAGCATGTTGGTGGCAACATCATGCTGTGGGGATGTTTTTCAGCGGCATGGACTGGGAGGCTAGTCAGGATTGAGGGAAAGATGAACGGAGCAAAGTACAGAGAGATCCTTGATGAAAACCTGCTTCAGAGTGCTCAGGACCTTAGACTGGGGAGATGGTTCACCTTCCAACAGGACAACGACCTTAAGCACACAGCCAAGTCAACGCAGGATTGGCTTCGGGACAAGTCTCAATGTCCTTGAGTGGCCCAGCCAGAGCCCGGACTTGAGCCTGATCGAACATCTCTGGAGAGACCTGAAAATAGCTGTGCAGCGACGCTCCCCATCCAACCTGACAGAGCTTGAGAGGATATGCAGAGAAGAATGGGACAAACTCCCCAAATACAGGTGTGCCAAGCTTGTAGCGTCATACCCAAGAAGACTCCAGGCTGTAATCGCTGCCAAAGGTGCTTCAACAAAGTACTGAGTAAAGGGTCTGAATACTTACGTAAATGTGATATTTCAGTTTTTTATTTGTAATACATTTGCAAAAATTTCAATAAAATGTTTTTTTCTTTGTAATTACGGGGTATTGTGTGTCGATTTAATGAGGGGGAAAAACAATTTCATCCATTTTAGAATAAGGCTGTAATGTAACAATGTGGAAAAAGTCAAGGGGTCTGAATACTTTCCGAATGCACTGTATCAACAGGGCAACAATTGTGTACAGCACTAATTCTATATTCTAAGCAATTGTTGAAAGTCTACAGCTTTTTGCTATTGCAGCACTCACTACACTACCCATTCTCGTAGTCTCATTTTGATTGAGGTTAACCAGTCCTGTCTCGATAGATAGAGAGAGAGAGCTCTTGTTGTAATTTATGGTTGACTTTATCTGCTTCCTTTTTGTATTCCTGTGATAGCTCATGTCTGCTCTGGCAGCTGTGGGTCCACCTAACCCGCAGGAGGACCCTGAGTGTTGCAGCGTCCTGCACGGGCTGCTGGCAGCGGTGGAGTCACTGTGTAAAATCACAGAGTACCAGCACGAGGCGCGCACCACCCTCATGGACACGGCCGACAGGGTGGCCAACAGGGGGCGCATTATCTGCCTCACAAACGCCAAGAGGTAAACATTAAGACTTAGTAAACCTGTTTTTATTTATTATATACCATTTTTTAGGGGATAGATCAGCTTCGAAGTTAACAGATAGTTCCAATCTATCAAATAACATTACTTGCATCATTTCTATTCCCCTTTTTTAATATATATGTTTTGTTATGCCCCTACCCCCCTCTCCCCTAGTTGGAGGACCTGTGGAAAACATAACAATTCTATACATACACTGAGTGTACATGACATAGACCAGGGATCATCAACTTGATTCAGCTGCGGGCCGATTTTCTTCTTGAGCGGATGGTCAGGGGGCCGGAACATAATTGCAAATAATTTATAGGCTGCAAATTGACTGCAAGAAGCCCAAACAGAAGACTAAAGCCTAATCACTTCAAACCTTGCTAACATTTGTATACAATTAAATATTTTTATTATGCGTGGTAATACTTCGGAACAGATATCCAAAATTAAAATCACTTGGAACTGATTTGCTGGTCTTTTTAGTCTTTTATGTCCAACAATAAACACATTTATTGTTTAAAAAATGTAGTTCAGAAAAATTTGGCGGGCCCGGCAGTTGGGGAACCCTGACATAGACTGATCGGGTGAATCCAGGTGAAAGCTATGATCCCTTATTGATGTCACTTGTTAAATCCACTTCAATCAGTGTAGATCAGGCCTCTCCAACCCTGTATTGGGACTGTTCTGAGGAAAAAGGGGTGGGTGCAACTCAATATTAGGAAGGTGTTCCTAATGTTTTGTGTACTCAGTGTATATATGTTTCTTTCCTAATCATACTGGATTCCAAGTGTATCGGCCAATCAACCAATCACTCAAATCTTAATTCCAACCCTCAGATGTCCACAGACTAAACCCATCTTTCCCAGTACACTACAGTTTTACTATTTCCTTTTGCAATCCATCCTTCTATTTTACTGTGAAGTCTTACGAGGGTCTTGAACCTCTCTGTTTGTACCAAGATTTCCCTTAAAATAAATACACATATTTCCCATTGATTGACAGTGGTTTTTACAGATCTCCTAACAGTACTGTTTGTAGGTCCCTCTGAACACAGATGTTATGACTTAACAACCACTCCTGGACCTGACTCCAAAAGCGAGCCACTGAAGGACAGCACCAAAAGAGAGGATCTATTGACTCTGTTAAACCTGGTTATTAATTGAGAACCTGTAGATACTGAAGTAATACCCATCTTTTGAAGGCGTCCATGGAAACCCTAATGGGATATTGTGTGTTTCTGTCTGTTACACAGTGACACCCATGTGCGAATGCTGGAGGACTGTGTGCAAGAGACCATTCTAGACCAAAACAAGATGGCAGCAGGCTCAGACAGGTCAGTATGAGAGGTTGAGAAGAGAATAAGACTGTTTTCTACGCTCTTTAGTGGGGATAAAATAAGATGAACTTTAGAAGTCACTGAATTTTGGGGAGATTTTTGATGGGAGATTTTAAATGGATTTAGGGCTTAGAGGGGATCCTAGAGAAGTGTCTTGAATCCTTCCGATGCATTCCAATGTGTCTCTGCGTTTCAGACTGATGCCCATCCAGCAGTGTGAGCTGGTGCTCGTCCACATCTTCCCTCAGGTTGGGGACACCCTGGTCTCGGACCGGCCAAAGAAAGAGGTAGGTTTAAACCTGCTCAGGGTTACATTAAATGGACTCTTTAATGTTTTCACCTAGTCTAAAGGTTCATCTAGATATGTATAACATCGCTCCAAACACACTTTGTCATATCAACGCATACTTAATCTGATGTAGATAAAGTATACTGTTAGTATTCAGTAAACGTGTGCTCATTTCCACATGCTGTAGTTACAAGTTCTATAGAGATGACATACAATAAAAAAGGCATGCTAATTTGTTAGTGTTAAAGTCCTACATAGTCCTCCTCTGTACCGGCAGGTCTCCTCTCTGCTGACCAGCGAGGTTCACAGTGTGCGGGCAGGGAGGCACCTGGCCACCAAACTCAACATTCTAGTGCAGCAACACTTTGACCTTGCCTCCACCACCATCACCAACATCCCAATGAAGGTACGTCTTCTGTCCTCTGCTCTCCCAAGGCTCAGGTCTTCACCAGCCCCATCTATATAACCTTTCACCCCACCCATTACTTACTTCAGGGCTGTGTCCCAGCAATCTTGAGTTAACTATTTTCCCGCCTCCTTCACATCATGACATGTTAGATGAACAATTTAAGGTATAAGATGGGCTATTATTTATGGCGGGACAAACTTTTGAAAATGGCGTCGTCCCGTCTTCAAAATGACCTATCCTGACGCGCTCCACTTATTTTCTCTGCATCCACAAACCAACACATTACACATTTTCCCATGGGGGGTCAGTATGAAAAATGTATGCACTCACTAACTGTAAGTCGCTCTGGATAAGAGTGTCTGCTAAATGACTAAAAATGTAAATGTAAAAAAATTCTACTGGCACTTCCACCCAATGCACCTATCGCTTCACTCGCCTCAACCTTCTGATACCCTAACCTTGCCACACCACCCACCCCATCCTCGGCTCCTCTTCTTCCCTGTCAGCCATTGTGTACGATGATTTTACACCCTCTTCTTTATTTGTTCATCATGTTGAAATGACTCTTGGAACCGCTGCTGTTTTCATGCTGTATTTTCTGTTTTGCTAGCCCACATTAAATGTTTGCGAGCAGGTCAGTACTCTTAAACACACACCAAGAGGGACCGCAGAACGCAAGGCTGTGTGGATTGGTTTTGTCCATCCATCGGACGCTCAACGGCCCTCACTTTTGATTGGCCCCCGATTGTCCACGTGACATTCCAGCAGCCAATCAGAGTTGAGAGTGTTAGCATGTTTGGTGGATGAGAGTGTACACATTACGTGCCCTGTAGTTTGCCACCCCCCCCCCCCCCCCCCCCCCCCACCCCACCCCACTCCGGCCTCATCCTGTCTGACTCCTTGTTGGTGCCTTCTCTACCTGTGAGAGTTGGTTGGTCGCAGTCCCTCCTTGTCTTGCTGTGGTCCTTTGTGCTGTGTTGAGTAGTATGTATTGATATCAGACCACCCTCTGTCCCTCCTTTTCTTTCCCTCGTTCTCTCTTTCTTTCTCTCATTTGAATAATAAGTCATTTAGTCCTTCGCCATGACAGGCAGGTAGATGCCTATCTCCTATCCTTCGCCCCTGATGTTTTTGTCCTCCATGTATTCCTATGTTATTCATCTGGGTTAGAAAACATGTACGGCCCTTTTCACTGAAATACACATATAAATAAACTTTAGACTGCAGCAACCACACCTATCCATCTTCACATCACCGGAATGAACTAATAGGAAGAACGAAAGAGAGCACAAACAGAGAGAGAGAGCCAGAGAGAGAGAGAGAGAGACGATGCAAAGATCAGTGGTTTATGCCTTTGCTGGTCCTTCTCAAACCCTTGTTGTGAACATGAAAGCAGCAGTGTTTGTCTTGATGACAGCAGTGCACTCACTGCTGCAAGTCGCTCTGGAGAAATGACTACAATGTAAATGAAAATGAAACCTCATTGATGTCTCTTTTTTTTGGTCTTCCCTTTCTCTTGTGGGTGTGAAGGAGGAGCAGCACGCCAACACGTCGGCCAATTACGACGTAGAGCTCCTGCATCACAGGGATGCCCATCTTGAGTTCTTCAAAAGTGGTGAGGTTTTAAGAAATAATAAAATAATCAGAGTTGTATTGTTTTGGCCACTAAATGATTGTGGCTTTTAGTGTCTTGGCCATAAACCACTACAGTAAACATTCAGTAAGACTCTTTGTCCCTTTCGTCTCTCCTCTTTTTCTGTTGCTTAGGCGACCTGCACATGGCTGGCAGTACGAGTCGAGACAGTGGACTTAAGGAGACGGTGACTCTTAAGTGGTGCACTCCTCGCACCAACAGTGTAGGTAGGCACCATGAACCCTGGGAAATGTAGTTATTTTTTGTATGTTGCGCTAACTGAAAGAAAAGTCCCGGGAGAGGTGGGGCTTGGGCTTGAGATTTGAAATTATAAAGATAAAAAAAGAGATTGAAAAATGGCTAGAAAATGTCATTGATATCGACACATCAAAATCCCAAGAGCTTTTCATGTTGTAATATTCTCCTTTGGCTTATCTGGATATTTCCCATCTTTCTTGCGTGTGTGTCTGTGTGTGAACTGGTGGCTCAGAACTTCACTACTGCACTGGAGCCTATCGGATCTCGCCTACGGACGTCAACAGCCGACCCTCATCCTGTTTGACCAACTTCTTGCTGAACGGTGAGCCTGAATATTTTTGCCTGACCCCTTGCCTCTACCCCTTACCCTAAATATTATTAATACTACTGAAAGTACAAACAAATGTAGTTGAAATACAGATGGTGATTGATTGCATTGCAGGTCGCTCAGTGCTGCTGGAGCAGCCCAGGAAGTCCGGGTCAAAGGTTATCAGCCACATGCTGAGCAGCCACGGCGGGGAGATCTTCCTGCACGTGCTCAATAGCACCCGGTCCACCCTGGAGGACCCTCCCTCCATCAGCGAGGGCTGCGGGGGGCGGGTGACTGACTACCGCATCACTGTAAGCCCCTCCCACCCCTTCCTCCTCTACCCATAGTGACTGACTACCACATCACTGTAAGCCCCTCCCACCCCTTCCTCTTCTACCCCATAGTGACTGACTACCACATCACTGTAAGCCCCTCCCACCCCTTCTTCCTCTACCTCATAGTGACTGACTACCACATCACTGTAAGGAGCAGAGGAGGTTCAGCCACAACTAATTGGAGTTTGTTTACAAATGTAATGCATACAAAATGTCAACGTGAAGAAACACAAACAACAAATTGGTATAACAGCTGTGTACTGAGTTCTATGTAACAATGTGTACCTGCAATGTAATGTCCTATATTTACACTGTGTCTATGTAACTACCATGTTAACACTGGTAGGTATAAACAATCACTTACTCTAAAGTGGGACCAAAAGTTTTATACCAGTCTTTTTGGTGTCTGCCCCAGGACTTTGGCGAGTTTATGAGGGAGAACCGTCTGACTCCTGTCCCAGAGTCCCCAGACACTGAGGCTAGTGGGAAGCCCCCGGCGGAGAGGGCCAAAGCCCAGCTGGAGCGCTACACTCGCTATTGGCCAATGATCATCTCCCAGACCACCATCTTCAACATGCAGGCAGTGAGCAGGACAGCAGCCTTCCTTCACACTCTGCACAGTTGCTCACCTTACAGCACTCAGTTGATTTATTTTTCAACCATGTGAGTAATTTTGTGTGAATTGTGTGTGTGTGTTCATTGTATGTGTGTGACTGTGTGTGTGATCCAGGTGGTTCCACTGGCTAACCTCATAGTGAAGGAGAGTCTGAGTGAGGAGGACTTGCTGACCTGCCAGAAGACAGTTTACAACCTGGTGGATATGGAGAGGAAGAATGACCCTCTCCCCATCTCCACTGTGGGCTCCAGGGGCAAGGGCCCTAAAAGGTAGTCTGTCTCTGTGTGTGAAACTGATGTTGTGACTGAGTGTCCCTCCCTGAGTGTTTAGGAGTGGGAACAGTGTGTGTGTGTGTGTGTGTTTGTACGTGGGTGGGTGTGTCTGTATGTGTGTGCGTTTGTATGTTAGGTATGTGTGAGAGAGAGAGAGAGAGGGAGAGAGTGAATTAGGGAGAGAGACTGAAAGTGTAACTGAGTGTCGCTCCCAGAGTGTTTGGAGGTCGGGGACCGTATATAAGTTCAGTGTGTGTTCCTGGTCTCCTGTCCTGACTGGTTAATGTCTCCTCTGGGCTTTAGGGATGAGCAGTACCGTATCATGTGGAACGAGCTGGAGACTCTGGTGAAGACCCACGTGGCGGGCAGCGAGCGACACCAAAGGGTTCTGGACTGCATCAGCGCCTGCCGCAGCAAACCCCCCGAGGAGGAGGAGAGGAAGAAACGGGGGAGGAAGAGGGAGGACAAGGAGGACAAGGCAGAGAAGAACAGCAACAAGGATTCAGAGGACAAGAGCTGGCAGGAGTCAGAGAGGTCAGGGTGACACACAACGCATACATTTTGAATTACCTAAGCGTGACCTACTGTTTTAAAAAGCAACTTTTAGAAATTATTTTTTATAAAAAAATATCTATGATAAAATAAACATATATTTAAAAATAAATAAACATATTATAAAATAAAAAACATTATTATAATAATAATTTGAAAAATTATAATAAAAAATAACAATTATTATAATAATCATAAAAAATGTATGCGTACAGCGGTGGTACATTTGTCAGAATGAAAAGGGTGCTGGTACTCATTTTAATATAGTCTTACCGGTTTAGTATTTTACCCTGGTATTCTCCTGGTCACTGTGTTGCATTCCTCCACCAGGCTGAAGGGGGCGCTAGAGCGTGGAAAGGAGGAGCAGGGGGAGTCGGAGGTCATTAAGGATTCTCCTGACTCACCAGAGCCTCTCAACAAGAAGCCCCGTCTGGAAGAGATCCAGCTACCTGAAAAAGCCAAAGGTGCATGCTCCTTGGCCTTATTGCCCTCAGATCCATGGTGTGACCTGGCATGTTTGTCGAATGCCATGTTCACGGTTATCATTGCAATAACATAGTATACCATTATTATTCATTTTCTGTCTCATCACTGCATTAATTAGCTTTTTTATTCAGAGACAATACCTTGATAAGGCGTGACATTACAAGTATTGTCCCTTTTGACTGATCTTTCTGTCTCTGTGTGTGTTTTCGGCCTGTGGTTACAATGTAGGTCCGGTGTCCCTGCTCACCATGTGGACGAACAGAATCACTGTGGCCAACTCCAGGAAACACCAGGAGTTTGCCGGAAGGATCAGCTCTGTGAACAACAAGGCAGAGTTATACCAGCACCTTAAAGATGAGAATGGGTGTGTGATAATGTACTGTATATAACCATTCCCCATATAACAGTGTATTATAGCCCCTCGTTTTAGTTAAGCAATAAGTCCCGAAGAGGTGTGGTATATGGCCAATATACCACGGCTAAGGGCTGTTCTTAAGCAAGATTTAACGTGGAGTGCCTGTATACAGCCCCTTAGCCGTGGTATATTGGCCATGTACCACAAACCCCAGAGGCATCTTATTGCTATTATAAACTGGTTACCAAAGTAATTAGAGCAGTAAAGATGCATGTTTTGTCATACCCGTGGTATACAGTCTGATATACCACAGCTGTCAACCAATCAGCATTCAGGGCTCGAACCACCCAGTTTATGTTTAATAGAGATGTTCTAGTTTGTTTTCGTGACTGAAATCTGATTGTCCAGTGCCTGTTATGGAGTAGAGGTCTTATGATAAATTATTTTGTCTACTTTTTTCTACTGTTAACAGAATGGACCTCCAGGAGAATGGGAAAGGCACCAGATGATGTGACCTGTCCCTATACAGGATGCACCCACTCCACCGAACACCTTACCACAGCAGGAACATGAGCTTGGACCAGAGATCATGTCAATCTGAGGTGTATGGACTGTCCTCCCCTGCTATGTCCATACCAAGCATAGAAAAATGGATAGCAGTCAGACTTTGGATTTTTAGGAGTGATTTTTTTGTTTGTTTTCTACCCACGTTTGTATGGATAGGCTCACATATTGTGTGAAGCAATAAAGTTGTCAACAGGCAGTGTTCATTTCTGTGCCATTCTACTTTTCTTTAAAATGTGTTATTTTAACTAGTATGGTTATGACCTCATGGTTAGGTTCATGTTATGGTGACCGTGAACAGTTGGTCTCAAGTATAACACAATGCTGTTTTGTCAGTTTGCAAGGTTTTTGTCTGAAATATAGTCCAATCCACCTATGGTGATATTGTATCTTAATTCTACTTTAAGATTCCTCAATGAAATGAAAAACAAACATTTTAGGAGGGTGTTAATGCTTTATGGTGTAAGTTTTGGTACATAGAAATACAACCCTCGTAGTGGCATGAGTAGTGTGTGTATGAACATTTGTGTCATAACCTCACTTCAAAGAATGGGTTCATTTGTTTGTATGCTTTTCTTCTTGGGGTTTGTGTTCCCATGGTCTGTTATGTGGGTATTGTGGTGGGAACTGGTATCGTGGAGGTGGGTGAAAAGACACTGCTCTTTGGTAAGGATGTCTGCCCTGGAGATATGTGGGAGAGAGATGCTCTCCACTGGCTGGTGAGGCGTTCAGCCACAACCTGGGGGGAGGTGTGGGTACTTCTGGTTGGAACAGGGGTGGCATCCTTGGCCTTATTGCCCTCAGATCCATGGTGTGACCTGAGACAACCCCCTCTGAGGGCCAAATCGCAAGAGTCCTTATCCTCACACGGCTTCTACAGAAATATAAACTTGTAAATGTAAGGGTGACTGCCAGAAAGAGGCAACAGACCACTAGCAGAGCTGTCAACACACTGGCCATCCAATGATAGGGGTCTGTCTGTCGCACTGACACAGCGGTGGGATCCGAGGCTGGGACGGTGTTGTCAGAAGTGGGATTAGGAGTACTGGTGGAAAGAGTGGGACTAGAGGCTGTAGGTGCGGCAGTAGTCGGGCTGGAGAAACAGTCATGTCTGTAGCTCACAGGGCCTACCTTGCTGATGGGGAACTCTGGGAGCATTGCCTGGCTGAACGCAGGGCTACACTGTCTGGCCTCTGAACTCATTTCCTCCCACATGCGCCAGACCCGACCCACAGGGCACCGTCCCTCGACACCATCACCCCCCACCTGGCATAGGGTGAAGTTGTACCAAGACATAATAGTGGATCCAGGTGCCAGGGACAGCACGGCTAGGTGGTGGCTGCCGGAGTCATTGAAGAAGCCGGACAGCTTGTCCAGGAGGAGCTCCACCTTGTGGCGCTGGCTGAGGAGGGAGTGAAGGCTCCGGTGAGCCGTGAGGCTAAAGCTGTGGCAGGGCTCCGCATGGCTGCGGTGGAGATCCAAGGTGAGGGGGAGCCAGGCAGCCAGGCCCTGATTGTCCCGAGCAGCCAGCAGCAGCTGCTGAGGGGCAAACTGCAGGTCCACTTCCAGAGGGACACCGTGCAGCTCAAGTCCCTCCAAGGCCACCCAGGACCCCAGAGTCACAGGAGGGCCATCTATGAACCTCAGCTCCAGGGAGAGGGACTCTGCTGCCCCATCCTCTGGATCCAGAAAGGTCCTTGATGGTATTGTGTAGTGGAAAGGGAAGCCGACTGTGGCCTCCAGAAGTGGGATGGACTGCAACACTTTGGGAGGGAGATTGGAGGGCCCTGGAATGGAAGATGTACTAATAACATCAGTACATATTTAGAAAGACCGTTACATCATGCCAAAGTTCATACAGAGAGGAAGTTATCCATGTGAAATGTGATGTGAAAGTTAGTAGTACACTAACCTGAGGAGGCAGCTGAAGGAGACATGGGCTGGGAAGATGCTCTAAGTACTCCAGTTGGAGCAAGGCCCAAAGAAACCTCTCGCATCTCAACTGGACCTGATGAGATGCTTGAAGTTCCGTCATACTCTCTCCAGCCGGTGCTGATAATCAATGGGGAGGTCAAAGGGCAGTAGCTGGACACGGTGATTGGTCTGCCCATGCCTGTGACACCTTGAGTCCTGGGCAGTGATTGGTGCATTGATGACACCAGCTGACCTGTTTACGGCACTGAGGACAGATGCTGGAATGCTGGAGGTTTGTGTGATTACTGAGACGCTGGATAGACTTTGGGAAGAGTGAAGGGATGAGAACAGTGTAGCGGTTACAAGCTGCTTGGTCTTGGAGAGAAACTGCAAAGAGCCGTATTCTGATTTTTGATCTGTTATGGCAGCTGTTTGCGGACGATCCTTGGGTGACTCTGAGGAAAATTGCCTTGAGGTGTCAGTTTGGATGTAAACTGGATCAGAGTAGTGATCTCTTATCTCTAAATCACTGAACTTTGATGGGAGCGGAGTCTGTTCTGTCTCCGCACTCTGTGACAGGAAATCTAGAGAATCAGTGGGATAAGTCTGAATGGAGATACCCAGCGTGTCCTCCTGGGCTATGGACTGGGCATACTGAGGGTAAGAGGGATCCTCCTGGGCTATGGACTGGGTATACTGAGGGTAAGAGGGATCCAGACTCTGCTGCAGAAGCAGGGAGGATTCTGTGTATGCTCCTTGAACAGCAGACAGTTCTATGGGATAGAGCTGGCTGTGAGCTGTTGTCCCCAGGACCTCTACAGTTGCCTGTGGAATACTATATGAACTGTCAAAGAGTGATTCAAGGTCAGCCGCTGTTGGCGTCATCGTGAATTCTGCTGAATTTACTAATAATTCCGTCCTTTGTACTGAGGTTATTTGAGAATACAGTTCACTTGTAGCTGGAGCAGCTAATGGTATTTGAGTCAAGGAAGGCTCCAGAGTCATGTTGGTCTCCATTTGCCAGGATTGCTTAGCCGATATTGGCGGTAGGAGAGGTACCTGTGATAGTGAGGCTATGGATCGTGCACCAGTATGCAGTGTCTTTTGGCTGAGGTCAACTGTCTGCGATCCTGCCCTGTCACCCTGTGGCCCTGCAGTTGTCTGAACACGGTGGGTTTTAGGTCTATGGTCATCTGCTGAGACGGTCACAAGCTGACCACTATGAGTCAAAGGTACTTGGAGTAGGTCCTCATACAGATAAAGAGGTGAGGAAACGTATGTTGTAACAAGAGTTTCGTCAAAGGCCTAACTGCCGACCGGTTACTCTACTGAATGTCGATGTTAATCGGTTTAGGTCAACCTGTTGAGGCGTGCTCACTAATCTCCCATTTTCAGAATGTGGAACTGTGGTCATTGACCTCTTTAGATCGAATGGCAATGATGTGGTATGTGATATGGTCTTATCCAGTTCTAGCTTTAAGAACATGATCAATGAAGGTAAGTGTGGCGTACGTGTGAGTGTTGATCCCTCCAAAGGTTGATGCAGACTTGGTCATTGATGTCTCAAGAGAAGAGAGCATAAATGTTTGCCTCTGCTGTTCTGTCAGTGAAGACATGGTCAGTGACCTCTCTTGTATAAACTGTAGAGATTTGGTCGCTGGTTGCGGCCAGTTTAGAGCCAGCCAGAAGGAGAGGTGACTCTTTGTCAGATCTTGGCCTGGGACAGTCAGGAGTTGATGGAGATGAGGAGTGGATGTGTCGGACAAGTGAGTTTCTGGCTCTTTCGTAGTTCCCTGTGATGCCCATGTTGTTCCCTAGGAAAAATGTATACAGATACAGGTCCTTTCAATTATCTATTTTTGTGTCAAACTTTAAAAGTCCTTCAACAAAAAGTAAATTCCCTGACTCATTCCCCTCCCTCTGCCCTTTTGACAATCTGATTGGATGGGCTAGATAGATGGAGTTTCTACATATGTACACTTATCCAAATCCTCTCAGATCGTAAAGGGCAGGTCAATGAGGGGTTGGAGAGCAAGTTAGTCACAGACAGAAGCCTGGAAGAATAAGACTCACCAAACAAGTCTAGGCCATACTTTGACTGCCCGCCTTCCAAAGTAGAGGTCGGGTAGAAGAGCTGAGCCAGTATCCTCAGCTAGTCTTGATGCAGTCATGGGATCCCTGGCCCATTGAAAGGGGGCATGGAGATTGAGGAGTGCCCTTTGATGGTTTAGTGATATTGTCCAGTAACCCTGTAGAGATAACGCTATCAAGTCTAGGGGTCTCTGATACTAATGAAGGGTAAATACTGTGGAGTTGAAGGGTTTCCAATAATATTGGAGCAGGCCAAGGGGTAACGTCATAGAGTAGATACTTTGGGATGCAGATATACTTTTCATAGACAAAGTAATGGAGGACTGTTTTGGCACTCCCACAGTACTAAGCAAAGACAAGTGAGAAGCTGGAACAATAGAGCTCAAGTGGGAGGCTTGAGTGTCTGTATAAATGGGGTCAGGCCTCTCTGGATGCTCCAGGTTTATGGAAGTAAGCACAGAGTCTGGTCCCACTAGTTTCCCCATAGTGGTCCTCTGAACCATAGTCTTCTGTGCAGATTGGCTTAGCTGTGCTCTTGTGTCTCCGGGTGGGTGTAATGTTAGCTGGGGGGGCTCCATTATAGATGTATGTCTACTGTGCTCTTTTGTCCATGGTGGTGCAGTGTGGACTAGTGTCAGTGGTAGTCTTTGACTGCTGGTGCTCTGGTCTACCAGGTTTATGGTTGGTGTACTTTGTGAAGTCGAAGGGTTCATTGTTCTTCCATTAGAATCATACTCTGAAAACAAAGTTGGGCTCCTGCTTATAAAGGCTACATAGACAGGGTTGTAAAGAGCTGAGGCAAATGTTGTTACACTATGTGTGTATGTGTCCATGGAAACATGTCTGTGTTCTCTGAATGGGAATGTGTATGTTTGCTGTGTTGGAAAAGATGTAGTTGAAGATGTCAAGATTAGCTGTGTGTGGTTTGATTCTCTGGACATACTAACAATTGATACCATCTCAGTTTGGGTGGCTGGGTGAAATATAGGCCTCTTCATTGATTGTGTGAAACACTCTGGGATGAGTAAGGATGGTTTGAGAAGGCATGGACAACAAATCGTCTCTCGTGCCAGATGGTGGTGATTTCAAAACACCCTCACAAGCAACAGCGGATGTAAGAGGGTGACTTGAGGCCTGTGTTAGTTCTAGGTTTGGTGCCCCAGTGTGTGTCTCCAGGATGGCTGTGGGGTATGACATCATCAGACTAGTAGAAGGTTCCGGAACAGGTATGTGAGAAAGCTCCAGTCTGACTGACTCTGGCACCTGCGTTGGTGGTGGGAGAACTGCAGTTGGGGTGGCTGTATGACGCAGGGGTTGCAGGCCCCTCCTGATTCCAGGGAGCAACCCGTTGCAGAGAATCCTCCACCCTAATATGGGGACTCCCAACACGGTGGTCAGCCGACCTGAGGCAGTGCTGTGCTCCAAAATCAGGGCTAAGTCTGATAACTGCTCCCCCACCCCACAACCAACCGGCCACAAGAGCTCGGCAGCCTGCCCTCTTCCCGAGGTCCCCTTTCCCTGGGTAGCGTCAGCAGTCAGGGGACCCTGCCTGCACACCCCGGTTTTCTCACTTTGCAGTGCAGCGGGGCCTCTGAGCGAGAGGAGGTGGACTGAGCCAGGAGCCATTCGCAGATAGTCAGCCATTGTGCTGGTCAGCCGCACACGTTGGTCTGCGTCCAAGCTGCCAGTGTCCACCTGAAGCAATAGATCAGCCCAGATGACAGTCTCCCCCACAGGACAGACGAGACCGGCCCTGTCAAAGACAGGATTAGGGTCAAAAGTATTATTACATTCGGTCAGTTCATGAAGTGAATTTAAATTGATTTCCTAAATTGGAAATTAACAATTACATTCAAAAATTGAACAGAACAACTTTATTTAAAGCTGGAATCCTTAAACGCAACATCAATTTTTAGTTCAACTGTCATACCCCATCAGAACCCAAAATACAAGCATGTTTTACTCTGTTTGTAAACAATGTAAATGCAAACAAAAGCTGTATAGCCTCAAAACATGGTTTAAACTCTAATTTTGATATAATGGATGGTCACTCCTTGCATCTATAGCTCTTCCTATGAATTTGAGAATGGTAACATTTCCCCGGGCCCATCCCTCAGCTTTTTACCGAAACACTGAAGAAAAAAAAACACTGCTGTTTTTTCAGTTCAATGTAATTCATCGAAACATGCAACACACATGATTAATTTAAAATGATCAATGTTTTCTTACTTTATGTGAGTAGAGAGTAGGCTCCCCTCTCCCACTGTTCCATTAAGGACATGAAGATGAAAGTAGGTAACGGATACACAGTGGCCTGCGACGGACACTTTAAGGGGGTACTGCCCGCAATCTTCCCTCAGAGCCAAGCCAAATAGATTGCCAGTCTTCTCGGTGAACGCCAACCACCTTGGTATTGCATCATCATTGGCCAAAGAGACCTGAAGGAGTGGATGAACTTTCATTCAGTAACCCTTTTCATCCATGAGTTAGTTCACTATTCTGCCAGGCCTATAGGGCCATATTCCATTGTAGTTGTGTAGTACATAACTCCCCAGCCTAATGAGTAAATAGTGTCCCCCACTCGTGTGTGTGTTTGAAACAAGCATTTGCTACCAAGCTACTGAAATATCAGCCTCTAGTTGACATTATTAATGGCCCTTGGATTTAAATGGCATCTTTCAGTACAGTCAGCTCACCTGATAGTGCTGGAAAGGTCCCTGGATGGCTGGCAGGGGAAGAGGGAAATAGAAAGCTGTCCCAGCTTGGACCGTGCGGTTTGGGAGGCCCTGCAGCCGTACCATTGGAGGACAAGAGTGTGGTTTCACCAAGCACTGGGCCTTCGACACACATCCCAGCACCATCAAGATACAGAGGAGAGGGGAGAAAAGTTCAGAAAGCATGGACTCTACTTCCTCTGTGCCTTCGTATCCAATAAGGAACGGCACCCGTTGCGGCAGGTACCCGTTTTGGAGGGTGAATATATCGTACCATGTCCCTTGGTCACCCCTCTCACATTTCCCCCAGTCATCCAAACCGACAAATAAACATTTATTCCAATTGAAGTTGTGCAAGGATCCTCAGGCTTATGAATACATCTGGTCCAGAAGAAAACAGCAAAGCTCACCGCGTGATACGGCAGCCATCTGTAAAATAAAGAGAAATCAAGGTCCAGGAGAGCAGTGGAATGTTCCTAGTAGGAAGCACCAGTTCAACATGATCCAAGCCGTCCTCCGTGTTGGTGTCATATCATGTCATTACGTGTCCAGTTACTAGGCTGCCTGGTTACTAGGAAACCAGAAATGCTACCAGGCAGGGACCCTCCAAAGGCTTCTGTGACACATTCAAGGCTGGTTGAACACAGTGCTTTCTATAGTTTTACATATTCAAGGTTCCACTTTACTATCATATAGACAAATAATATAAAATAGCCTTACATTATAACTGTAACTCTAGTTATGTAGTCTACATACAGTATATGAAATGCACCTGTAAGCTCGTTTATGTAGACAAAACCCTGTAGCAACATGCACAAGATCGAGTACAAGCGCTACATCAAAAGACAACCCCAACGACCCCTGGGCTGTTCATTCTTTAGCCATGTCGTACCCCATCCCCCTCTTACAGTTGTGATGGATAGAGTGGGGGAAGTTGACAAACCCAGGGGGTGATATCAACAAGAGACTTTCGAAAAAATCAACTATCACTGTGATTCTCAATGCTGCTAGGTTTAGTTGCCCTGTTCCCTTATTCAGCTCTCCACTGTGAAAGAATGTGGTCACGCAACAGGACAACAGTGGCCAGTTGTTGCTCAAAGTCTCTCAACATTTCCCTTTTGACTTTTTCTTTACTTATGGAGTTGAGTAACAGAGCGTTACTTAGCTTAGATTTTAATTGACCCAGTTTCCCTGCAGTGAAAGAATGTTTGGCTTGAGTTGCAAGATGACCCTTGACAAAGTGACCCCCTGGTCCCGCTGGGTTTGGGTTTAGGCTGCGGGGTCACACCTGAATTAACTTGTATGGGGCCCACCATGTCTCAGCAGGGTGTCTGTTCAGATAGCTACAGTGCATTTGGAATGTTTTCAGACCCCTTCACTTCTTCCACATTTTGTTACGTTACAGCCTTATTCTAAAATGGATTAAATAATTTCCCCCCCTGATGAATCTACACACAATACCCCATATTGACAAAGCAAAAACAGGTTTTTAGACATTTTTGCTAATTTATAAAAAATTTAAAACTGCAATATTACATTTACATAAGTATTCAGACCCTTTACTCAGTACTTTGTTGAAGCACCTTTGGCAGCGATTACAGCCTCGAGTCTTGGGTATGATGCTACAAGCTTGACACACCTATATTTGGGGAGTTTCTCCCATTCTTCTCTGCAGATCCTCTCAAGCTCTGTCAGGTTGGATGGGGAGCGTCGCTGCACAGCTATTTTCAGGTCTCTCCAGAGATGTTCAATCAGGTTCAAGTCCGGGATCTGGCTGGGCCACTCAAGGACATTCAGAGACTTGTCCCAAAGCCACTCCTGCGTTGTCTTGGCTGTGTGCTTAGAGTTGTTGTCCTGTTGGAAGGTGAACCTTCAAATCAAATCAAATCAAATTATATTGGTCACATGCGCCGAATACAACAGGTGCAGACATTACAGTGAAATGCTTACTTACAGCCCTTAACCAACAGTGCATTTATTTTTAACAAAAAAAGTAAAAATAAAACAACAACAAAAAAAGTGTTGAGAAAAAAAAGAGCAGAAGTAAAATAAAGTGACAGTAGGGAGGCTATATATACAGGGGGGTACCGTTGCAGAGTCAATGTGCGGGGGCACCGGCTAGTTGAGGTAGTTGAGGTAATATGTACATGTGGGTAGAGTTAAAGTGACTATGCATAAATAATTAACAGAGTAGCAGCAGCGTAAAATTTGCTCTGTTCATCTCTCCCTCTTTCCTGACTAGTCTCCCAGTCCCTGCCGCTGAAAAACATCCCCACAGCATGATGTTGCCATCACCATGCTTCACCGTAGGGATGGTGCCTGGTTTCCTCCAGACGTGACGCTTGGCATTCAGGCCAAAGAGTTCAATCTTGGTTTCATCAGACCAGATAATCTTGTTTCTCATGGTCTGAAAGTCCTTTAGGTGCCTTTTGGCAAACTCCAAGCGGGCTGTCATGTTCCTTTTACTGAGGAGTGGTTTCCGTCTGGCCACTCTACCATAAAGGCCTGATTGGTGGAGTGCTGCAGAGATTGTTGTCCTTCTGGAAGGTTCTCCCATCTCCACAGAGGAACTCTAAAGCTCTGTCAGTGACCATCGGGTTCTTGGTCACCTCCCTGACCAAGGCCCTTCTCCCCAGATTGTTCAGTTTGGCTGGGCGGCCAGCTCTAGGAAGACTCTTGGTGTTTCCAAACTTCTTCCATTTGAGAATGATGGAGGCCACTGTGTTCTTGGGGACCTTCAATGCTGCAGAAATATTTTGGTACCCTTCCCCAGATCTGTGCCTTGACACAATCCTGTTTCTGAGCGCTACAGACAATTCCCTTGGTTTGGTTTCTGCTCTGACATGCACTGTCAACTGTGGGACCTTATTTAGACAAGTGTGTGCCTTTCCAAATAATGTCCAATCAATTGAATTTACCACAGGTGGACTCAAATTAAGTTGTAGAAACATCTCAAGGATGATCAATGGAAACAGGATGCACCTGAGCTCAATTTCGAGTCTCTTATGTAAATAAGGTATTTCTGTTTTCTATTTTTAATACATTAGCAAACATTTCTAAAAACCTGTTTTCACTTTGTCATTATGGGGTATTGTGTGTAGATTGATGCACAAAAAAAAAATCTAATCAATTTTAGAATAAGGCTGTAACGTAACAAAATGTGGACAAAGGGAAGGGGTCTAAATACTTTCCGAATGAACTGAACCTGGATATGAGCCAGGCAGTTTAATGATTAACATGAGGAAATTGGCGCACTGGAATCCCAGACCATAATGATTCCTTATAAGGGATGTACCCGACGATGACAGAATACAGCTCTGTATAGTAGTGCAAAGCTAAAATAAATCACTAAATCATTAACTTTTTCACAGTGTGGTCAACACATGGTTTTACTACAATTGTTTTTGCATTTTAGTCCATGTGAGTGTACTGTAAATATCAGTTATTAACTTGTTATATTGAGTACACTAATAAACTCCTAGGACTAGAGGGAGGAGTTAGAAGATATTCTCAAAGTACATTTAGGTATCTCTGAGAGGATCAAGACAATTGCACATGGAGGTAAGTTTAAACAGTTCTTACCATCTTATATTTGTTTTGTCATATTGATTGTACTTGGGAGTACACTTTGGTATGTCTCAATACTGAAACATCAAGTACTGAACGTGAAGAGAAATACTACAAAGTATATAAAACAAATTAAATATATGTGATACAGTATCAGTAGCTGTGCCACTAGAGATCCTGGTTCGAATCCAGGCTCTGATGTAGCCGACCGGGAGACCCATGGGGCGGCGCACAATTGGCCCAGCGTCGTCCAGGGTAGGGGAGGGAATGGCCGGCAGGGATGTAGCTCAGTTGGTAGAGCATGGCGTTTGCAACGCCAGGGTTGTGGGTTCATTTCCCACGGGGGGCCAGTATGAAAAATAAAATAAAATCATGTATGCACTCACTAACTGTAAGTCGCTCTGCTAAATGACTAAAATGTAATGTAAAAATGTTTATACTGGGCATTACTTGAGAAGCTCGCTGAATAGAGCATGAACAGGGTGGGACTCAAGTTGGGGAAAGCTCGATATATATTCAAATGCTTGGCGATATTGCAGCGCCAATCGAAGCTTACTATAGCTTCCAGCCCCTACTGGATTGGCTGTCGATACCAAGCAATACCTATCATGTTGTTGGCTTGCTAGCACCCACATGGCGAGCCACTCAGTGCGAAGCTAGCGTGGCTATGTGAAGCATTGCTTGCTGGTAGATATTGGCCGTTATAGTGGACAGCCTCTGAGCGATTTAACAGTTTGCGTCGAGAGGCAACCAGAGTTTTGCAAAGCTAAACATTATGGAAATGATCATTAGAAAATGAGTTGAACTTTTGATGGACAAAACGGACAATGACTAATGCATATGCTTTATTTATATATATATGCAGTGAGGGAAAAAAGTATTTGATCCCCTGCTGATTTTGTACGTTTGCCCACTGACAAAGGCATGATCAGTCTATAATTTTAATAGTAGGTTTATTTGAACAGTGAGAGACAGAATAACAACAACAAAATCCAGAAAAACGCATGTCAAAAATGTTACAAATTGATTTGCATTTTAATAAGGGAAATAAGTATTTGACCCCTCTGCAAAACATGACGTAGTACTTGGTGGCAAAACCCTTGTTGGCAATCACAGAGGTCAGACGTTTCTTGTAGTTGGCCACCAGGTTTGCACACATCTCAGGAGGGATTTTGTTCCACTCCTCTTTGCAGATCTTATCCAAGTCATTAAGGTTTCGAGGCTGACGTTTGGCAACTCAAACTTTCAGCTCCCTCCACAGATTTTCTATGGGATTAAGGTCTGGAGACTGGCTAGGCCACTCCAGGACCTTAATGTGCTTCTTCTTGAGCCACTCCTTTGTTGCCTTGGCCGTGTGTTTTGGGTCATTGTCATGCTGGAATACCCATCCACGACCCATTTTCAATGCCCTGGCTGAGGGAAGGAGATTCTCACCCAAGATTTGACGGTACATGGCCCCGTCCATCGTCCCTTTGATGCGGTGAAGTTGTCCTGTCCCCTTAGCAGAAAAACACCCCCAAAGCATAATGTTTCCACCTCCATGTTTTGCAGAGTCATGTTTTGCAGAGTGGTCCTCTGTAGCTCAGCTGGTAGAGCACGGCGCTTGTAACGTAAAGGTAGTGGGTTCGATCCCCGGGACCACCCATACACAAAAATGTATGCACGCATGACTGTAAGTCGCTTTGGATAAAAGCGTCTGCTAAATGGCATATTATTATTATTATTATGTTTGACGTTGGGATGGTGTTCTTGGGGTTATAGGCAGCATTCCTCCTCCTCCAAACACGGCGAGTTGAGTTGATGCCAAAGAGCTTGATTTTGGTCTCATCTGACCACAACACTTTCACCCAGTTCTCCTCTGAATCATTCAGATGTTCATTGGCAAACTTCAGACGGCCCTGTATATGTGCTTTCTTGAGCGGGCGCTGCAGGATTCCGTCCTTCACGGCGTAGTGTGTTACCAATTGTTTCTTGGTGACTATGGTCCCAAGCTGCCTGAGATCATTGACAAGATCCTCCTGCGTGGTTTCTGGGCTGATTCCTCACCGTTCTCATGATCATTGCAAACTCCACGAGGTGAGATCTTGCATGGAGCCCCAGGCCGAGGGAGATTGACAGTTTTTTGTGTTTCTTCCATTTGCGAATAATCGCACCAACTGTTGTCACCCTTCTCACCAAGTGCTTGGCGAGGGTCTTTAAGTCAACAATCCGAGTTAATTTCCTTTTAGGGTGTGTCTATCACCATATTTCTGTATAAAGACTACCTGGGAGACTCCTTTCTGTTTAAATGTGGGTTCAATAATTAGCTCATTAAACGCAAATCAATAACTTTTTATGGTTTTTCTGGAGTTTTGTCGTTATTGCTGACTGCGACTTATAACTACATTGAAAGCATTATATGCAATCTTGCGTTTGTCAGCGGCACGATCGAAACACATAGGATCCAGTCCCTGTCTCAATATCGTTCTTAGAACCAAAACCTTCCCTCTTCGCTGTGCACCCACATGGCGACCAGTCGGCGCGTTAGCGTGGAGGTGAGCCGCTTGCTACTATTGGCCGTACAGGCAGCCTGGCAAGGAACCAATGCGGAGAGGAACAGAGATTTAGAGGAACCTAGAGTTTGCCATAGTTGAACGTGAACTATCATTAGGGTACGAAAAAGTTTAAATACTTAACAGTTGATGGCAAAGTGGGCAAACGTACAAAATCAGCAGGGGATCAATATCTTGTCTTCAATATTCATGTTTCTTATGGAAATTCTCCCCCCCCCCCTCGAAGATGGCACTCAACTGGCCTGGCCTGCTGTCGATTGGGGTGTTCTACCTCATTGTCCTCGCGACAGGCGTCTGGGCGTCAAGGAAGTCCAAGCGTGAGGAGAGGAAATGCACTGGAAACCTTAGTGAGGTTGCCATGGTTGGAGGGCGGAACCTCAACATCTGGGTCAGCATCTTCACTACCACAGGTGTGTAGTCAACATAACTAACTAGTAACATAAGATCCCCCAGATTTGAAAGTCGTTCAAGTATTGACTGAGTGTTTTTCAATGTTTAGTGGTTGTTCTGTGTGACCACCCTCTCTCTACAGCTACATGGGTGGGAGGAGGTTTCATCTTAGGCAATGCTGAGGTGATCTATGACCCTAAAAGGGGCCTGGCCTGGGCCATCGGACCGATAGGCTTCTCCCTCAGCCTCGTTGTAGGTGTGTATGGTCATGTTATGACTCATAATAATGGCTGGAACGGAGCAAATGGAATGATGTTGTTGATACCTTTCCACTTATTCCGCTCCATCCATTAGACGTGCCCGTCCTCCTCAATTAAGGTGCCACCAACCTCCAGTGGTGTAGGGTAAATAATTCACAGTAAATTCGTGACTGCAGGTGCATTGTTCTTTGTGAAACCGGTCCGAGAGAAGAATTACGTCACCATAATGGATCCGTTCCAGGAGAAGTATGGGAACACGTTAACTGCTATTCTCTTTGTCCCATCACTCCTTGCTGACATCTTCTGGATAGCCTGTGTGCTCGCTGCATTGGGTAAGTCAGTTGTTCTGTCAGCAAAATAGCCATCACAGCACATTTTAGCACGTGCCATGACACAAGCCACGTTTACCTGGTTAGGTCACGTGGAAAAACTATCTCTATCTTAGATTTGATATAATTTATTGATGAATAAGCAATTATTGTCCACCACCACATTATCCGGAAGCATGAGAATGAGTCTAAACTCTTACATAATTAGTTGGTGATGTTGGCCAACTCCTGATGCATGAATGAGTGCATGTGCATGAACCTGCACGGCATATCTGTAAGTTATACATTGGATGAACTGTTGAGGCAGGCATTCTAGTGACATCATGGCACTCAGATCTCAGGGATGTTGTTGGCTATAGATTACGCACAGAAGCTTGCAAGCTACTAAGCTAGCTAGAATATGTGAACAATCTGCACAATGCTTTGCTCTAGGGGGAACGGTGAGTGTGATCATGGATATCCCATCACCCTTGGCTGTGGCCCTGTCTGCTGCTGTGGCAGTTCTCTACACACTGCTGGGAGGGCTGTATTCGGTGGCCTACACTGATGTCATCCAGCTCATCTTCATGTTCCTCAGCCTGGTGAGGACACTTCGTCCTGCAGTCTTAGAGAAAAGGGTTTCAAAAGCGTTCTTCGGCTGTCCCCAAAGGAGAACCCTTTTTGGAAAGGGTTCTACATGGAACCAAAAATAGTTATTCAAAGGGTTCTCCTATGGGGACTGCCGAAGAACCCTTATTGGTTCTAGGGTCAACGTGTTATAGTGAGTGAGTGCACCTGTGTGGTCTACTGTATGTATATACACGCCCAGATTCACTTCATTTACGTGTAGGGTTTCTGTATGGGAACTGCTTCAATATGTTTATTTATTCTTCCCTCTAATGGTTTTGTGGTTTTGGTTTTTCCCTTTCAGTGGTTTTGTGTGCCCTTCATACTGATGAGCCCTGCCTCAGCAGACATTACAGTCACAGCTGTGACAAAACTGTATCAGGAGCCATGGACCGGCAGGCTGAAGTTGGCAGATGCAGGGCGCTGGCTGGATGACCTGCTACTGGTGGTAATGTCAGCTTAAAGTCACATTTCACTCCAATTTCACGGTTTGTCAGAGGAGTTCAGACCTCAAACGTGGTCTAATAACTAGTTGATTCCACATCACACACGTCTCAATCCCAAATGAAGACCCTGTCATATTCATTGTATTGTGTTACCTTTGTATTTGCTGTGCTGATTGTTTTCTAATTTAGGTCTTGTCACTTTTTGGATTTCAGCATTTTTAACAATGGTCCCTTTCAATGTCTCTCTCTCTCAGACTCTAGGTGGAATCTGTTACCAGGCCTTCTACCAGAGGGTCCTGGCCACAGCCACTGTGGCTCAGGCTCAGTTCACCTGCTATGCTGCCTCTGTCGTCTGCTTCATCCTCTCCATACCACCTCTTCTCATTGGTGCTGTGGCAGCATCCACAGGTACAGCAGTGTGTTCATCAAAATGGAGGAGTAGGCTTCATGGGAGGAGCCAACTCTGTTCCAATAATGTCAATCACTGGGAGTTCTGTAAATCTAATATGCTTGCTTTTTTTCTCTGTCTCACTTAGATTGGAACCAGACCAGTTTTGGTCTACCTACTCCCTTTGAGCAGGGCAAGGCGGGTATGATTCTGCCCATCTCCCTGCACCACCTGTGCCCGCCTTTCGTCTCTCTTGCTGGAATCGGCGCCATTGCTGCTGCCGTGATGTCATCGATTGACTCTGCCCTGCTGTCTTCTGCGTCCCTTTTTGCCCGAAACATCTACAAAAACATTATCAGCAAAAGGGTGAGACAAAGTTAGAGAAGCTACTTACAAACATCTTAGTTTATTCTATGTAATTATTTATTTGTAATTGTTTTCCACAAATTTACTGAATAGGGCCCTGCGATTGCTTTTTTGTCTTCATTTTAGGCCTCTGAGAAAGAGATTCTACTGGTTGTGAAGGTGTCCATCCTACTGTTCGGTCTGATGGGGGCGGGCTTGGCAATGACAACCTCCTCTGTGTATGTATTCTGGATGCTCAGTGGAGATGTGATGTACTCTGTGGTCTGTGCCCAGTTGATCTGCGTCCTCTTTCTGCCTGGGAAGGTCAATGGGTATGGTGCCTTGGCAGGCCTTGTGGTAGGGCTACTGCTGCGGCTCCTAGTGGGAGAGCCCCTGCTTGGTGTGCCCGGACTCATGCCCCTTCCCTGGGACAGCCTACATGATGACGGGCGTCTGCTGCATGTCTTCCCCTTCCGCACCAGCATCATGTTGGTCTCTCTGGCCACCATTCTGGTTGTATCCCGTTTTGTAACCTGCCTTTTCCTTAAAGGGCTCCTGCCTGACAACTGGGATGTATATGGACTTGGCCAAAAAAGGATGGTTTCAATGAAGGATATGGTAGATAAGGATCCGACTGAGAAGATTGGACTGAACACAAGGCAGCTGTACCCTATTCCTCATGCGAACAAAGAAGATATGAGCTCTTTACAATGGCCTGGGGTCCCATCATGTAAATAGTTACAGACCACGGCCAAAGGCCAGGAACAGGCAGGGCTCAAACACCACAGCACAGTTAAGACTCTTAATTCAATAAAGAATGTTACCTTTCCAAAGAAATTTAGTTTGTAGAAGGTACTGTTTCCTTGTTCTTGTTACTGGTATGTCATCTTCATGTTTATGGTTACTTTGTATGAATATTCTTCAAAGGCTGTTTGTTTAGAAAGCAATAAAAATATAGGCTAAATAACGAGGGATTAAGCATGAATCGACACCACCCTAGTTAAGTGGAAAAATAAGGTAAAACGGTGAACTGTCACTTTAAGAGTTAGTCTCCCAAACACATACAGTGGGGAAAAAAAGTATTTAGTCAGCCACCAATTGTGCAAGTTCTCCCACTTCAAAAGATGAGAGAGGCCTGTAATTTTCATCATAGGTACACGTCAACTATGACAGACAAATTGAGAAAAAAAAATCCAGAAAATCACATTGTAGGATTTTTAATGAATTTATTTGCAAATTATTGTGGAAAATAAGTATTTGGTCACCTACAAACAAGCAATATTTCTGGCTCTCACAGACCTGTAACTTCTTCTTTAAGAGGCTCCTCTGTCCTCCACTTGTTACCTGTATTAATGGCACCTGTTTGAACTTGTTATCAGTATAAAAGACACCTGTTCACAACCTCAAACAGTCACACTCCAAACTCCACTATGGCGAAGACCAAAGAGCTGTCAAAGGACACCAGAAACAAAATTGTAGACCTGCACCAGGCTGGGAAGACTGAATCTGCAATAGGTAAGCAGCTTGGTTTGAAGAAATCAACTGTGGGAGCAATTATTAGGAAATGGAAGACATACAAGACCACTGATAATCTCCCTCGATCTGGGGCTCCACGCAAGATCTCACCCCGTGGGGTCAAAATGATCACAAGAACGGTGAGCAAAAATCCCAGAACCACACGGGGGGACCTAGTGAATGACCTGCAGAGAGCTGGGACCAAAGTAACAAAGCCTACCATCAGTAACACACTACGCCGCCAGGGCCTCAAATCCTGCAGTGCAAGACGTGTCCCCCTGCTTAAGCCAGTACATGTCCAGGCCCGTCTCAAGTTTGCTAGAGTGCATTTGGATGATCCAGAAGAGGATTGGGAGAATGTCATATGAAACCAAAATAGAACTTTTTGGTAAAAACTCAACTCGTCGTGTTTGGAGGACAAAGAATGCTGAGTTGCATCCAAAGAACACCATACCTACTGTGAAGCATGGGGGTGGAAACATCATGCTTTGGGGCTGTTTTTCTGCAAAGGGACCAGGACGACTGATCCGTGTAAAGGAAAGAATGAATGGGGCCATGTATCGTGAGATTTTGAGTGAAAACCTCCTTCCGTCAGCAAGGGCATTGAAGATGAAACGTGGCTGGTTCTTTCAGCATGACAATGATCCCAAACACACCGCCCGGGCAATGAAGGAGTGGCTTCGTACGAAGCATTTCAAGGTCCTGGAGTGGCCTAGCCAGTCTCCAGATCTCAACCCCATAGAAAATCTTTGGAGGGAGTTGAAAGTCTGTGTTGCCCAGCGACAGCCCCAAAACATCACTGCTCTAGAGGAGATCTGCATGGAGGAATGGGCCGAAATACCAGCAACAGTGTGTGACAACCTTGTGAAGACTTACAGAAAACGTTTGACCTGTGTCATTGCCAACAAAGGGTATATAACAAACTATTGAGAAACTTTTGTTATTGACCAAATACTTATTTTTCACCATAATTTGCAAATAAATTCATAAAAAATCCTACAATGTGATTTTCTGGATTTTTTTTCCTCATTTTGTCTGTCCTAGTTGACTTGTACCTATGATGAAAATTCCAGGCCTCTCTCATCTTTTTAAGTGGGAGAACTTGCACAATTGGTGGCTGACTAAATACTTATTTTCCCCACTGTATTAACTCTAGTCCTGGACTAAGTAGTACTTTTTCAATGGAGATTCTCTGAGATCACATTCTGGATCCTGAGTGTCTATATCATATACAAACTGGTGTTAGCCCAGTTAGCTATCCTATTTCTGTCTAGACATGTCAATGAATATGGAGTGTGTTTGGGCTTTGGGATAGGGCTTTTCCTTTGTGGCCTGTTTGATGTGCCCACACATAGTCATACCTCTTCTTTGCTCTTAAAGTGGAGGGGCACATAGTACAAGCCTTTCCCTTACTTCTCACCTTGGCCACAATCCTTCTTGTGTCACGCTTGGCAGGCCACCTTTTCCTTACTGGCTACTGCCCCATAGATGGGATTATTAATTAGGTCTGCCAGAAGGTGATCTTTAACGGCTGTGGCTGCTAAGGACCAGACTGAGGAGAAAGAACTGAATACTGTCAAAGAAAATCTAATTTCTTCCTTGTGCCTATATCTAAATTACAGTTAATTTAACTTTAGACTGATCAAATTAGTTGTCAATTAATCAATCCGTTATTTAATTTATTTAAATTGTATTCAATTCAATAAACATGTTTGTTTTTGTTAGTTACTTCCACCTCTCATCAAAAAGAAAAAAATAAACAGCTTCATGAATGATGTAAAGTAGGTTACTTTATGCACAGAACACGTGCAGCGAAAATGACTTTTATTTTGACAATTTTGTAGACGTTCCCACCCGGAAGTAGCTAAATACTAGAGAACACGTTTTTTTCCCTTCTGATTTGTTCAAGCTTCTTCGAACAAAATCGAATAATAATACTGTATTTTTGTATTGACAGCTAGCTAGTTACATCAGCAGAATGGTGTAATGTTTTCAGCATTGATACAGTCATTTAGTAGACTTATAACACAGTAAAATATGGATGCTATGGGTATGTAGCTAACAGCCTCCTGTAGCTAGCCTAGTTATATATGGCTTCAAACTTGCTGTGGACATTATAGCTATTTTAGCACACAGTTTATTTTTGTGTGACCTGTTAAATGTGTGTCTATATGGCCCCAGCTAGCTAGCTTTGCAACCTGGTCTCAGAGCATGTCGTATTATTCTGTATGTAAATCCGGGACCTGCCATTTAATATGATATGTTACGTTTCGTATGGTATGTATTAATTTGTGGATGTCCATCAGCCATTTTGTATGATATGTTACGAATTACAATTCGTATTATATGTTACTAATTTGCAAAACGTACAATATGTTACAAATTATCAAACGTAAGCTATGTTACGAATTCTAGCTAGGTGGTTAAGTTTAGGAGTTAGGATAACGGGTTAGGGGAAGGGTTAGCTAACATACTAAGTCATTGCAAAGTAGCTAAAAAAGTAGTAAGTAGTTGAAAAGTTGCTGAAATACTAAAGTTGTCCGTGATAAGATTCGAATTCGCATTCGGTTGCTAGACATTTGCAGTTCGGCGCGAGACGACCGTTAGACCGATGATTTGATTCTGCGCATGAGCTTAGCTAGCCAACGTCGCCATCCTACAAGCAAGATCAGGGATTTCTATTGGAGAAGCAATTTATGCCTATCTCCATACTTTACTGTCTTTGATATTATTGTACATTCTTCTCTACGCAATAGATTACCCCCTCCCTTTCTCCTCCCTGCGCCTTTTGGTTCCACCTCTACGGCTCATGTCTGCATTTATGTGGAAGGTAGCACAACAGAGGGCCATCAAGCACTATGGAAAATTAGAGGAGTTTGTGACAGTGGTAACACAAACTGTTCCAGAACTTATAACTGACAGACAGAGGACATTGCTTCTTCTGGCATTAAGGGCAAGGGTAAGTAAATTCTGAAACTTACCCTGGCTGTAGAAATGTGTTTTACAATGTGTCAGGTGTATGAAGGGCCTAGCCCAAGATGTACTCTTAAGGAGCCTACCATTACACCTTAAGGTCCAATCACTGATATGAAAGGTAAGGTCCTTATGTTTCCAAAACTGTACCGCAAGCGATGCGTGTTAATGTTCAGAACGAGCGTAGGGGCTCTTAACAAAACTCCTCCGTACAGAAGACGCCTTTGTCCAATGAGTCTTCTGTGTAATGTAATGGAACTGAGAGTCATGATCAAGGGCTAGGCCGTGTAGACTTGACAGTTAATGCAGTTTTTGTATTCTGATCATGGAATTCCGAACACATCATGCATCTACACCTACATTTAAATGTGTCAACATTGTGTCCGGATTCCCTTTTCCTGCGCTATATTCAAATGCCAGTATTCATTCTGCAAACGGTGGAATGGGCAAAATATAATAACACAACAACAACTTGATGGCAGTAGTTAACTACTGTAGCTTACTAGCCAGCTAACCTCTGTAGCTAGTCAGCAAGCAAAGCTAAAGGGATTGCAAATGGGTTAGCATAACTCTAGCCAAACAAAAATATATTATTTTTCTAAATATTAGCTAGCTGGCTAGCAATTATGAGGCCAGCAACATGTTCCCCACATGCTAGGAACATATTTCCTCTAGCGTAATGAAATGGTGCCTCTCGGGTCCCAAAACCGTGAGGTGCTTATAACGTTGCCCACTGTATGTACTATCGGTAGCCTGATTGTGTCCAGACTGAGGAGAAATCCGCACACAATGCAGAGCCAGATCTGAACTCAATCATACCACAATGCAACTTTTGTGGGTCTAGAGCTGCATTTAGACAGGCATCCCAATTCTGATGTAAAAAAAATCATAAAATACAAAATTCGGTCTTTTGACCAATCAGATCAGCTCTGCAAAAGATCTGATGTGAAAAGATCTGATGTGATTGGTCAAAAGACCAATTAGTGGAACAATTTGAGAATTGGGCTGCCTGTGTAAACACAGCCTTTACCTATCTTTTCAATGCGTCTTCGTATTCTGATAGCAAAGTCACATGTAAGTGTCAAGTGTAGACACGGCCAAGGATACGGTTAATGTTTTTCAGATAACTCTTCAGCTGATTCAAGGTGAGCATCCAGAGGACCTCAACAAAATTAAGATCCATCTTGACAGATTCTCATGCTGTGGTCTTTCAAAGGTGAGTTGGTATGGTATGTTCTTAAATGTGACGTAACTGCACTTTTCTGTATATAGGGTAAAATATATAAAATGTTCTGGTTGCCCTGCTTTTTGTAGCATTGTGTAGAAGTTGGTTGGATTTATGTTACAGAATAATGATGCACAGATAGATGCGTTGGAAGCAAACCTACTCAAGCTCACCAAAAACCTTCTTGAAGACCCAGTCGAGAGGATCCGGTTCTTCAAGGTATGAAACTGTTTATTCCCAGCTGGCTTCAATCTTAAGTGTGAATAACAACATTTCGTCACTGAATAGCAGGGCATTATCAACCAGTTGAATTATCAAAAAAAGTTTATAGTCAATGTCTGACGAACGGTCAGTATGCGCTTCTGCTATAGCAACTGCGCCAAGGGCAGCAACATCAATATTATCTCTCCTTGGATTGCGGACGTACTCGTCTGTCATACAAATTGTGGGACTCCTTTCACTTTCTCTCTCCCTCTCAGGCAGATTTCCCTGTGGTGTATGGCTGTGATTTTGACAGAGCTTTGCAGGCACTTGTTTGTCAGTTCCCTCTCCAGACTAGAAGATCTGCTACCAGTGACAGACTTAAAGCAGGTAGAGAGCAAACCAAGGAAGATGTTCATATCACTGATATTCAATGCAGTCTTTATGAGCTCCATTTTGGCTCTATGTTTATCGTTATATCCTCATCTTTAAAATGTTGCATTAAACACATTGAGAGTGATGTGTGAGATATAACAGGATTTCTATGCATTTGTTACACAGCCTTATTTTGGGTGTCCTATCTCAATCTCTCCTCCTTCCCATAGACTGCATCCTGGCTCAGCGCTGTCCCCTCTGCCTCGGATGAGTGTCTGCAGCCTCTTTCTCACACTGAGGACCTGCAGTACCTGCTTCAGCACCACACATGCTGTGGAAAGTTAGACAAAAGTGCTAAACTAAGCTCCTTTATCACAAGACACATTGTGACAGACCACTACGTGTTAACCTTTCTGACATACTGACTTTTTACTTTACTCTCCTCTGCCCTTGTGTCTGTCAGCATTTCCCTCCTCGGAAGAAGACTGCATCCTCGCTTCACTGTCCCTCCCTACCCCAGTGGGAGTGGCATATGCCTCTGACAGCAAATTAGATGTCTTGCCTAACTTGGAAGGCTCTACCCATGTAAGCAGAGAGATGGAGGCTTTGTCAGACAGCAGAGATTACCAACAGGCAGAATCAAGAGCACGCTTCCATGGAAACCAAAACTGCAAAGAAGAAAGAGCGTCTACCATGGTTAGCGATGATGGTGAATGCACAGAGGGAGGTGTGGAAGAGGAGAATGAAAACATAAGTGCTGTGGTTTTTACTGAACCAAAGGACCAGAGGAGATGTGAAGGGACTGTTGGGGACCTGTGTGCTGCTGGAGCACCAGACCTCGCAGCCAACTCTCCAATGGTCACCTCCATTTTGGCTCTATGTTTATATCCTCATCTTTAAAATGTTGCATTAAACACATTGAGAGTGATGTGTGAGATATAACAGGATTTCTATGCATTTGTTACACAGCCTTATTTTGGGTGTCCTATCTCAATCTCTCCTCCTTCCCATAGACTGCATCCTGGCTCAGCGCTGTCCCCTCTGCATCGGATGAGTGTCTGCAGCCTCTTTCTCACACAGAGGACCTGCAGTACCTGCTTCAGCACCACACATGCTGTGGAAAGTTAGACAAAAGTGCTAAACTAAGCTCCTTTATCACAAGACACATTGTGACAGACCACTACGTGTTAACCTTTCTGACATACTGACTTTTTACTTTACTCTCCTCTGCCCTTGTGTCTGTCAGCATTTCCCTCCTCGGAAGAAGACTGCATCCTCGCTTCACTGTCCCTCCCTACCCCAGTGGGAGTGGCATATGCCTCTGACAGCAAATTAGATGTCTTGCCTAACTTGGAAGGCTCTACCCATGTAAGCAGAGAGATGGAGGCTTTGTCAGACAGCAGAGATTACCAACAGGCAGAATCAAGAGCACGCTTCCATGGAAACCAAAACTGCAAAGAAGAAAGAGCGTCTACCATGGTTAGCGATGATGGTGAATGCACAGAGGGAGGTGTGGAAGAGGAGAATGAAAACATAAGTGCTGTGGTTTTTACTGAACCAAAGGACCAGAGGAGATGTGAAGGGACTGTTGGGGACCTGTGTGCTGCTGGAGCACCAGACCTCGCAGCCAACTCTCCAATGGTCACCTCCAGTGTGGCTCAAAAACCCTCAATATTTTCCCCCCCGACTTACACTCAAAAGTAAAGGGGACCACAGAGTCAATTCCTCCATGAGACCTAGAAAGAGCCCAGGAGGGAGGATGGCTGAGTCCAGTGTGAACTCTGATACATCTCTGCTTGAATCCTCACAGGAAACGTAAGAGCAAAGTGTGTTGGAAATTGTGCTTGTGAATTAGGTTTGTTTGACATACACCACTGACACTATGCATCTTTACATTTGAATCCATTATATTAAACTATTGTTATCTACTACTGTTGTGCATTAGTATTTAACTGAACATGCTCTGTGGATCCTCCCCCACAGGACTGGTGCTGAAGAATCAAGACCAGTTTCTCTAGACCACGACGACACAGAAGAGGAAAACAATGGTGAGACTTTTGAAACAGTGGGGCCCCAAGGATTCCATAGTTGTGTAAATGCCCCAAGGATTCCATAGTTGTGCAAATGCCCCAAGGATTCCATAGTTGTGCAAAGGCCCCAAGGATTCCATAGTTGTGCAAAGGCCCCAAGGATTCCATAGTTGTGCAAAGACAATGGCATTTATTTTCTTGCTTTATTCTCCACAGAACCTGCTTCAGGGGAGTCTTCTCAGCTGTCTAGCTGCGCTCAACCACCACCTAGTGACGTATCACCATCCTCGGAGACCCTTTCCAAAGCATTGTCCACTGCACGGCGTATTGCCCACAAGTGCTCCCAGTGTGGAAGGTGTTTTATCTATCCATCTCAACTGGTTCAGCATCAGCGAATTCACACTGGAGATCGACCCTACAAATGCACACAGTGCGGAAATACTTTCAGTAATTCAACTGGGCTTTCAAAACACCACCAAAAACACTGTCTAGACGCGTCCTTCGATTGCCCCAAGTGCAGGGAGAGTTTCAGATCTCTCCGCAAGCGGTTCAGACACCTATCTACTCACACGTCCCTCAAATATCTGTTGTGTGGAAAGAGTTGCCGGACGACTTCTGATTTGCGAAAGCACCAGCAAACGCATTGTGTGACGCCTTCGTTCAACTGCTCTCTCTGTGAAAAACGTTTCAAGTTCCTGTCGAGCCTAACCAGGCACAACAGGACCCATTCTGTGGAGGGGGGGTATGCTTGTTCCAAGTGTGGGAAAACGTTTGGATCTTTAAGTGAACGGCTCCAACATAAGAAGACACATAGGGCACAGCTCAACTGTACGGAGTGCGGACGGAGTTGCAGTTCCCGCTCCGAACTAAAGAGTCACCAGCAAACTCACTCTCATGAACCTCTCTTCAAGTGGCGACACTGTGAAGAGAAATTCTTTGGGTCAGTTGAGCTGAAGATCCACAAAATAACTCATGCAGTGGACAAACCCCATCAGTGTGATGCGTGTGGAAAGTGCTTTGGCGCCTTAGCCACTCTTGTACTCCACCAACGGACACACACGGGGGAGAAACTCCACACGTGTCCTCACTGTAATAAGCAGTATATCTCCAAAAGTCAGCTGACGTCACACATGCGGACTCACACGGGCGAGCGTCCATACAGCTGCTCTTACTGCGGGAAGTGTTTCTCTCAGTTGGCTAATCTTACTGTGCACACAAGGATTCACACGGGGGAGAGACCCCACATCTGCTCTCAGTGCAAGAAAGGGTTTTGCTCAGTCGGTGACCTGCAGAAGCATGAGCGCTCTCACACCAAAGAGAAACCTTACAGGTGCACAGTTTGTGGAAAGGCCTTCAGTGTCAAGTCATTTGACGGTTCACATGCGCAGTCACACAGGAGAGCGCCCCTACACCTGCCCTGAGTGTGGAAAGAGTTTTGCGCAGAGCTCTGTGTTAACTAATCATCAACTCACCCATACAGGACAGAGGCCATACCCATGCCATCACTTTGGAAAAAGTTACACCCGTCTCACACACTTGAAGAGACACCTACAAACACACACTTGAGGGAGTACGGGGTGTTTTCCTGTTTTGGTTTAATTCTGTAAAGCGTTACTTCATGGAATTAGTGCAGATTGCTGTTTCACTGTCTGTCAATGTGTTATGCTGAATAACATCAATGTATGACTGAAAACCATGCTCATTCTCATGCCTTTTTCTCAAACTGTAGTTTATTGTGCACATTACTGCTAACATGGATGGAAAGTAACATTTCAAAAGATAAAATAACCTCTTTCAAGTTATGTATCAAATAAATGAGGCATTTTATGAGATTTTCTAGCTTGGGCCTGCTTCTCTCTGGCAGTTTGTGGTTTGTGTCTGAGTTTCTTTTGAATGTCTTGTAATAAATGTCTGCGTAAAAACCAATGCAAAAACTGAAAATACTATTTTAACTTTTGACTGCAACAATTAATTTAGTTGTCGTCCTGCAGCTCTAACATTATGGCACAGTTCACTCATTCAATTCAATTAATTATATTACCTGATCTAAAACATTTAAAAAGGGGAAAAGGTTGTCAAAATATGGGCCTAATTTAGATACTAGGCCTACTGTAACAACAAATGTGAGATGTTTGCCCATTTGAAATGATTTTAACGAACAATGAAATTGGTTGATATCATTGAGTAAAGGTTCATATTCATCAAAAATAAAGACAGGAAAGTATTTAATTGTGGAATATTACAAAATTATATGACAACACATTATATGCACAAACTATGTAGAAGATACTGTGTCTGGAATGCACACCATTGAGGTTAGCTACATCTGTAGCCAATATGTAGTTTATTAGTTAAAGTAAAGAGAGGGAGTTTAAGGACGCTTGCAACTGAAAAGGTACCGTTCCCTTTGAATTGTATCCATTGTCTCAAACAATATGAATATAGGTTGGTTACCACTGTATTTATTGTCTTCCTTCAATGCAAATGAAAGCTGCTATACAGTAGGCTTAATTTATTATATTCTACCTTACCTATTCTATATATAATAAGAAGTTGGCTTAATTAAAAATAATACACAGAGACAGTTGTGTCAGTAAATGTAAATATCGTTTTTTTTTATTAAACTTGTTAATAAACCGTTGATATATTATAAGTGGAACACTTAAACTGCTACAAATGACATCTACATTTCCGAATGAAGATAGGTCTTTTAGCAATTACGAGTGTTTTGTAATGTTATACGTAAGCTTTTGTGCAGGGGTGTGAGGCGTATTTATGGCTTATGGTCATGTGTATACAGGCCACTTTCAGTTGCCAAACTTTGCAGATAGAAATGCCATGAATAGAGCCGACATGATTCCTTGTTCTTCATGTCGGAGAGGCATGTTTGTTTTACGTTACATATTTCTATCTGAACGTTTCAAAACTAACTTGTGACCTACTGAACGTGCCCCTAGTATGTGTGGTAGCTCTGTCATGGTGACTGCACTATACCCAGGTATGGAGTTCCTGCTACAAAGGCTGAGTTTACACAGGCAGCCCAATTCTGATTTTTTTCAGTAAATTTATATTTTGACCAATCAGATCAGCTCTGAAAAAGAGCTGATGTGAAAACATCTGATGTGATTGGTCAAAAGACCAATTAGTGGAAAAAATATCAGAAAGGGCTGCCTGTGTAAATGCAGCAAATATGAATTTCTGTGCCTATATACGGAAGTGCCTGCCAAACGGCCACATTCCCCATTGACTGTGGATTGGATATGTCGTCTGATTGGTTGGGAATGTCCTCCCAAGCCCACTTCATCATATTTGATTGAGATATCTAGAAAATATAGTTTTTGTAGGCTCTGATATCTGATTGGATATGAGTTCCTTTGTTCCACTGTGTCATTACCAGTATGTCACCTGGATTTCATAGAAATATAATGAATAGAACGGGAGTCCCTATTCAAGTAAATTATTAATCTGTTCTATTTCTATGCATTTCATCCTATCCGATAGGTGAAATCCAGATAGATAACTTTAGAAAGACTGGGCCCTGATGATTCAGAACCATAATTGTTAGTGAAAACAGTAGATTTGATATAATACACAACCAACTCTTACAGTGCAACTGCAAAGGTATTCAAGTCTACAAAGGTGCAATTAAAAAAAATAAAAAATCATATGGCCAGGTAAGCTTTCTGAAGGTTAGAAAATGCCCCCACTTTACTTTTTGGGTATTTTGTGTTTTAATTTGCAGAAATCACTTCAATGAGACCATTTGCAAGATTGACACACAGAAAAGAACACCAGGAAGAACAAATGACAAACGTTCAGTAGCAGAGGAGCGATGTATCTCATACCTTTACCTTTCTGGGTGTTCAATACAATCACCAGCATTACTTTAGCATCGTGAAGAAGAATTGTATATATTTTATTCACACAGAAGATATCGCCATTCTTCTAGGAAACTGGTCCTGAGGTCCATAGTGTCGGTTCTGGATGAGCCACTACCCCCCAGCTGGAGGACTCAGTCCCAACTCTAAGCTCGTCTGCAGTGATGTTGTGGTAAAGCAAATAGATGGGTAAACTGATCGTGGTGAAAAAAGTAACGCTCCCTATACTTTCAATGCATTTTTCCACAAAAGGTGGGTAAACTGTCGGGCCCCCCCCCCCAAAAAAAAAACGTCCTCTGTAGTAAACAACTTCGAAGAACCTCGGTGAAACCTGTATGGCTGCGTTTACACAGGCAGCCCAATTCTGATATTTTTTCACTAATTGGTCTTTTGACAAATCAGATCAGCTCTGATAAAGATGTGATTGGTCGAAAGACCAATTAATAATAATAATAATAATAATAATAATATGCCATTTAGCAGACGCTTTTATCCAAAGCGACTTACAGTTAGTGGGAAAAAGATCAGAATTGGGCTGACTGTGTAAACACATCCTATGTGAACTGTGTTGATTGAATCATGTTGGTTATGGATGGGGTGATAGTAATATCTCTGTTTCAGCTTATATGTTTTACCCACTGCAAAATGAGAACATGTTACTGATAGAAGCAAAGGAAGATACAGGTAACTGCCAAAAATCAACAGTGTCTTAATAGGGCATTGGGCCTGCCAGAACAGCTTCAATGCCCCTTGGCATAGATAGAAGTGTCTGAAACTCTATTGGAGGGATGTGACACCATTCTTGCTCAAGAAATTATATAATTTGGGGTTTTGTTGATGGTGGTGGAAAAGCCTGTCTCAGGCGCCACTCCAGAATCTCCTGTAAGTGTTCAATTGGGTTGAGATCAGGTGAGAAACACCCTTTAAACCCCCTATGCTTCTTTGGGGCCCCTCTTTCAAAGTCACTGAGATCTTTTCTAGCCATTGTAGCCAAAATAATGGGCAACTGGGTGTTTTTATACATGACCCTTAAGCATGATGGGATGTGAATTGCTTAATTAACTCAGGAACCACACCTGCGTTGAAGCACCTGCTTTCAATATACTGTATATTGGTCATTCTGAGCTTTGGCTTGTTTGATTGCATGAAGGCCCAGCCGGGGGCCCATCTGGCGTCCTCTGGTCTACCCAGGATATCTAGGGCAGTCCCGTCCCAGTTCTGAACAGTCACCTGTATGGTAACCCTGTCAGCCAGTGCCAGATGGGAGCACACCAGCATGTCATGATGACTAAAATGCTTGACTCAATCCATCATCTACTTTAATGTTTTGGAATGGCACCATGTTTACACAAAGGCTAAACGGTTAGCATTTTAGATGGATATGTTTATTGATATATGAATGCACAACTCAGTTACAGAAGAGTAGATTCTGTCGACTATACTGCACATAAACAGCACACTAAATCACTATATCAACATGGAAATAAATCCAGGTGCTGAACATTTCAACAATTTCACCAAAACTCCATATAACGTTAAGTAAACAAACAGATGGAACAGCCTCAATATGTACATAAGCTACTCCACTGGTTTTCATCCTTGACTATTATGCAGTGATTTTAAAAGGGCAACTTCACTATTTAACAACTTAGTGTTAGATGGTTCCTCACCTTGAAAGTAGTCTATGGGCCAGGAAAACCTGTAATCTATGGTTCAGTTTTCTTTGAGCAGCCACTACAAATTTAAGCTAATCTTAGCCACCACTAACTACAAATCAATGGGAGTGATATGGGCAATTGTGCAATTGTTCTAAATGTAATCCAATATTTGGTTTGGACATTACCATAAGGTAATTTAGCAATAAAACAATTTAAAAACATTTAATGGATGCACATATCACTTCCATTGATTGTCAGCTAGTGGAGTCTCAAGTTAGCTTGTTAGTTTGTAGTGCCTGTTTAAAGAAAACGGAAGCATGGATTACAGTGTCTCCTGGCCCATACACTACTTAAAGGGTGAGGAATCATCACATTGTAAATTACTGAACTTCCCCTTGAACTGGGAAACAAGGCTTTAAAGTGTTGAGGATATGATAAATTAGTTTGGTACTGGGTGTACTTCCTGCATTTCCACTAATGCCACTATTACAAAAGCTCTACCAAAAAACACATTGTAAATACACACTACAACTTTCAATGATTTTTCTTCATGTGATAGTTCAGGTGTGAACTGCGTTTGTAAGTATTTGGGCAACGAAGACATGAATATGGCCTCTCCCCTGAATGAACTAGCAAATGTTTTTTTAAGCAAGTTCTCCGGATAAAACCCCTTCCACATTCATTACAAGTGTAAGGACGCTCTCCCCTATGCCCACGCATGTGGACAACTAAATGGCTTGACTTAAAAAAACGTTTGTCACACTCTTTGCATTGGTAAGGTCTCTCCCCAGTGTGAAAGCGCTGGTGTACCTGCAGATCCCCTCCTGATGGAAACGCCTTCCCACACACAGAGCACATGTAGGGTCTTTCGCCTGTGTGGAGCCTTATGTGCACAGTGAGATTACCTTTCTGAGTGAAACATTTTCCACAGTAGGTGCAGGGGAAGGGACGATAATTCAAATGAGTACGCACGTGATCCTTGAGGCGTCGGTTTGTTACGAAGGACTTTCCACATTGGTGGCAATGGTGTGTTCTCGGAAGTTGCAATCCTTTCTTCTTCGGAAGGTGCGACGATGGCTTCAGATCCGACCTCTTGTGGGCTTCCACATGGTGCACGAGGCTGGGCAAGTTGCTGAAGGTAATTCCACATTTGTGACAGTCAAGCGTTTGGGCGACACTGTGACTTTTTTCGTGGGCGTCCAGTTGATTTGATTCGGGAAAGCTCCTTGCGCAGTGAGGGCACTGGAATGGATATTGCGGTGACGTCTTAAAACTCTTCCCGCTTTGTGGACAGATGTACATGGATTCGTTGTGTGGACACTGGTGTCTCAATTTCTCACGCAGAGAACCAAACTCTCTCCAGCACTTCAGGCAGCTAAAGGCAGTGCCCACACATTGCATCCTCTTATGATTTGACAGACTTGTAAAGAATTTGAATCTATTCCCGCAGTTGGAGCACTTGTATGGATTATCCCCACAGTGAATTTGCTGGTGTTGGACAAGTTGAGACTGATAATTAAAGCACTTCCCACACTGAGGACACTGGTGGAAAATGTTCATGTGTGATGAACTGGAAGTAGATGGGGCACACTCATTGGAAGCTGAAGAAAGGGGAGTCAACACCTGAAACGACACCCCTGCAACGGTGTCTGTGGAAAAATGAATAAAAACATTGACGTTTCCCCCTACAATGGTCAACTGAGGCTTTCCAAAGGGTAAATGTGCTTGACTAAAAGATTATGAGGTCTCACCTGTATCACCACCTTGCATGACACTGGTAGGAGAAAGACCAGAACCAGCCCTGTGAAAGGCACAAAACAGAAATGTAAATTGATGACCATTACTAAGTCAAGTGGTAAAGTTGTTTGATGCACTGTTTCAAACAACAAAAATGATAAATGAATTCTCACAGTGTCTTCAGAAAGTATTCACACCCCTTGACTTATTCCACATTGTTGTTACAGCCTGAATTCAAAATGAATTCAATAAAAAAAAAAATCTCACCCATCTACACACAATATCCCATAATGATAAATGTTTGTACATTTATTGAAAATAAAATACAGAAATATCTAATTTACATATGTATTCACACCCCTGAGCCAATACTTTGTAGAAGCACCTTTGGCAGCGATTACAGCTTTGAGTCTTTCAGGGTAAGTCTCTAAAACACACCTGGATTGTGCAACATTTGCCCATTATTCTTTTCAGAATTCTTCAAGCTTTGTCAAATTGGTTGTTGATCCTTGCTAGACAACCCTTTTAAAATGTTGTCAGATTTTCAAGTAGATTTAAGTCAAGACTAACTCAGCCACTCAGGAACATTCACTGTCTTCTTGGTAAGCAACTCCAGTGTAGATTTGGCCTTGTGTTTTAGGTTATTGTCCTGCATCTCCCAGTGTCGGGTGGAAAGCAGACTGAACCAGGTTTTCCTCTAGGATTTTGCCTGTGCTTAGTTCCATTGAGTAATGTGTTGTATTGGACTTGCCCCAAACATAACACGTTGTATTCAGGACAAAAAGTTTGCTTTGCCACATTTTTTTGCAGTATTACTTTAGTGCCTTGTAAACAGGATGCATGTTTTGGAATATTTTTTTTTCTGTACAGGCTTCCTTCTTTTCACTCTGTCAATTAGGTTAGTATTGTAGAGTATCTACAATGTTGTAGATCCATCCTCAGTTTTCTCCTATCACAGCCATTAAACAAACTATTTTAAAGACATCATTGGGCTCATGGTGAAATCCCTGAGCGGTTTCCTTCCTCTCCAGCAACTGAGTTAGGAAGGACGCCTGTATCTTTGTAGTGACTGGGTGTGTTGATACACCATCCAAAGTGTAATGAATAACTTCACCATGCTCAAAGGGATATTCAATGTCTGCTTTTTTTCCATTTGGACCCATCTACCAATAGGTGGCCCTTTGCGAAGCATTGGAAAACCTCCCTGGTTTTTGTGGTTGAATCTGTGTTTGAAATTCACTGTGCGACCTAATTGTATGTGTGAGGTAGTCGTTGAAAAATAATGTTAAACACTATTATTGCACAGAGTGAGTCCATGCAACTTCTTATGTGACCTGTTAAGCAAATATTTACTCCTGAACTTATTTAGGCTTGTCATAACAAAGGGGTTAAATACTTATTGACTCCAGACATTTCAGCTTTTCATTTTTTATTTATTTGTAAACATTTCAAAAAACATAATTTGACTGACATTGTGGGGTATTGTGTGTAGGCCGGTGACAAAACATCTCAATTGAATCCATTTTTAAATTCAGGCTGTAACACAACAACATTTCGAAAAAGTCAAGGGGTGTGAATACTTTCTGAAGGCACTGTACCTTTTCTGTGCTGACTCGTCCTCTACATCTATGTCATCTTCATTCGCTTCATCACAGGTTTCATCGCAGCCTATAATATCTCTTGTGCTCCCCATTGCCACTAAATGTGCTGTCCTCATATCCACACCAGTGTCCAGATTGGTACGGTTTAACTGGTCAGGGAAGGCATCAGATTCAATATCTGATTCCTGAGGAATGTCAGAGGAGGAAACTGCACACAGACAAAAAACAAATACGTTAAAAAGAAACGTAATATCTGCTGGGCTGTTCTGAATACTTATCTCATATCCATAATTTACATTTTAATCTGTCAAATTGTTTATTATTTGGCTAATCCATCCAAGTATAAATCCCTTTAAAATGAACAAGAAAGGTAAGGAACATGGTGAGAGGAACTTGCTGCACATAAATAATCTTATTATCCTCAGATGCAGTTGTTTCATCAATAAACCTTATACGACCATGTGGTACTAAAATGATGCATAAAAAAGGTGTACTTTTCTTACTGTTTGTGTACAATGTTCTGCATTGTTTGTAATTCTGGAGCAGAAACTGGAGATCTTCTGAGTGAGAGAAAGACTGCAGGCATTCATCCAGGCCAGAGGAGCCAGCACTCAGCAACAATGCTGTCTAGGGAAAAGAGGGACACAAATAAAATGCCAAAATAGATTCCAGGCCAACTACAGTTATTAATTTGAATGCTGTTGTCTCAAGACTGTCTTACGAAAGTGACTTCTGTACCTGCTTAAAGTCTGGTAGTGTAAGCAGCTCTTCCAACCGAGTGAGGAAGTCACAGACCAGTTCCTGAAGCGCTTTGTCAAAATCAGGTCTGAATTCCTCAAGGAACACCACCTGAAAAGATGATGGTGAGTCAGTGAGATACTACAAAAGGGAAACAGTTAGCCTACTTAATGATTGGTTTGGTAGACCCTGCATGATCCTACCTTGGGCGCCAAGTATTTTTCTTCTCTCTTGCCAGGGTCCGCTAGTCATGATTTATCATACAACAAAATGCTATTTTTCAAGGACATTATTACTAGGTTCCCCCTGGCTGTACCATCGATGCCCCCCTCCAGTCAAGCCATATGGCAGACACTGCCTTTACAAACAGCCTCAACTCCCTATCTGAAGCTGACTAGACACCATTAACTTTCCATTTTTGATAATTTGTTGTTCCGGTTTGTTTTGCTTTTGAAGCGTTTTGAGATTCTATTTTGTAATGAGAAGCGCTATATAAGCTAAATAAGTTATTATTAGGTTGAGTCAGGCTAAAGAAAACATTCAAGAAAAACAGGTTGAATACAAGCTTGACATGAACAGCTACTTACTTGAACGAAGTGTTCACGCTCAACTGGATCTGTAATCAAGCTTTGGGTGAGCTTGGCAAAAGTTAGCTTCAGGCGATTCCATGCCTGCATCATAGGACTGTAAAACAATGTGGGAAACAAACCGAAAAAGGACAGTCATTTTTATACTTGGTGTTAAAGGGGATGACAACTGTCCCACAACTGTCCATACCAACAAACTTAAACTCTTGATTTTAATGTGGCCGAATTATCAGGGTGTTGTACTAGCTGACATTTGATTTACCAACCTGAACCTGTGCAAGTTGAGAAGACTTTATAGAATAAAGGAGGGTTTGGAGGCTGACAGGGTGTTCAGCAGAAAATCGCCCCAAAGTTACCTGCAAGAAAAGTGGTGATGCAGTCTGATACTTTGCATAAAACTATTCTCAGCACTTCACCCATTTAAGTGATCCTTACCCTTGCTCTCAGCCCCAAAATAAGGAGGGTCCTCTGTCTGTCAGTCATAAGTTCTGGGACAGTTTGTGTTACCACGGTCACAAACTCCTCTAATTTTCCATAGTGCTTAATGGCCCTCTGTTGTGATACCTGCCACATAAATGCAGACATCAGTCGTAGAGGTGGAACCAACAGGCGCAGGGAGGAGAGAGGGATGGGGGAATCTATAATGTGAAAAGCACAGTGTGTTAGCTAAATCAATTACATTTAGTTATGCATATCTTAGCTACCGTTATGTCATAATTACATTGTCATAACAAATGTTATAACATTCCGAGCAGACAATAGCTTGCGCCGAATGTGTACGTGTGGACACTCAATAACATAATAATAGCTAGCTAGCTATTCAATAACATAATATATCAAATGGCACAGCTAGCTAACGTTAGACATACAAGAGGTTTTGCTAGAAACCGCACAATAGCTAGCTAGATAGCCAGCTACTTCCTTGACGTCAGGGTCGTTTTCACTAGACACCAAACGATAGAAAACTGACCGAAACGAGGAGGGACGACCCGAACTTGTCCAATTAGAAACGCTCGTTTACATGTTCCGTTGCAAAACGTTTAGCTACGGTTTGCACGGTCATGGCTAGGTAGCGACCTGGTTATTACGCCCAACCTAGGTCAGAAAGCTATCTAGCAAACACAATTATTGTTTTCTATCTTGCCAGTTACCACGAATACCGTATACATACCCATTATGGCCCATGTGCCAATCAGTATCTTAGCTACCTTAGCTAGTGAGCGCCGCATGACACTGTAGAAAGTAAATCTAGCTAGCTAACGTTACCACCATAAAAGAGGATGTGAAACCTTTGCCACCAAGTACTATTTCAACGTCAGCGTCCAAAAATTCTTCAAAATAAAAGTCATAAATTATGCTAAATGTGTAATATTTAACTATCAAGCTATTCAATATATGTATTTATGAACTTGATTATTGCCAATACAATCTGTATTTTAGTTACTACTAACTGTATTTACATGTAGCCATTAACTTAACCATTAGCATATTAAGAGATCTAAGACAATCTGTAACAAGGGAATTGTATAGACTAACATGATATACATCTACATCATCATGACCATAACATTATAGACCATATCTGTCTAAAATACTATGCCTACAAATCACTTCCTCATGCTGTGATTGTGAATTGAATAGTCATAATCAATGGCAGCCTAAGATATAAAGGAAAACTATGGAGGGGTAGGGCTTACATCTGCTATTTTTAGGTATATACTTACATTTGTAATTATGTGAGCCACTTGACCTACTGGAGCTTCATGGGAGTGGAGTCACAATTCTCTGTGACATGTCAGACCGAGGGACCATAGGGAATCCGGTCATTTCGGATAGTTGAAAAGGTATCCACAAGTGTGTTTACCTGTGATGTTCATGATGCCTCTTCATTGCTAATCACTTCGTGCCAATATAGAGCACGGCAGTCACACACACTATACCCTTTTCATATAATTCACTGTACACTATTCAAGAAGTAAATGCTGATTTTAGACCCACAATTCTATGGAAGAGGGTGAATGTTTTCAGAAACCGTGTGTTCTGAGCAGCCAATAACCCAGAAAAAAGAACACACAACCTGTTCTGTCTCAAAGTGAAACAATGAAGACAATGGACTGACTTAATGGAATTGCGATAGCATGTGATTGTGCAGGTTGGTCACAAGTAACACAGAGAGAGCACAGTGCTGAGTGCCCCTAAAATAAATCAATAGAAGCTTAAGTATTAAAACCTTTAATAATAGGTATAACAAAGAATATGCCAACCCTCCAAATATAACACCAGGAAATACACTTTTCTAGATTCCTTGGAAGTCTAGAAATACGCTTATCAAATAACACATTATCATTATTACTGTTAAGAGTAAATACTTATATTACAATTGCACATGCATTTCACAAATTCAACCTCAATCCACGACTACTGTGCCTATTACATAAACATGTCTACATGCAAACAGCTATATAATACATCTGTAAAGGAATAATATTTGTAATGAGAAAAACGGAACATCACATGAAACTATAAAATAGCTTCTTAACTGGTCCAGTAACCTTGGCACCTGTAACTAAATCAGCTACTTGATGAGGTTCTGAGACATGATGTATAGAGAAAGACTAGAGAGTCTACACCCCCCTCACCTACCAAAGGCCCTCCCCCATCTATGAAGGACGCCATTGCCGCACGTTTTTGGAAAACCTACACAGGACAATTCCATTGTTTCTGTGTTAATGATAAATTATTGGTTGTTCCAATTAAATTCCGTGTGTGAAGCCATTGCAGAGGCGTTTGTTTGAAACCTACAAAGAAAAATTGTGTTGTTTCCGTGTTAATGATAATTAGAACACCCATTAATCTCTCTGGACTAGTATTGATTTTCCCCCATAACTTGTTGCTTCGCTATCAAATTGCAGTTACAACTAGCCACTAAGAGTGTTACTCAAAAGTGAGAGGTAGGGCCAGGGGGGAAGTATTGGGACATTTTTCCACACGCAGGGCAGCATTCAACAATTTGAAGGACCGCCTCCTAGTCTCTCCATGGCATAGCCTCGGGACATGCCAACATGTGCCAACATTTTTATGTTAAGGCTGTCATGATAGATTGCTGGTACGGCCACATGTCCAGCCACGGCGGCCACATGTCCAGCCATGGCAGCCGCATGTCCAGCCATGGCAGTGGCATGTCCAGCCATGGCAGTCGCATTAGTAGGATTCTCCTTCATGTGATAGCTTGGTTGTGAACTACGCTTGGAAGTATTCGGGCAACGAGGACGTGAATAAGGCTTCTGCCCTGAATGAACTAGCAAATGTTTCTTTAAGCAAGTTTTCCGGATAAAACTCCTTCCACATTCATTACAAGTGAAGGGACGCTCTCCAGTATGCCCACGCATGTGGACGACTAAGTGGCTCGACTTAGTAAAACGTTTGTCACACTCTTTGCATTGGTAGGGTTTCTCCCCAGTGTGAAAGCGCTGGTGTACCTGCAGATTCCCTGCTGACTGAAAGGTCTTCCCACACACAGAGCACATGTAGGGTCTCTCCCCTGTGTGGATCCTTATGTGCACATTGAGATTACCTTTCTGAGTGAAACATTTTCCACAGTAGGTGCAGGGGAAGGGACGATAATTCAAATGAGTACGCACGTGATCCTTGAGGCGTCGGTTTGTTACGAAGGACTTTCCACATTGGTGGCAATGGTGAGTTTTCGGAAGCTGCAATCCTTTCTTCTTCTTCGGAAGGTGCGACGACGGCCTCAGATCCGACCTCTTGTGGGCTTCCACGTGGTGCACAAGGCTGGGCAAGTTGCTGAAGGTAATTCCACATGTGTGACAGTCAAGAGTTTGGGCGACTCCGTGAATTTTTTCGTGAGCATGCAGTTGATCCAATTCGGAAAAGGCCATTGCGCAGTGACGGCACTGGAATGGATGTTGCTGTGGCGTCTTGAAACTCTTCCCGCTCTGTGGACAGATGTACATGACTTCGTTGTGTGGACACTGGTGTCTCAATTTCTCACGCAGTGAACCAAACTCTCTCCAGCACTTGGGGCAGCTATAGGCAGTGCCCACACATTGCATCCTCTTATGATTTGACAGACTTGTAAAGAATTTGAATCTATTACCGCAGTTGGAGCACTTGTATGGATTGTCCCCACAGTGAATTTGCTGGTGTTGGACAAGTTGAGACTGATAATTAAAGCACTTCCCACACTGAGGACACTGGTGGAAAATGTTCATGTGTGATGAACTGGAAGTAGATGGGGCACACTCATTGGAAGCTGAAGAAAGGGGAGTCAACACCTGAAACGACACCCCTGCAACGGTGTCTGTGGAAAAATGAATAAAAACATTGAACTTGTGAGGAAGTTTCCCCTACCATTGCCCAAAAATGGTCAACTGAGGCTTTCCAAAGGGTAAATGTACTTGACTAAAAGTTTGTGAGGTCTCACCTGTATCACCACCTTGCATGACACTAGTAGGAGAAAGACCAGACCCAGCCCTGTGAAAGGCAGAAAACAGAAATGCAAATTGATGACTATTACTGAGTCAAGTGGTAAGTTTGTTTGATAGATCCAAATGCAAATGGTTATTCACCAACTGTACCTTTCGAAACAACAAAAATAAATACATTTATTCTCATACCTTTTCTGTGTTTGGTCATCCTCTACATCGATGTCATCTTCATTCCCTTCATCACAGGTTTCATCGCAGCCTATAATATCTCTTGTGCTCCCCATTTCCACTAAATGTGATGCCAACTCCATCCTTTGGCAGTCTCTGCTTTGTATCCCAGTTCTCATCCCTACACCAGTGTCCAGATTGGTACGGTTTAACTGGTCAGGGAAGGCATCAGATTCAATATCGGATTCCTGAGGAATGTCAGAGGAGGAAACTGCACAGACAAAAACAAATACGTTAAAAATACACTTTGAATAATATCTAGGTGACTGCTCTGAACACCTAGAGGCAAAACGTCCCAAATCCATCATTTACATTTTAATCCATCACTTTATTTGGCTCATCCTTCCAACTTTAAAATGAACAAGGAAGGTAAGGAACATGGTGAGAGGAACTTCCAGCACATAAATCATCTTATTATCCTCAGATGCAGTTGTTACATCAATAAACCTTATTTGACCATGTAGTATTACAATTAATTGGTGTAAAACGTACCGTTTGTGTACAATGTTCTGCATTGTTTGTAATTCTGGAGTAGAAACTGGAGATCTTCTGAGTGAGAGAAAGACAGCAGGCATTCATCCAGGCCAGAGGAGCCAGCACTCAGCAACAATGCAGTCTAGGGAAAAGAGGGACACAAATAAAATGCCAAAATAGATTCCAGGCCAACTACAGTTATTAATTTGAATGCTGTTGTCTCAAGACTGTCTTACGAAAGTGATTTCTGTACCTGCTTAAAGTCTGGTAGTGTAAGCAGCTCTTCCAACCGAGTGAGGAAGTCACAGACCAGTTCCTGAAGCACTTGGTCAAAATCAGGTCTGAATTCTTCAGGAAACACCACCTGAGAAGATGATGGAGAGTCAGTGAGATAATGCAAGAGGGGAAAAAATGTGACTAATCAATTATCGTTTGAGAGACCCTGCATGGTCCTAGCCTGGGTGCAAAGTTTGTTTCTGCTGTCTTGGCACCCAGGCTAGCACGATCCAGTACCCAAAGAACAGGAATCAGTGTTGTGGCAAGTAAGGCTGCGTGTTGTGGCATAGACAGGCAGCCCAATTCTGATATTTTTTCAGATCTGATTGGTCAAAATACCAATTACTGAAAAAAATCAGAATTGGGCTGCCTGTGTAAATGCAGCCTAGACAAATTAATGTTAGTGAATGACTAGTTATGATTTATCATAGCGTAGGCCTATTCACTTTTCAAATGCTATCTTGTTGACTAACATCATAACTAACTTGTGTCAGGCCAGAGAAAATTTTCAAGTAAAGGCCCGCACAGACTGCATGATTTTAGCTGCCTTATTCCACGACTTTGCCGTCCCAGACAAAATGTCCATGCCGTGGGCAAATTCTTAGTCTTGCCTTGTTCAGTGTGACAGGGTCTAGGTCTGCCGATTAAAGGAAAACTCCACTCTTTTGGTATTCGTTTCATTAGTCCATTGTTGATATAGTCCCAAAATGTATGTCAGCAATCGAGTTAAGATGTACAACTTTCAAAATACAGCTGCGTTTTGCATCATCATATGATGCTGCTAAGGACCCAGGGATTAAACACCTCCCTCTGCAACTGGATCCTGGACCTCCTGACTGGCACCCCCAGGTGGTGAGGGTAGGCAACAACACATCCGCCATGCTGACCCTCAACACGGGGGCCCCTCAGGGGTGCGTGCTTAGTCCCCTCCTGTACTCCCTGTTCACCCACGACCGTGTGGCCGCTCACAACTCCAACACCATCATTACGTTTGCCGATAACACAACGGTTGTAGGCCTGATCACTGACCTCAACCTCTCCCTCAACAAGACAAAGGAGCTGATCAGACTACAGTAAACGGAGGGCCGAACACGCCCCCATCCACATTGACAGGGCTGTAGTGGAGCAGGTCGAGAGCTTCAAGTTCCTCGGTGTCCACATCATTAAGGAATTATCATGGTCAACATACACCAACACAGTCGTGAAGAGGGCACGACAACACCGCTACTCCCTCAGGAGGCTGAAAAGATTCAGCATTGGCCATCAGACCCTCAAAAAGTTATACAGCTGCACCATTGAGAGCATCTTGACTGGCTACATGACCGCTTGGTATGGCAACTGCTTGGCATCCGACCGCAAGGCGCTACAGAGTAGTGCGTGCGGCCGAGCTCCCTGCCATCCAGGACCTCTATACCAGGAAGGCCCTAAAAATGGTCAAAGACACCAGACTGTTGTCTCTGCTTCCGCACGGCAAGCAGTACTGATGCACCAAGTCTGGAACCAACAGGACCCAGAACAGCTTCTACCCCTAAGCCATAAGACTGCTAAAAAGTTAGTTAAATAGTTCAGCAATAGCTACCCAGAGTATCTGCATTGAACTCTTGAATAATCACAGCACGCTGCTGTTACTGTTTATTATCTATTCTGTAGCAGTTAGGAAGACAGCCACAGTGGGCCTACTCTCCCACTTACACAGTGTTTCTCTCTCCTTCCACAGACTCCTCAGAAGGAGAGTTACGGAATCTGCCAGTGAGGCCACACCACCGCAAGAGAGGTGGTGGCCGCCATCTTTAACCACCTTCTTGCCTGAACCGCTTCTGGACTAGAACGCCAGAGACAATATAAAAGCTCAAGTAAAAGCATATGTTGTGTGTTTACTCATTGCTGCTTGTGTAGTTGGGCACACCCCACTCCTCCCGACATATGGTGGAGAATGTGGACATCTGAGTAAACACACAACTTTCTTATTTTATTGTTTTACATTCTTTTTTCTCTCTCGCAAGAGTGGAACCATGTCTAATCCTGGAGTTGGAAACTTGGAAAACATGCTGGGACAACTCATAAATCTTCATGGAGTCAGCCAACAGACCTCAAATACCATGATAGAAGGTATGGCTGGGCTCATACAACATATGACCACCTCAGAGGTTCCCTGGAAGTTCAAAGGAGGCCTGTTGGAGCAGCTTCGGGTCCAGTCCCTCTTCCCTCACCTGCCAGTAAGGCCTGAGAGACACTCACTAAGATGACTGATGCTGATGACCCAGAGGCCTTTCTCTTGACGTTTTAGAGAGTGGCAGAGAGAGAGTTATGTCCAGCTCTTGTAGCCCTCCATCTCACAGGAGAGGCACAACAAGCCTATCAGGATCTGGAGACAGTAGAGGTCAATAACTATGACCGTTTGAAGGAGGAGATCCTAAACAGATTAAGGCTCAACCCCTTTGCCAGCGACCAATGGTTTAGAATCTGGGAATACCAAGCTGGCCAGGCACCCAGGGCCCAATTATATCACCTATGGCGGCTTGGGAAAAATTGTCTGAAGCCACAAGGCAACTCTGTGGATGATGTGATCGACAAAGTTGTACTGGACCAGTTCATGAGAGGCCTTCCCTATGATCTGTGCAAAGCAGCCACCCAACAATGCCCTCAGACTTACCAGGACATGATTCAGCTGGTGGAAAGATGCACATCAAAATATGCACTTAAGTCAAACAGGAACAACCTCCACCTATGAAGAAACAACCTGACACACAACCTTTTTCCTCAAGGAAATATGAGCCTCCCATAACAGCCGCTTACTTCCCAGCCAGAGAGGAGCGACATAATGTTGTTTGGTGTGGAAAATGTGGGGCCAAGGGACTCCCTACTCATACAGTCGTATGAAAAAGTTTGGGCACCCCTGACAATTTCCATGATTGTTTGGATCAGCAATTTCATTTTGATCTATCAAATAACTGATGGACACAGTAATCTTTCAGTAGTGAAATTAGGTTTATTGGATTAACAGAAAATGTGCAATATGCATCAAAACAAAATTAGACAGGTGCATAAATTTGGGCACCCAAACAGAAAAATCACATCAATATTTAGTAGAGCCTCGTTTTGCTAAAATAACAGACTCTAGATGCTTCCTTTAGCCTCTAATGAGTGTCTGGATGAAGGTATTTTGGACCGTTCCTCCTTACAAAACATCTTCACTTCAGTTGGGTTTGATGGTTGCCGAGTATGGATAGCCCGCTTCAAATCATCCCACAGATTCTCAATGATATTCAGGTCTGGGGACTGGGATGGTCATTCCAGAACATTGTACTTGTTCCTCTGCATAAATGCCCGGGTAGATTTTGAGCAGTGTTTTGGGTCGTTGTCTTGTTGAAATATCCAGCCCTGGCGTAACTTCAACTTTGTGACTGATTCTTCAACATTATTCCCAAGAATCTGCTGATATTGAGTGGAATCCATGCAACCCTCAACTTTAACAAGATTCCCAGTACCGGCACTGGCCACACAGCCCCACAGCATGATGGAACCCCCACCAAATTTTACCGTGGGTAGCAAGTGTTTTTCTTGGAACGCTGTGTTCTTTTGCCAACATGCATAACGCCCCTTGTTATGACCAAATAACTAAATCTTAGTTTCATCAGTCCACAGCACCTTATTCCAAAATGAAGCTGGCTTGTCCAAATGTGCATTTGCATACCTCAAGCGACTCTGTGGCGTGTGTGCAGAAAAGGCTTCTTCTGCATCACTCTCCCGTACAGCTTCTCCATGTGTAAAGTGCGCTGAATTGTTGAACGATGCACAGTGACACCATCTGCAGCAAGATGATGTTGTAGGTCTTTGGAGGTGGTCTGTGGGCTGTTTTTGACCGTTCTCACCATCCTTCGCCTCTCCGATATTTTACTTGGCCTGCCACATCTGGCCTTAACAAGAACTGTGCGTGTGGTCTTGCATTTCCTCACTATGTTCCTCACAGTGGACACTGACAGCTTACATCTCTGCGATAGCTTTTTGTAGCCTTCCCCTAAACCATAATGTTGAACAATCTTTGTTTTCAGGTCATTTGAGAGTTGTTTTGAGGCCCCCATGTTGCCACTCTTCAGAGGAGAGTCAAAGAGAACAACAACTTGCAATTGGCCACCTTAAATACCCTTTCTCATGATTGGATGCACTTGTCTATGAAGTTCAAGGCTTAATGAGCTCACCAAACCAATTGTGTGTTCCAATTAATCAGTGCTAAGTAGTTACAGGTATTCAAATCAACAGAATGACAAGGGTGCCCACATTTTTGCATAGCCTATTTTTCACATCTGATTTAATTTCATACAACTTAATATTGCTACACTAAAAATCTTTGTCTGGACAATACCCCAGTACTCAGCTTTTATTAGAAAATGAATGGCATGCCACTGTGATCATTTTCTGTGACGACAGAGTCAATTATTATGCAGCCTCAGAGGGGTACCCAAACTTTTTCATATGACTGTAAGTGTTGAGTAACAGATGAGCCAATGCCTACAGACCCACCAGCGATTGCCACCTGTCAGACCATAGCGAAGTGAGGTACCTGCTCGCTAGTATCTAGTGCAGGTGGGCTCACATACCCTACTGGCTCTCTTGGACTCTGGCAGTGAAGTCACCCTGATACGGCCAGAATAGATTCCTGTAGGGTCTCTTCGAAACCACAACACCCTATCCCTCACCTGCATCCACGGGGACACCCAAGACATCCCGCATCCGGTTCAACACTGATTGTGGGGCATGGATGGTCATTGCAGGGGTGATGCCAGAATTGACGACCCCTCTGCTCCTGGGTCGAAACTGCCTGGGATTTGACAGTCTTTGAGGCTGCTGGGGTAAGCAAAAATTAATTTTGCACTACCTCTGCTCTTCACCACACTCATAGACCCAAGCCTTTGCTGCCTGTTCTGAAGGGGCAACATACTAAAAAACGTTCTCGCCAGCAGAAGTCAGTAAAGGTGCTGCTGGGTGATGCCGCACAACCAGACCAGCCTGAGGACAGCGGAGATCCCGCTGATGTGGAAGGTGAGCCCCCTCTACCTATCAATGACTTCTCAGTTCTGTTGCAGGGCCGTTTCAGTGATGCCCAACTGAGAGACCAAAACCTCGCAAATACCCTAGGAAGGGTCCAGGAGGTGGATGGTAAAGCCCTAGGAGACCAGCCTTTGGTGGCTCCTTACTTAGCCCTTCGTTAAGGGCTACTCTATCGGTATCAGAAGTAAGCGAAGACCTTGTATCCTTCTAGTGCCCAAAGTGTATGTTCCATTTTTTCTCCAACTGGCCCACTCTCACGTCTTGGGCGCTCATCTGGGTGAGGAAAAGACAAGGGAACAAATCCTACATAAGTTTTACCGGCCCGGAATCTACATGTCTGTCGCACGTTACTGTCGGAGGTGTCCCACCTGTCAGCGGACTGTCCCAGTAGGGCGTACCCCGCTACCCATCATTGAGACCCCATTTGATAGGATAGACCTAGTTGGACCTCTCCCAAAGTCTGGGCTAGGATACCGATATATCCTGGTAGTGGTAGACTATGCCACCAGGTACCTGGAGGCAATTCCCCTACGAACCATCACCACCAAGGCCATAGCCAAGGAGTTGGTACTTATGTTTTCAAGGGTTGGCCTTTCTAGAGAAATCCTAATGGACCAGGGGACCCCCTTCATGTCATGAATCATGCGGGACATGTGTAAGCTCCTGAGGATCAAAACAGCTGCGCCCCTTGGTCTACCATCCACAAACAGATGGACTGGTAGAGCGTTTCAACCAGACCCTCAAGAGGATGTTGAAAAGGGTGTCGGACCATGAAGGAAAGGACTGGGATCAGCTACTGCCTTATGTCCTCTGTCAGGGTTCTTTTTTTCGAGCTCCTTTACGCTCACCACCCAAGAGGACTCCTCAATGTCGCCAGGGAAGACCAGCTGTCTGCCCATCGTACCCTGGTCGAACATGTGGTGGAGATGCAGACCAGGTTCGCCAGAGTGATGCCCATTGTGCAAAAGCATATGCAAGAGGCAAAGAGCACAACAAAGGATTTACGGCCGCCTTGCGCAAGCACGTGAGTTCAGTCCTGGTGATCTTCTCCCCACCACAGAAAGCAAGTTCTTCGCCCGGTGGCATGGGCCCTACGCAGTCATGGAGAAACTAGGCTCAGTAACGGACAGGATAAACCAGCCAGATCGCCGTAAATGGGAGCAAGTATATCACATCAACCTTCCGAAGAAGTGGGAGGAGGATGATGATACTGTGGCCTTTGTCTTCACAGAGCTTCCCCAGGAAATACCCAGAGATGTCATAAACATGTGGCAAGACTTTACTCCCCAACAACTCCAAGAGGTAAGACACTTCGTTGATCAGTACACGGATGTCTTTTTGTCTTTGCCAGGGCGGACAGATGTGCTAGAGCACAATATCCTTACGCTACCTGGGAAGACTGTACACGTGAAGCCGTACAGGGTCACTGAAGCTCGTCGCAAAGTCACGCACTGAGGTCAAAAATGTGTGAGAGTTGGACACCATAGAGGAGTCAAAAAGTCAGTGGGCCAGCCCCATCGTCCTGGTATCCAAGCAACTGGCCTTATCCAACCACCAAGATTCAGGTGAGAGCCTTCATGGGACTGGCCAGTTACTACCGGTTTTCTGCTCGGGCGTCTCCCCTGACAGACATGACCCGGAAGGCCGAGCCGGAAAAGGTTAAATAAATGGAGCTCAGAAGCCGAGAAGGCGTTCAAGGACCTTCAAACCTCCCTCTGTTCAGGACCAGTCCTGAGGTCACCAGACCGCTCCCAGCCTTTCGACGTCCAAACAGACGCCTCTGGAACTGGACTGGGAGCTGTCCAGTCCCAGATCTGGGATGGTGAAGAACATTACACTTTATTAGTCAGTCGAAAGATCCTAGAGTGGCTTGCGAAAGTATTCACCCCCCCCTTGGCATTTTTCCTATTTTGTTGCCTTACAACCTGGAATTAAAATTGATTTTTGGGGGGGTTGTATCATTTGATTTACACAACATGCCTACCACTTTGAAGAAACAAAGAAATAAGACAAAAAAACTGAAAACTTGAGCGTGCATAACTATTCACTTCTGTAGAGCCACCTTTTACAGCAATTACAGCTGCAAGTCTCTTGGGGTATGTCTCTATAAGCTTGGCACATCTAGCCACTGGGATTTTTGCCAATTCTTCAAGGCAAAACTGCTCCAGCTCCTTCAAGTTGGATGGGTTCCGCTGGTGAACAGCAATCTTTAAGTCATACCACAGATTCTCAATTGGATTGAGGTCTGGGTTTTGACTAGGCCATTCCAAGACATTTAAATGTTTCCCCTTAAACGACTTGAGTGTTGCTTTAGCAGTATGCTTAGGGTCATTGTCCTGGTGGAAGGTGAACCTCCGTCCCAGTCTCAAATCTCTGGAAGACTGAAACAAGTTTCCCTCAAGAATTTCCCTGTATTTAGCGCCATTCATCATTCCTTCAATTCTGACCAGTTTCCCAGTCCCTGCAGATGAAAAACATCCCCACAGCATGATGCTGCCACCACCATGCTTCACTGTGGGGATGGTGTTCTCGGTGTGATGAGAGGTGATGGGTTGGCGCCAGACATAGCGTTTTCCTTGATGGCCAAAAAGCTCAATTTTTGTCTCATCTGACCAGAATACCTTCTTTCATATGTTTGGGGAGTCTCCCACATGCCTTTTGGCGAACCCAAAACGTGTTTGCTTATTATTTTCTTTAAGCAATGGCTTTTTTTCTGCCCACTCTTCCGTAAAGCCTAGCTCTGTGGAGTGTACGGCTTAAAGTGGTCCTATGGACAGATACTCCAATCTCAGCTGTGGAGCTTTGTAGCTCCTTCAGGGTTATCTTTGGTCTCTTTGTTGCCTCTCTGATTAATTCCCTCCTTGCCTGGTCCGTGGGTTTTGGTGGGCGGCCCTCTCTTGGCAGGTTTGTTGTGTTTTTTTATAATGGATTTAATGGTGCTCCGTGGGATGTTAAAAAGGTTTGGTTATTTTTTTATAACCCAACCCTGATCTGTACTTCTCCACAACGTTGTCCCTGACCTGTTTGGAGAGCTCCTTGGTCTTCATGGTGCCGCTTGCTTGGTGGTGCCCCTTGCTTAGTGGTGTTGCAGACTCTGGGGCCTTTCGGAACAGGTGTATATATACTGAGAACATGTGACAGATCATGTGACACTTAGATTGCACACAGGTGGACTTTATTTAACTAATTGTGTGACTTCTGAAGGTAATTGGTTGCACCAAATCTTATTTAGGGGCTTCATAGCAAAGGGGGTGAATACATATGCACGCACCATTTTTCCATTATTTATTTTATATTATTTTTTAAAGCAAGTTATTTTTTTCATTTCACCTCACCAATTTGGACTATTTTGTGTATGTCCATTACATGAATTCCAAATAAAAATCCATTTAAATTACAGGTTTTAATGCAACAAAATAGGAAAAACGCCAAGGGGGATGAATACTTTTGCAAGGCACTGTACCTAGGGAACGCAAGTATGCTACCGTATAAAAATGGGCTGTCTGCTCCCTGTCCTTCGCCCTGGAGATAGACCATGCACCCTTGCAGTGGATGGCCAAGGACACCAATGACTGGGTGACCCGCTGGTTCCTAGAGCTACAACCATACAACTTTGTGGTTCAACACAGACCAGGGAATGCTCATGGGAACGCCGATGCCCTCTCCGGCTCCATTGTCTCTTCTCTTCCGCCAATTCCTCCCATGGCTCGGAGCTAAAGGGAGGGGTGTGTGGCACCATGGACAGAGCCACCCATCTTAGCACAGGAGACAGGTGCGCTCACTTCAGCACCATGGACAACGGCACTCAGTTCAGCACTGTGGAAGGCTGCACTACCTTCAGCACCAGGCCAGCCGAAGACAGCGCCACAGCTCTGCTCACTCAACACACCTATAATAATAATAATATGCTATTTAGCAGACTGTGCAGGTTTACTAATCAGCACACCTGCAGATCATTCCCTAATCAACAATCAGCACACCTGCAGATCATTCCCTAATCAACTGACTGGCACAAGAGTGCAGGCTGGACCTAACTCAAGTGAGCAGTTAGGAAGACACAGGGTGCCTACTTTCACACTGTGTTTCTCTCTCTCTCCTTCCACAGACTTCTCAGAAGGAGAGTTACAGACACTGCCAGTGAGGCCACACCGCCTCAAGAGACTACAGGTGGCCGCCCTCTTTAACCACCCTCTTGCCTGACCGGTTTGTGGACTAGAAGGCCAGAGACACTAAAAGCTCAAGTAAAAGCATCCGAAACTTGAACTTGTGTGTTCACTCATTGCCGCTTGTGTAGTCAGGCACACCCCACTCTTCCCGACAGTACCCTGTGTATATAGCCAAGTTAACGTTACTCATTGGATTTACTCCTTATTAATTTATATAATTTCTCTTTTCTCTCTGCATTGTTGGAAAGGGACACATTGTATCAGAATCATGCATAATGCACATTCATTAATAATCACTAACTTAATGTAGCAGGCATTAGGCTACAGACAATTACCACAGGTCAAATCAAGCTTTATTTGTACAGCACATTTCAGACATGGAATGCAACACAATGTGCTAAAAATAAAAAAACGATTTACTTCAAACATAATTGGATGAATAATAAAAACTGAACAACTAAAATGCACCCTAAGGAAAAGCAAAGCTAAAAAGGTGTGTTAAGATCATA